CCCTTGAAACCCTTAGAAATACTACATCTAAGCAAGGAAAGTTCTATAAGAATGTTTTCATAAGATAGGGCATATGGAACTCTCGCCAAAACAAAACAAAATACCCCTGGTGCTGGAGAACCAACTGAAGGAGCACTTACAATAAAATATCATCAACTTAYAGGGTCCCCCCTCTCACTTTTTCCTCTGTCCTTACCAAAAAATACAGAAGGCACTGATAACTGTGACCTAGCCAGTTGCATGCTGCCCTTGTAGGCTTGAACCAAGCTGAGCCCCTGAACATTTCCAGGCATTGATAAACATGTTAGGTTGTTGCTCAAAACACTGAAAGATCAACCTAAGCTGCTAAACACACAGAATCTAGCTCCATCCCCAATCAAATCCCTTAAATCTTCATATRAATTCTACATCCTGACCCCCTCATTGTGGAAATACCTAGGCAGAAGAACCTTTGTCTTACTTCCTTGAGGACACTCAGCAGCCTACTTTATATGTGAGTTGAATTGACCACCCTGGTATTTAGAGCTTCTTTCTTTGGAGTCCTAACCAGTCGCATCTTGGGATGGTTTGGGGCATATTCTTGCAGGAACTCCCCCAATGCCAATTTTGAGGTAATTTCAGTCCCATGTTTGGCCTAGATGAAATAAAACTAGACAAGGAAGCAATCTATCATAAGGGAAAGCTGACAAACAAAAGATCACTCCAAGAAGTGCATATAATACAACATGAAAAACACTATGTAAGAAGTATACTTAAAAGTATTAAATATTAAGGCAAGCAGGGGTGGTGACGCACATCTGTAATCTCAGCTACTTAGGAGGCTAAGCAGGAGGACCATGAGTTTGTAGTTAGGTTGGATAACTTAGATGAGACCCTGACTCAAAATTAAAAAAAAAAAAAATTAAAGATTAATAGTAATAAAACAAACTGTAATGAAAATAGGATATAATGAAACAAAACCCATAGTACTGAAGAAAAATGAATAAAACATTAAGGAGWGAAAGATATAACCATTAAAATTAAAGACTCTGTGATGTATTAAATAGTAGATTAGACTCAGTTAAAGACAGAATTAGTGAATTGAAAGACAGAACTGATGCACTCATTTAAAAATATGAAAAAAGTAGAAAAGTAATGAGAGAAAATATGAAAGAATAAGTTAAAAACACCGGGAAAGTATGAGACACATTAATATACATATATAATCAGAGTTCCTATGAGAGACTGAGAGAATGGGGAAATTTTAATATTCCAATAAATAATATTGAGAATTTTTCATAATGGAATGAAAAACATAGGTTCTCAGGTTGAAGAGTCCTGACTCAAACACACAGTGGTAAATCTGTAGAATACTAGACAAACAATGAAAAATCTTAAAAACAATAAGAAAGGGAAAAAATGCCTGTTTGTCTACAAAAATAACATCATATCAGCAGCTGACTTCTTATTAGCAACAAAAGATTATAGATAAATGGAAAAAATATCACTGTTACTTATTAGTAGCAAAAAATTATAGGAAAAATATCTTCAAAAGCTCAAGAGAAACTGTCATTCTGAATTCTATGGACACTAAATTTCCATATGAAGTGTGTGAAATAATGACATTTTAAGACAAAGACTGTGAATGCTTATGACTCAAAGAGTTTCCCTGAAATGTCACAACTGAATATACTTCATAAGAAGGGAACTGAAATTACAAGGAAAAAGTGAAATGCAAGAAGAAATGGAGGGCAGAAATGAGAATGAGAATGGAATGTAAGAAGAAATGAACAGAAGACTTTATAAATATGTTAGTAAATCTATACAAGCATTGAGGTGGTGGTGAGACTTAGTGGGCATAGAAATTAGGTAAAACGAAAACAACAGATTGAAATATGAGGAATTATGGGAAAAGAAGATCAGAGTTTACATGTCCTAAGTTCCTTCTATTATTCAGGAAAAGTATGATGACAGTGACTCACTGTAGACTTCAGTAAGAATCATTAGAAAATATAAAAAGAGGTAATCAGTACAAAAAAAAAAAACAGAAATAGAATGTGTAATTTCTAAATCAGCAGGGGCCAGGAGATAAATAAGATAAGTAAAATAAATATAGCCACTGATACTGGTGTTTAAATTGCTTCTTTAATGTTTAAATTGCTATTTTATAGAACAATTTGGCAACAACTAGTGAAGTTTAAGATGCACCTACTCTGTGACCCAGAAATTCTACTTCTATGTATCTGCCCTGGGGAAATACTCACACAAGAAGGCATGCACAGAACTGTCCATTGCAGCATTGTTTTTAATATGGACAACTAGAAATAACTAAATTCAATTAGCAAAAGAATGATAAATAAATTGTGGTCTATTCAGCAATAAAATAGTATTCATGAACTAGAGCTATGTGAAACAACATGGRTAAATGTAAATAATTGAGAAATGTATCTGCAGAAGAAAGTGTACAATATAATACCATTCAGATAGATTTCAAAAACACAAATCAAAAGTTTAGATTGTTTGAAGATATATACATCTCAAGTAAAACTATAAAATCATAAATAGGGGGCTCCTCTGAAATAAATGTGTTTCAGTCTGTGTACATGGTTAATTGCTATCTTATTCTCTGTGCGTTCCAGCATTTTTCAAATATTTATTTTTTTCTTTTTAATGAAAGGATCTAAGCATTTAGAAATAAGGGTAAAGGAGATAAATGACTACATCAGTCCTCAGAGAGGATGATCTCCTGGGATGGGATTAGGAGGGAGGCTGAGTCCTGCATCCAGGGATTATAAGGATTAATTCAGATTATCCCCTAAGATGATCACCTGGCTGACATGCCCACCACTCCTGCCCTTCTGAGATGCATCCCTGGACCATCGCCCACCTTCCTCCCAACCTTCAAGCTTTATTCTCCTGTCTCCTAATTTCACCCTCACCCTCAACCCAGCACTAGTCTGAACATGGTTTGACCAGTTGGCTCCTGAAAATGGACTGTTTCAGGTTGGTGACCCACACTGTGGCAGCCAAGGAGAGATTAGTCCTAATACTCAAGATCAGAGCTCCCTAAGAGAGCTTGGAACCCTGGATGTCACAATTGACAATTTCTTCCCTATCCCTCCTCTCATCTGCCCAGAGGTCACAACAGTCAAGGCCAATGCTAAACTGGCCTTGCTGGCTGAGGCAGAACCAGAAGAAGCTGGGTTGGAGTGAAGAGCCATTGTGCTTCCAGATTTAGTCTCTGTCAGTCTCCTGAGCTGCAAGTTGAGTCCCCAATGCCAGCCCCTTTCCATCCTGATAATTGCCCTGTTCCTGGAGTCTAGGCAGACCCTCTGCAGGAGTCTGGATGGGCTTGTTCAACACTCTTCACCCACAGATGAATTACTAGGCCATGGGAATCTGAAGATGTATCTGTCCTCTGGGGAGTAAATGACACATTCTGTGTTCATCTTTCAGAGCACCAGGGTTGGGGAGTGAGAGAAGAGAAATGGGCAGAAAGACAGGAGAAACGGGGAGAGAGAGATGGATTTTTGGACATTGTTACTGATAGGAAATATTTAACTTTGCAAGTATGAGATCCAATGTTAAATAAAACAGAGCATTAACTGGGTAGTTGGGAGATTTATGTTTATCCATATCTTCTTTGGGCCAGGTACTTTGTTATACATTGGAGATACAAGGGTGACTAAGATAGTTTACAACTTTTAACAGATTTGGTGGGCAGAAACCCAGAGTGATTAGTGCCACTCAGAGACAGAGGACAGGTAGGAGCATCTAATGGAGAGGAGATGGAGCACCAGAGTTGTCTCTCAACAAAGGGATGAAGGATAAGCAGGAGATGTGCAGGCAAAGAAATGCTTCTTTCTTGTGGAACATGGCAAGCTTATGAGCCTGAGAGCCTGTGGAACTAAAGTCACACAACATGTGCCCAGACCTTGGGAGTGGTTATGCAAAAAAAAAAAAAAAAAAGAATTAGTGAGTGTCACTGTCTTAGGAGTCTCCCACCAATTTCCTCAGTGTGCTGGGAAGCCCCGAGTCCCAAGTATAACCAATCGCTTCTATTCTGAACGACAGGGAAGGCCACCTAGAGGTGACTCCCAAATGAGGGTTGAAGAATAAGCAGGGGATGTGCAGGCAAAGAAGAGCTTCTTTCCTGCGGAACCTGGAGAGCAAAATGCTGTAGAGGTAGTCATTTCTTGAATGAATGAACGTTTAAGTAAATGAAATAAGCCCTCTGGGCTTCTACAACTCCCTTCTACATGAGCGAACATTAGTAGAGCCCACTCCCCAGCAGGACACAGCGGGGGCGGGGCTTGAAGCTCAAAGGGTTGGCAGGCCCTTGTAGAGAAGAGGCCTTGGACACCKGGCACAAAGGCTGCTTGGGGCCTCCCTTCCTAAACCTGTGGCTGGCTCTGGCTTGGTGGGAGGCGCTGAAAAAGCAGAGAGTTCGGGGCCCAGCTATCTCGGCCTCGGCTTTCCTCCTCTAGCCTTGTTACCGATCTGGGACGCAAGAGGCACCGCGCAGGGCTGGGGTCCAGGCTGGCTACGGAGGTGGGGACTTCGGCCCTGCATGGAGCAGGAGGGGGCGCGTCTGTGCGTTTGGAGGAAACACTCTATCCTTTCCTTTTCTGACCCAGTCACCCGACAGGACCGCGTTCTGACGTGTGGTAAGAGGTGTCCCTATGCGCAGCTGACCCGATGTGAGACCCGCSGCCAGAACCAGTGGATCCTGTCGCTCCCTCTCGGAGCAGCCTTAARCCTAGATTAGCTCACGTCGATAGTCTGGACTCGGCCGCTCCCTGAGCTCTCTCAGGCAGGAGTGGGACACAGGGGACCGGCGCTCACCCTCTTGTGCCCTCCGCTGCGGGGTCGCACGCCGTAAGGGCTTCCGGGCGGCGGGGGCGGGGGCCTGCGTCAGGTGGCCGGGCCTGGCCCCGCCCCCTCGGCCCGCCCTCCCTCTCTGCGCACCCGGCTCGTGGTCCCGGGCCCCGCGGCTGCGGTTTCAGCTCCGGGAGGCGGCGGCGGCGGCGGGAGCGGCCATGGAGGCGGGCGCCGGGGCCGGCGCGGGAGCCGCGGGCTGGAGCTGCCCGGGCCCAGGTCAGAGCCGCCCCTCCTAATCTCCCACCGCCCCGCTTCCTCTCCCCACTCTCCTCCAACCCGACCCCCAAGTGCTCCTGTCGCCACTGCTCCCCAGATCTCTGTCCTAAGTCTACTCCATCCCGGCCTTCACCCCGGCTCGGTCTCCATCTTTCGGCCTGAGGCTCCCTCCCCCTGACAGCTCCTCCCTGGGCGCTCGCCGTAATATCTCTTCAGCCAGATGGTTCTTCCAACCCTCAGGGACTCGAGAGTCTGCACTCCTCTGGCCCCRAAGGTTCCTGAGTGCCCGGCGAGGGTGGGGTGGTGGGGATGGAAGGAGGGGAGCGGCCCTGGCCCTTGCCCCTTAGCGCACGCCGCCCCACCTCCCTCCCCTCCGCGTGCCACCGCCCCCTTTCAGCCCCTTCCTCCCTGGCTCCTGCCTTCTCTCTCATTCTAGCCTCTCGCGTCCCTGTCCCCCAGAGTAAACAGACACACACCCTCTTTCTGTCTTTGCAAGGAAGAGGAGCCTGGAACGGCCTGGAACAGGGGTGCCGATGAGGTTGGGCAGCGCGGGTCTGGGTTCCCCACCCCATTTAGAGCATTGAGAGGTGGCTGAAGGAGGGTAATCACAGAGCAGAGCAGACTCTGGCACCTCCACTGGGACAAGTCCCGGGGCTCCCTGGGCTAGATGTCATGCCTTCTCTGTCCTCTGCATCGCAGTCCCCACTGCATCCCACAGTACCTCCTTTCTTCCTGCTCACAGGACCCACAGTAACCACTTTAGGCTCCTATGAGGTATCTGAGGGTTGTGAGAGGAAGAAAGGCCAACGCTGGGGGTCCCTGGAACGTCGTGGGATGCAAGCCATGGAAGGTGAGTCTTCTCAAAAGGCTTTCTGTCCCTTTACCCTCCTCCCCCAGTTCCTATCCCTCCCTCTTCCTCCCTCTGACCCTAGAGCTCTGAGCCCGGACRCAGCCCTTCCCTCAGCTCACCTCTGGCCCCTCCTCATTCGCTGCTGAGCTCCAGTCCTCCCCAGGGTTCAGGCTTTGATGGAAGTTCAGAATACATCCCTTTGGGGCCCTAATCGCCCAGCTAACCAGGTTGTATGTCCTGGCGGAGCTGCCAGATAGAGAAAGAGGCCTCGTTGGACAGAGCTTTGAAGCAGGCTTTCGGCAGGGGGTTTGTTCTCACTGCCTGACGACCCAGATCCCAAGCTGTCTCTTATTTTAAAAAGCAAGAACATGAGCATGTGAATTGTCTTTCTGGGGCCACCACCATTAACTTCTAATGGAAGTCTTGTGTTTGGTTCTCTATAGAATATCTTCCTTCCTGAAAGACAGAGCCTAAAGGGTGAGGCCAACCTCTCAACATGCATGCATCCCCACCACACCCTTCTGACTTGGCAGTTGCTGCCAACACATTTCCCAGGACTTCCTATGAAGTGTCCCCAATAAGCCTCTCTGCTTATTCAATGTGGACAGCTCTGCTCCCTCTGAGGGGGTCAGATGACACAAGTGTCCCAGATGAAGCTTAGGCAGCTGATATTAGAGAAAGTAAGACAAAAGATTCAGAATTTCAAAGCAAAGCAGACATTTCCCACACAGACAAGATTTTGCTATATACAGGAACTGCATTGCAGTAAAGGAGGGGATGCTCACCAACCAGAGGCTGGGGACCAGCACCAAACCCCAGTTTTTTTATGCATTAAGATGCCAGACTTTCTTTTAAATGGAAATACCTAAGAATTTCCTTGAAAACCTCCTGGGTCAGTAGGGGAGCGGGAACCTCATGACACCCAGCAGGAAAAAGCCACGTGGACCTTTTAGAAAATTCCAAAAATATATTTGTTAACATACATTTGAAAGAGCCCCAATATTTTTGCAAAAAGAGACTTGGAATTGTTTCATTCCAATGTTTTCTTTCTCTACCCACCAACAGTCAATGCTTTCTTATTATGGAAAGGCTAATGTCTTGCAAGCCATCTGGGTAATTTTTTAACCTTCTACAAACCCTCTAACTCATCAGCCTGATGGTTTGGCAGTGTCAGAATCCTTCTTCACTACTTGGYCCACTTCCAGACCACCAAGCTAGAAGAACCAGGCATTCCTATGCAAACTTTGTTAGAATAACCAAACATTCCTGTGTCCTTTGTTCACCTGGTCAAAGTTCACCCAAAAGTTGGCTGCTTCATTAGCTCTATGACAGTGGAAGGGGGCCACCAAGTGTGATCTTGGACCAGAAAAGACTTTAGAGAGGATGCTTCCAAACTTGGCCCTTATACCTGAGGACTCATCATGAATATGGTGAGGTCCTGTCCAGGGGCTCCTTAGGGGATACCAGATGAAACTATTCTACCATCTTGGTCCTGGGTGGAGGGTTTTGGAGGGCCCTGGAAAGACTGTGGATAGGAAGTTCCACTGACTCCCTGGTGGGATGTCTCTCCTAGGGGAGGTATTACTCCCAGCTCTCTATGAGGAGGAAGAGGAAGAAGARGAGGAGGAAGARGTAGAAGAAGAAGAACAAGTACAGAAAAGTGGCAGTGTGGGCTCCCTGTCACTGGGCAARCACCGGGGCCTAAGCCTCACAGAAACAGAGCTGGAGGAGTTGAGGGCACAGGTGCTCCAGCTGGTGGCAGAGCTGGAGGAGACCCGTGAGCTGGCAGGGCAGCATGAGGATGACTCCCTGGAGCTGCAAGGTGAGCACTTGTGATGCCGGGCGGAGCAGGGATGGTTGGACCCAAAGGCTCTGTGCTTCCCAGCTGATACCCCCTTTCACTGCAGGGCTCCTGGAGGATGAACGGCTGGCCAGTGCCCAGCAGGCAGAAGTGTTCACCAAGCAGATCCAGCAGCTCCAAGGTAACACCCTGATTGTGACAGTGGAGAGGTGACCATCTAAGTTGCTACCCAATTACCTTTATCCTAGGGGCTTGCTGAAGCATAGAAGACAAGAATAACCTAAAGCAATACTTTCAATTCATTTTTCTTTCAATTCATTTCATTGTCTCTCCATTCTTCTCTTTCCTGAATTTYTTTCTTTGTATCTCTTTCTGGCTCTTCTGTTCTCCTTCTTCCTTCTTCCTTCTTCTCCTTCTCCTTTTCCTTCTTCTTTGTACTGGGGATTGAACCCAGTGGCACTTAACCTCTGAGCCACATCCCAGCCCCTTTCTTTTTTTCTTTCTTTTTTTTTTTTTTGAATTTTTTTAATATTTATTTTTTAGTTTTCGGTGGACACAACATCTTTGTTKGTATGTGGTGCTGAGGATCGAACCCGGGCCGCACACATGCCAGGCGAGCGCGCTACCACTTGAGCCACATCTCCAGCCCCTTTTTCTTTCTTTTTAAAAATATATTTTAGTTGTAGATGGACATAATACATTTATTTATTAATTTATTTTTATGTGTTGTTGAGGATCAAACTCAGAGCCTCACATATACTAGATAAGCACTCTACTGCTGAGCCACAACCACAGTCCCCCTAGCCTCTTTCTTATATTTAGAGACAGGGTCTCACTTAGGGCCTTGCTAAATTGCTGAAGCTGGCTTTGAATTCATTATCTTCTTGTCTCAGCTTCCCGAGCTGCTGGGATTATAGCATGAGGCTCAGCACCTGGCTCTTCCCTTTCTTGCCCTCCTACCTCATATATTTTTTCAGGTTCACGCCTTTCTCTTCTCAACCTTCTCCCTCACACCATATCCCTTGTCCYTTGTTCACCTGGTCAGTGCCAGGGGTGAGTGATCAAGGCTGAWTTCCAAACCAAATGCCTTTTTCTGGTGTTTTTCTGGCTCCTTAGGACCTGAGCTTGTAGCTCCCACAAACCTCTCTTCCAACACCCACATCCCTTTGTCTCTGGAAAAGCAGCAAGGCAGGAGTCCCATATTCCACTGCAGTACCCAATAAAGAGGCAGCTTTGGTTACTTTTTTGGTCTTCCAGAAGGTTTTGGGGGAGCTGCCCTAGAAAACAGTAGGGACTCTCTGGGGAGAACTGAGATCAAGCCAAATGAAAGTATAAATGAAGAAAAAAGGAAGTCCAGAAAGCTGGCCTAGAGAGAAGCAAGCAAAGCTATAAGAGAAGCTGGGTGTGGTGGTRCATACCTATAATCSCAGTGATTTGGGAGACTAAGGCAGGAGGATCACAAGTTCAAGGCCAGCCTTAGCAACTTGGACCCTTGGCAACTTAGTGAGACCCTGTCTCAAWTTTTTTTWAAAAAATTAAAAAGGTATAGAAGAGGGAAAGAGAAGGAGACAGAAGATATAAGCAAAGGGAGATGCAGGAAATGTGGCAACAAAGAGAAGAAAAATGGCAGATGTGTCCCACAGGTGGTCTTGGTTCCCCTTTGGGTCCAGCTCTCTCACTTACAAATTTTGTGATCTGGGGAAGGTCACTGAGATTCAGTTTCTTATCTGTAAAATGGCACTGATTAATTTGCTTATCAACTATTTATTGAGAGCTTTTATATTTGAAAGGCCAGCTATGAACAGGACAGACAAAATCTCTATTGAAGAGTAAGTTCTAATGGAGAAAGGAAGAAAACATAAGTATGGGAGTCAATAAATGTTATGAACATAACAATATGATACACAGAGAAGGGATAAGATAGGAGTTTATTTTAGCTAGGGTGGTTTGAAAAGTCCTTTTTGAAAAGGTGACATTTGAGCTGAATCATGAGTAGGATCTAGCCTTTCAAGATCTGAGGGAAAGGCACACCAGGCAGAAGGAACAGCAACTGCAAAGGATCAGAGGTGAGAATAAGTTTCATGTTTTTGAGAGACAGAACAAAGGTCCTGGTGGCTTGAGTGAAGTATACGTGGGGGATCTTGGTAAGGTTAAATTCTGGTTAGCAGGTGGAGGCCAGATTACAGGGAGTCTTGTAGACTAGCAGAGAGGTCTGGCTTTCAYTTTAAGTGTTCTAGAAAGCCATGGGAAAGTGTTAGACAGGGCTGGGGTGATATAATCTTATGTACATTTTTAAAAGAGCACTTGGCCACTGATRGAAACTGGATAGAAAGAAAGGGTGTTGAAACAGTGAGTCTGATCAGGAAGTTATTGCAGTTGCCCAACTAGAGGTGATGGTTGCTTGGATTAGGGCTTCAGAAATATATTTTGAAGGTGAAGTCCTTAGGACTTGCTGATGAATTGGATGGAGGATAATAAACATGAAAGATGAGTTTACCTCGAGAAATTGGGTGAGTGGTGGCATCATTTATTGGGACAAGAAAAACTTGGCAAGGAACAAATTTGGGGAATAGGGGAACCATTTAGGTTTTCTACCTGATTAGTTTGAAATGGCTATAGATATTCAAATAAGTATGTTAAGGAGGCCACTAGATATATGAATCCAAGACCAGAAGAGAAATTGGGGCTGAAGATAGAGATTTGGTACTTATCAGTATAACATATACAATATGATCCATACAGTCACATGGAGATAACCACACAGTCACATGGAGAAATACCAGAGGAGGAGAGAGAAGGGTCCAATTTGCAGACACTCCAGTATTTAGGACTCCTATTGAAGGAGAAATGAACAAGAGACTGTGACAGGAGATTCCTGAAACACTGTCATGCCCTGGAAGCCAAGAGCAGAAAATGCTTCAAAGAGAGAATGATCCACTGGGTCAAAAGTTGCTAAGGCAAGTGAGATGACCCTTGGAGTTAGGGAGATGGAGAATCTGAAACATTTCAGTGCAGATCAGTGCTGACTGGATTGGAGTTGAAGAGGAAATAGGAGGTCAGGTAGAAAAAGTGAGTACAGATCACTTTGTTGGTCATTTTGAAGAGAATCAAGGCAAAGAGAAATGGGGTCAAAGGAGAGTTGTTTTGTTTTTATAAGGTAGGAAATGCTAGATCATGTTTTTTTTGAAGGAAAAGATCCGCTAGATCCAAAAAAAGTAGTAGCCATAGCTTGGAGAAATGGAGCGTTCTTCCTTTCCAACAGACGGGAAGTTAAGAGAAGCTGAACTACCAGGGAAAACAGTACTCTAGAGAGTTTCGGTCCTTACCAGGATTGTTCCCAGGATTTACAGGATCACCAAGATCTCGACCAGGGAGGGGTCCCAGCCTGGATGGCCGCCCCGCGCCCCGCGCCCCGCGCCCCGAGCCCCGCGCCCCGCTGGAGGGAACCTGAGACGGTCTGCGCGCACGCGCGTTGCCCGTTTCCGTCGAGAGGGGGCGCGCGCGCGCGGCCTCAAAGGCAGCTGGTGTTAAGAGGCGGTTCGGGCCGCCACAGCCCCTCCGGGGGCCCGGACCCCGGCCGGCGGCGGGAGGCCCCCCAGGGAGACCTCTTGAGGGGGGGGCATTGAGATGGAGGCCATAACCAGTGAGTGAGAATCAACTTGTTTGCCTTGCAGCCCAACTCCTGGGCCCTTGGCCTCACCCGAGGGTAACAGCTCCACATTCAACTGGCACCAGCACTTTGGAACCCAGCTTGGGCCTTTCCAACTCCCAACTTTCGGATGGGCCCCGTCCYGCGGGCCTGCAAGCCCCGCCCCGCCCCGTTCCACACATTCATTCGGCCTAGGAGCTGGGACTGCTGAAGAGTACTGAAAGGAGATTTGAACCCTGATGTCAAGGGCATATTAGGGAGTGGAGGTTGGTCTGCCATAGCAGGAAGCCCACCTCAGGCTGTAGAGCCTTTATCCTAATGACCATTTACTCATGCATCTTCCCGTCTAGGCTGAGCTCCGAGATGGAACTCTCTATGCTATTCAGTAGTAGGGATGGAGGAAGGACTTTCTTCCTTTAAAATAGGAAGTCACACCTGGGACAATGGCACAAGCCTGTAAATTCAACGACTTGGAAGGCTGAGGCAAGAGAAGCACAAATTCGAGGCCAGCCTCGTTAACTTGGCAAGGCCCCAAGCAATTTAGGGAGACTCTGTCTTAAAATTGAAAGGTCTGGGAATGTAGCTCAGTGGTTGAGTGTCCCTGGGTCCAAGCCCCAATACCTCCCCCGGCCACACACACACACAAAAAGTCAAGTAGGAGTCAGAGAACTTAAGTGGACATACTTGGTCTTGGTACAGTTCATTAGCTAATACTTGTTCAATAGACCAGGAAGAGGAGACAGCTAGGAAAAAAAAAAAAAAGTGACCAGAACAGCACATATGAGTTCACAAGCCTAGGGCAGGGCGGTAGACCTTCCCCTGAGATGCCTGGTCCCTTCAGCCTCTATATCTGCAGTATGCCCAAATTTGTCATTGTCTTCTTATCTCTCCACTCCTTTCTTTTTTTAAGACAAGTTCTCACCATGTTTCCCAGGCTGGTCTTGAACTCCTGGGTTCAAGTGATCTTTCTACTTCAGCCTCCCAGATTCTTGGACTGCAGCTAGGCCACCACACCCTAAATTTGCCTTTAAAATGYCTAGGTTCTCAAGCTTAATGGGGCATGCATGTGTGTAATCCCAGCCACTAGAAAGACTAAGACTAGGGGCATTGTAAGTTTGAGGCCAGCTTCTGMAACCTAGACCTTATCTTAAAAATAAAAAGGGKTTGGGGTGTGGCTCAGTGWTAGAGGATCCCTGGGTTTAATCCCCAGCACTGCCCTACCCACAGAATGTCTAGGTTCTCTTCTGATTTTTAAAAAATACCCAAACATATAATTCTGTACACATAGGGGAAACAAGTTTATTGAATATRTGAACCTCTACCTCATTTATGCCTGAATATGGCAAATACATATTGAGTTGCATTCTGCTTTGCACAATACCAGGTCCTGGAACTATAATGGTGAGCAAAACCATAATGTTCTTTGTCTATAAAACTTACAACTAAATGAGGTGGAGACTACACAACACTCACTGCAAAGTTTAAGGTGCTATGAGAGCATTTAATAGAGGAATTTYCTTAGCTTTTTGAGGAGGTTGGGGGAGAGGCTAGGGAAAGTTGGACTCTTAATGGTAAGTAGAATGAGCAGGAGTTAAAGATGGGGCTTGGGGAGAATATGTCCTGCAAAGGGTTTGTTGGAAGGTCCTGACACTTCTGGCCTAGTCCTCATGAATTGCCTAATGCTGGTCTCTAAATCCTGAATTTTTTTTTTCTTTTTTTTGTGGTACTGGAGATTGAACCCAGGGCCCTGTGCATGCGAGGCAGACACTCTACTGACTGAGCTATATATCCCCAGCCTCCTAAATCCTGAATTCTTATTGGTGTCCATTCCTTTTATTCTTCATCCACCTTTGGGTTCTCCTGATCCTAGATGATGAGTACCTATGTCTAGAAATCATAAGATGCTCCACAGATACAGAGAGCTCTGACACACTGCTTTTGTAAATTGAAAAGAATATATATTATTACATAGAGACTTGTTGCAAAAACCAAACAGCATACCTATATATGATTTGGAATACCTTGTAACATCTCCCACTCTTCTAAAACAACTGCTCTTTAGGATTTTGGGGCATAGATCTTTTCTGTGCCTTTTCTTGTGTCTTTGTACAYTTGTGTGTTTTATGCTATATATAAATATATTTTTATAAAAATTAGGTAATGCCTTACATTTTCTGGCTCATTTTTCTTTCCAGTTCACATATATGGAAGTCTTTTTGTATCTTCATTATGGATCTGCCACTTTCTTTTAGAGGTCTGCATGATATTCTATTTAAACATCATCAATCCCTTATCAATCAACATTTACATATTGTTTTGGGTCTAGTACTTCTAGTATATTCTGTAAAGTCTAAGCTTTGAGGGTGAATAGGTGAAAAATCTGTGAAAACTTTTTAGTTAGGGAATTTTTAGGACTCAGGGTATCAATAAAATATTGTCAATTAGGTTTGTGTTTGACTGTCGGGTAATTCCCTAGAAGAATCTGGGAGWACTTGTTTATAGTAGCCCAAGTTGTTGCTTTCAGTGTGAGGCCTCAAAATCTGTCTTCCTGCTGTGCCTTGTAGAGTCACTGTGTTCCCTTCTCAGGTATTCCTTTCATTCCATGCCATATGATGCTTTACTTCTCTGATAAGGTAGAGGCTAGGTTGTTAGCCATTTCCAGACAAGAAATAAGTCTGCCTAGAACTTTTTATCTATAGAACATGGTAGATTAGTTCACTTAACTCAACCTTTGGGCTTTGCAGGTGAGCTACGGCATCTACGGGAGGAGATTTCCTTGTTAGAGCGTGAGAAAGAAAGTGAACTTAAAGAAATAGAACAGGAGTTGCAGTTGGCCCAGACCGAGATCCAGAATCTGCGGCAAGCTGCAGCAGATTCTGCGAGTGAACATGAGAGTGACATGGCATCCCTGCAGGAGGATCTCTGCCGAATGCAGAATGAACTTGAGGACATGGAACGCATTCGTGGGGACTACGAGATGGAGATTGCCTCGCTCCGTGCAGAAATGGAAACAAAGACCTCTGAATCAACCAGTAGTCCTACGGACTTTAGTGGGTTGCAAGGTATGAGTGCAAGCCCTTCTCCTATTCTGTCAGCAAAGTCAAGCTGAGGAGAGATCATAGATAGGAAGATGGAGGAAGAGTTGTGTTATATCATGCATGGAAAACCTCTAAGGAAAAAAACTTCTAGACTGAATTCAAGACTGTAGTGTAGAAAAACTTACCCAAATATTTTATAAGCAGTCCATGGTGGTGTAAGAAATGGTACCATGGAGATGTGCCCTGGGGATTCTTCCCCAGAGAGCCATTGGGTACTTGTTGATTTGACTATGGGAAAGCCCTTCCTGGGAAAGTGCCCAGTTCTGGGATGAGTGTACAAGGACTTGTCACCTTGGGGAACTCTTCCTGCTTATGTGGCATCGTGGCACTTTGCCTGAACCACTTTAGGGAGGCCTCCASTTCTCCTTTCCAGGTCCCAGGATGCAATTCTTATGCTTCTTTAGCTTTCCCCAAAGTAGAAACTTTAGGGGGCAAAAAATCAGAGCACAAGACAGCTGGAGAGGAAGGTAGGTTATTTCTAGTAATTCATGAGGTACGTGAAAGCTTCCAGTGCTGCTTTCAGATAGTCTCCAGCTAGTTGCTAAGATTCATGACATCAGAGTCTACCTTTATACTAGGCTAGATTTGTGATCTGAGTATGAAAGCCCTATATTTGGCCAGGTCAAGCAGAGGCAATGAACAAGGAATCAAAGAACTGCAAGTTTTCCCAGATATATGAAGGCTCTCAGAAGAGCCTTTGGCCTGGTAGTGCTGGGAGAGGGAGGCTAGCACAGAGGAAAGGCCTTTGCTGGAGTGAAACAAACCAGAGTTCAGAAATAAAGCTCTACTCAATAGCTGGATGAACTTAGGTTATTCTCTCTCTGGAACCTCTATATCTGAGGTCTCCATATCTCCAGATTGGTTAATAAAACCTTAAAGATAGATGGGATTCTGAAATAGAAAAACAAGCCTAGGGAAAATGCAGAAAATAAAGTATAGAATTTAGGGAATAATAATATGCCAATATTGATTCCTTAGTCATGGCAAGTGTACCATGCTAATGTCATATGTTAGCATTTGAGGAGACTGGGTAAGAACTCTCCCAAGGAACTTGATACTATCTTCAGCTTTCCTATAAATCTAAAACTTTTCCAAAATTGAAAGTTTATTTAAACGAAAAAAAAAAAACTTACAGGGTTATTTCAGGGATTAAATGAAATGCCCATTTAAGACCAAAACCATCAAGTCTAATACTTAGCTCTATTAATTTTCAATCTGCACTATTGTAAGGACTTCTGATTGGAACAAAGAGGAAACATTGGAAATGACTGAAGTGTTGAACCTTCCAGCAGGTACTATMGGTACAATTAGAGCAAGTTTTTGTTCCTCAAATGTCAGTAGAATTAGTGTTCTAAGATGATTCTTAATTTTGAAAAGATAAAATGTGGTGTTTATATCATCACAGCATTAAAAATTGCTAACTGGTGCTTAAGGACATGTGCTGGAGCACTTCTCTTGTAATGCTTGAGAATGAGATAGGGCATGGTTGGAATGGGCTTTTCTGTCAGCAGATAAAAGGCCACTAGAAAGATTATTTGATCACATTTAGGCCAGTGTCTTCAGTGTGGTGATAAAAGAAGTAAAGGAAATTCAAAATGCCTGGATGTATTTGAAAGGCAGGGACTGGCAGACTGATATCTRAAACTTCACACCTCCCAACTTTTTGTGCTAAAAGCATAGTAGGGAAGAAATCATAAAGTTAAGCAAGAACTTTATATATGATAAACCAAAACTTATTTAAACCCTCAAGAGCTCCTAAAAGCTTGGGGCTGAATATCAGTGCTCCCCTTACCCCTTAATGATCTCACATCTTCCCCATTTGTTATCTGCAGAAGAATTACAGCAACTGCGGGACAGCTACCAATTCCTGAATGAGGAGTACCGGACCCTGAAGGAGAGCAACAGCAGCCTCACAGGRCAGCTAGCCCAGCTGGAGAGTGAGAGGTACAACCAGGAGGCAGGGGCACTGAAATTCTGTCTTGGGAATTCCCTGAAAGGCAGAGGCCAGGGTCATGAGTGTTCCTGTCTTCCCAGAGAGCCAGACCTTTCTGTGGTATCCCAAGAGTACAGAGACCATTTGGAAGCAAACATGGGATCCTACCCAATTGTCTCAGGACAAGAGTTCAGTGAATTTGATTTTCTTMCATTTTCAGCATTGCTCTGCCCTAGAGTAGATCAGAAGAGATTCCTTTGTTGTCCCCACAGACATGATTCAGTCTAATGGCACAAAGCCTCCAGGCTGTTAGCTGACTTGACACCAGGCCCATCCTTAAAACCAACTGGACCGGCACTCTTATGGTGTCTCAGAGCCAAACATGCCTCTGCAGATGAGGCTCTGGAGACTTTCTGTAATCTTCAAAACATGTTTATTTGAGGAGCGAATCACAATAGGTCTCTAACTATCTTTGGCCTAAACAGAAGGCCTTAGAACTGAGCACACTTGTATGATGATACGAGGCAGGGTTCCTCCAAACATGTCTGTGGGTTCTGGTTTTCAGGACACGAAAAGCAACAGAGAAGTGGCTGGAGTGTCAAACAGCAAAGAGTATGATATCGTCAGAGTCTCAGACCTCAGAAGTGGATTTCCTAGAGCCTGATCCTGAAATGCATTTGTTGCGCCAGCAGCTGCTAGATGCTGAGCAGCAGATGCATAACATGCAGAGTAAGGTAGGTCTCTTGAGGGTGGGGAAGCAAGCCCTTTCCACCCTTTCGTTTCACCTTCTCCTGGTCTATGGTAGGCACAGAGCTAATAAAGCAGGTGTGCACTGTGATAGTAGAGAGTGTTCTAGGGTCTTRATAACTTGCCTGATGTAAATGTAGCCATATGCCACATAATGACATTTTGATCACTAACGGATTGCATAAACCATGGTGGTTCCATAACATTGTAATAGAGCTGAAAAAAATTCCTATCACCTACTACTGTGGTAGTGCAACACAGCATCATACTCATAGTGATGCTGGCRTAAACAAACCGGCACTGCCATCCTATAAAAATACAACATATACAGTTACATACAGTACTTAATAATGATCATAAGTGMTTATGCTACTGGTTTATGTATTTACTATACTGTATTTTTATTATTATTTTAGAGTTACTCTTCCTACTTAGAAAAATAACAAAAAAGTTTTTTTATACAGTTTTCCATGTATTCCATGTTATTCAGCCTATTTATTGAATTGTTTTCTCTTGTGCTTCATTTGATCTTGATGTTTAATTCATCAGAGCCCTAGAAGCAATAGCCTATGCCATATGTATATGTACCACATAGCCTAGGTGTGTAATAGGCTATACCATTACAGTCTATGTAAATATAGTCTGTGATGTTTGCACAATGATTCAATGGCCTAACAACACATTTCTGAGCATAAGTCCATGTTGTTAAGTTACACTTGACTATATTTCAAAGGAATGCATACTCTCCCCAAACGTATTCCTGGAGCACATATARCACTTGTCATAAATCAGCCTCCCTGTTTCATTTCTTGCACAGTGTAAGGAATTGTCTTGTGAGTTGCAAGAGCTACAGCATCATCGCCGTGTCAGCGAGGAGGAGCAGAAACGGCTGCAGAAAGAGCTCAAATGTGCCCAGAATGAGGTGCTTAGGTTTCAGTCATCTCACACGGTCATGCAGGTAAACACTGCCAGGGGAGGCACTTAGAAGGGTAGGAGGGCCTGCATGGAGTCACTGCTTCAGCAGAGGCTAAACAAAAAGAGCAAAAGGCAAAGGTCTGCTGACCCTTGCCCTACAATCAGGGTCCCAGACTACTGGAGAAGCCAGTTATAGAAGCCACACAGCATGGCATTCTAGAAATGGTGGTCATTGTTGAGTGTCTGCCTTGCCAAAGAAACCAAATCATAGACCCAGGGATCTTTTCAAGCCATCTGCCCCTGAAAAGGACCATAGTGACCTGAAGAGGGGTCTGCTATTTCCTGAGAGTGACTGTTCCTCYCTTACCCTCCCCACCAAGAATGAGGAGCTAAAGACCAGGCTCTGTGATCTGCAGAAAAAGTATGATGCCAGCCAGGACAAGCAGAGCGAGCTCTTGAAGGTGCAGGTGCAGCTTCAGACTGAGCTCAGGCAGCTTAAAGTCATGAAATCCACAATTATAGAGAGCCAAAGTGAGAAGGTAACAGCACCCAGAGGTTAGGGAATGAYCCAGAGTATTTGTCTGAGGTCTCGGTAATAAGGTCTCGGTCTGAGGTAAATAAAGAGTAAAGTTTCAAATAAGTCCAGCCATTGCCTAGGCAGTACCACATGTGAATATCCCCAACCCCTTTCAAGTGCTGCCTTAGGTCAGAGGACAAGCAGAAAGTGAAGGGAGGGAGGAGTAATTGCATAGCCTGTCAGTGGCTGAGAGAATCAGGCAGAAGGGCAGGAGGTTATGGACCCTGCAGTGCTGCCCAGAGCCCCCTGCACTGCAGGAGTTACTATGCCGGCTCCAGAAGATGCAAGTCCAACACCAGAACATCTCAAGTGAGAAGGAAAAGCTACTGGAAGTGCAGCATCAGCTGCAGGAGAAGCTGCGGTGCCATGAGGCAGAGTTGCAGCACCTTCGGAATATGGTGGCCTCCTTGCAAGAAAGTGATGAAAAGGTAATAGGAGGGCCAGGTGATGGAAAGTGTAGGCAGGCAGGACCCTTGGGGAGGTGAGAGCACAGAAATATGGGTGTGTTAGAAGCTCTGTGGAGTAGCTCCTGGTAAGGGAGCAAAGAGGTGTGCCAGGAAATCCCTTCTGTAGGAGTCACAATGCCCACGGCTTCCTTTGATTTTAAATCAGAAAATCAGTCTAGGAAGCCCCTTTCTTGCCCCAACTCCCCCAAAAAGGAARCCCTACAAGTACTGGGTTTTGAGCCAATTAGGGATGGGTCCATCTGAGGTCTCCTTGGCTAGAATGAAATCAGAGCTAGACTGGAACCCCAGTCCCCAAAGTACATAGCAGGTTACCTGGGATGATGGTCGGTCCTGCCTCTCCCAACCAGAACAAAAAGATTCAAGTCCAGTTTCGTGAGGTGAAGCAGCTGTACGAGTCTAGCGCGAATGAGTTGGAGCAGCAGAAGCACATGTCCAACCAGCTAGAGCAGGACCTCTTGCTCTGCCAACTGGAACTAAAAGAGCTCAAGAACACCCAGAACATTCCTGAGGACAAGGGAAAGTGTTTCAATAAGGTAATTACAGTGCAGAGTGAAAAGCACTCCTGGGCATCTGCTTTGCAGAGAGGAGGTACAGCGGCAAGAGATGAAGTCCTCAATCAAGAGCCTTAGTGGGCTTCCTAGGCAGSAAAAAGAGGCAGAGACACATGTTGCCAGAGCTCAAAGTACATCTAGATCCCAGCAATTACACACCTGGCTGTTTTCACGCATAATTCTATGTATGTAGATGTTTGCACATTGATTTAGCAACTGCAGTGATATCAGGCCATTTGTGGAGAAGAACATACACATAGGTTCATGTTACTGTTGGAACTAGAAAGCTGAGCCAGTTTTCTGAGGCAGATTGCAAGTACTCTGTCTAGAGTGCTGCTTGAGTATTAGAAGGACCTAGACTCTTCCAGGATTTATTCTGTGATTTAGTGTGGTGATATTCCCAAGACTTGATATTGCCCTTCTTAAATTGAATAGAGTGTTACTATTATCTCAATTGCTTTTAGTATTAAATCCTAGTAGGACAAATAAGACCTTATTTACTTTTTCTTTTTCCATGGTATATAAAATGCAAACTGTTGGGTGTGATGGTGCATGCTTATAATTCAACTCTGGAGGCTGAGGCAGGAGAATTGCAAGTTCAAAGCCAGCCTCAGCAACTTAGTGAGGCCCTACCTAAGTAACTCAGTGAGACCCTGTCTCTAAATAAAATACCAAAAAGAGCTGGGCATGTGGCTAAGTGGTTAAGTGTCCTTGGGTTCAATCCCCAGTACCAAAAAAAAAAAAAAGGCAAACCAATGCCATTACTCAGATGAGTGCTTTCAGCCCCTGATTACTGATAGGAAGTGAAAAGGTGTTGAAGCATGTTGGAGAAAAGGCCCAAGAATTCTGCCAGAATACACAGCAATCCCTGCCATGGCCAACATCAGTGTTCCTACTAGGGAGAGGCCTTTAGGAGATAAGGAGAGGGAACGTTACAGTCTACTTACCTTTCTGTGCACAGGTTTAGGAGATACATGATTTCCTTGTCACCTCCCCTCTTCATAAAAGTCTTTGGGAAAGGAGAAGCATGGTGGCATACAAAKCTAATCTGTTCTGTAGTCATAGAACAGCACTGAGAGTCATTTGATATTAGAGGACTTAGAAGACGAAATCATAGAATGATTTAGTCTTAAACCAAATATAGTAGTGGCTCATACTTTTGTAAAGTTTTTAAGAGATTATTAGGAAAACAAAAATGGGAAAAATTAGAGTAAAATTAAGTCCTTATTGATAAGGAGCATGATTAGGTTCAAAAACAACTGATGCTAATGAAAGTAATCAGAATTGGAGCTCCTGTCAGCATGAGAAGGTAGTTAATACACCAAAGGAAAGAGCCAGAGACAGGAAGACAGGAAGGAAGAAGGGAGGGGCATTGATAGCACTCACGCTCAGTCTGCTTTCTGAAGGGACTGGCACAGGGAATTTAGAACAAGCCACTGCCCATCCAGAGCAGCCTGCTGACTGCTGGGGCTCCCCCCTTAGCATGGAGGCMCAGTCTTCATGGGATGATCAGTTCAAGGTGACTGAATGGGGAGGGAGACCCTGGGAATTCACAGGAGGCAGGAGAGCACACAAATGCTCTGCTAGCCCCCCAGAAGTGTACTTCACAGAGTAACCATGCCTGCATGCCCCACCCTACCCACAGTGTGATGCACTGGTGTCCAAGCTGACAGAATTACAGGACAAGTTCAAGGTCAGCCAGAAGGAGATGGGGCAGCTGCAGATGGAGCAGTGTGAACTCCTGGAGGATCAGAGGAGGCTGCAGGAGGAGCAGGGCCAGCTGCAGGAAGAGTTGCACAGGCTCATATACCCCACACCCAAGTGTGGCCTCTTTAATAAGGTATCCACAGCTAGTTAAAGGCTGCTGCCTATGAAGAGGCTGCGTTGAAAAACTGTGACTGTCCCTGGGAAACATAAATGGGTGGGGATTGAACCTTTTCCTTTCTTAGCCGACATTCCTTCCTTTCTCCCAATCTCCCCACATTAAACAGATCCACAGAGCTAATTCAGGTTTTTCCTCATAAGGGCTTTAAATCTTAAAAATACAYTTTATGCTCAGGAATCTGCAACATTTTACTTTTAGTACCTCTTGAGGAAATGCACCTGAAAGTACTTTGTTAACTACAAAATACATTCACAAACAAGAGGTCGTTGCTACTCAATGAGTAGGTCTTCATAGAAAACCCCCTCCCCCAATCCTATGCCCAGGGGATTGTTTGAAGAAACTAACAACAAAGATTGGGGGAGCTTAAGACTTGCCATTGAATTGTCATTCTTCCTCCTTCSTCTGCTCTACTCAGAGTCAGGAGCTGCTTACAAAGTTACAAGACCTATGTGAGCTGCAGCTGCTCTACCAAGGCATGCAGGAGGAACAGAAAAAACTGATACAGAACCAAGAGTGTGTACTAAAAGAACAGTTAGAGGTACATGAAGAGCTACGAGGTCTCAAAGAGTCTCATTTCCAGGAAGTGTTGGAAAATCCTCAGGATGCCAAAAAGCATAAGTTCTCAAATTCTGGTCAGAACAAGGTAATCATGGGAAGAGAAAGGGAGATGGGTCACCAGAGCATACCAGCATTGCAGGGAAAGAAGCTACCCAGAAGGGTCAGAGTCAGGAAGGACTATTTGGCAGGAGGCAGATGAAGCCTTGACCTTCACCAGCCAGAGCCACCATAGGCTCCATTATGATGTGGCCTTAGATGCACTGGGGACCTCACCCAGAGGCATGCCAGCTGAAGTCCTGCAAGCACTTAAAACAAAGCTGGGATGACCTAGAGGTCTGTAATCTGACCATTGGACTCAGTCCCATTGAGATATCATTTTCAAGATTTATAATATCAATTCAGTGTTTGTTTAGATTCCTGTGGACTGACTCTAAGCATGTCATCCTTTTCCTATGAGTTCAAAAGTACACTTCTCCATTTTTAAAATCTATATAACCTTTTGCTGCTTTCTATGAGGCTAATCTGAGCCCATTCATCTCCAAAGGAAACATTTCTATGCAGAGTTCTCAGTACTGACTATACTCTTTTCATTGGGCTAGATCAGGAGTGTTAGACCAGAAAATTGGTTTGTCTCAAGCTCTTATCAGGAGGTCAGGAATATTGAGGTCACACAGTCAGAAATTTCCATGCGAGTCTATTMAGAGTTGGGAGATAGATTTGGTCTGAGGTCTCAGCATGAAGAAGGAAGAGCAGGTGGATAGCTTTAATTTAGGCTGAATCTGTTCCTTCAAATATTAAACTGAACAGGAGAACTAGGGAATAGCAGTAGTTCAAACTATGAGTCTTGGTCACATTCCAGGGGCATCAAATATCTAGGCTGAAAGCCTGGGAACACAGAGACAGGAACCAGGTATAAAGTATTTCCTTAACTGATCAGATCTCATCCTAGGCATAAGTAGCCAAGAAGGCAGGCCCAGAGAGGCTGGGAAACATGCCCAGGAGGCCAGRTTCAGAATCAGGGCAGGAAGTAAAGGACCAGTGATAAGACCTTGATTCCAAGCCTATACTTTCTCAGGAAGGATTTACTTAGAGGTGCACATTTGAATCCAGAGCTGGTTTTAACATTAGGGGTTGGGTAGAAGACCAAGCCTAAAGGTCAGGATAATGGATACACCTGACTAAGAAGAGGGTGAGGTAGTGAGCCAGGATGTCCTTGAGACAACTAGGCTGCTCTCAGGAGAGAAGGGTGTGCCAGAATGCAGAAACYAGCAGAAGTGGGAACCCCCAAATCATGGAGTATCTGCCCTGGGAATATTTTCCCAAATGTACAGAAAGCTGACACATGCCCAATCACCTGGAGGCTTAAGTCAAAGATATAGGTCTGGGGAGTCTGAAGGGTAGGTATGCACTTCTCTTAGGTATGCACTTAAACACTGGGACTGAAATGTCTTTTAGAGTAATGGTGATGTCTCCCACCCCTACCCCTGGCAGTCCAAGTTGCTCCTGGAAGATCTACAGGCTCTGAAGGCGCTGTATATCTCCAGTCAGAAGGAACAGGAGCTATTGCAGCAGGAGCATGGGAGGCTCCTAGAGGAGCGGAAGAGGCTGCAGGCAGAGATGCAGCTCTGCCTGGAAGAAATGCAGCTGCTCCAAGAGCAGTCCCCCTCAATAAAAATGAGCCTTGAGTCCTGCAAGAAGAACTCTGACAGTGTGATTCCCAGCAGTGAGAACTTTCACAGGAGTTATGCAAGCACCATTGATGGCAAGGAAAGCTTTCTTAAGAATTATGGTACCAGCCAGGCCAGCAGTGAGTCCTTCCTCAAGAGCTATGCCAGCACTATGGGTGCYAGTGAGACTTTTGCAAAGAGTTACCTCTCCAGTGTCAGCAGYATCATCTCTAAGAAGAGTTATGGCACCACCAGTAGTTCTAACAGTTATCATAAGAGTTATATCAGCAGCATCGCTGATGAGGAACCACTTGTGCCTGAAGACATGGAGGTAACCATCCTCAGGTTAGGCAGGGGATTATAGGCTCTTGTCTTTCTAAGAGAAATGTCACCAGGGGAAGGGCACAAGAAGTGAGATGGGAATGGGGTCAGAGCTGACCTGGGAAACTCCTGGAAGCAAGCAAGGCTTTTACTCATGGTGGCCCTGCCTCCTCTTCAGTCCCTCTCCTACAGAGGTGCCCCCATCCAGTCCTAGGACTGAGGACTGTCATCAACACAGTCAGGTACTCCTTGTGGGGAAAAATACAGTGTCTCCCTGGGCAGTTTCAGATCCCTGTGGCCACTGTTTTGTGTGTAGGGAAGGGCCTAGCAAAGTGTGGGGCAGAGTCAGAGCTTCTTGGGGTGCYGTCATTGCTCCCCTACCCCCTGCAGCACTTTGAGGAAACGGTGGCCAAGGTGCTGACCAAGCTGCAGGCAGTGCAGGCCCTGTACCAGGTTAGCCAAGAGGAGCACTCCCGACTGCAAGAGCAGATGAGCACGCTGCTGGATCAACAGAAATCGCTGAGGGAAGAGCTGGAGACCTGCGAAAAGGAATTCAAGGAGTGCATAGAAAGCCTGGAGAAATCTGCAGCCCCCCAGAACGACAGGAGTGAGGTAACTGATGCCAGGGAGGCAGGGTTTCTCCTAGGAGTCCCGAAAGCTGGAGGAGGGGATGGCTACTTCAGAGAGAATACAAATATATGGCAGACAGRGAGACTGAATTCCAGCAGGCCAGGCAGTTTGCTGCATGTGATGGACACCACTCAATCTGAGGGACATTTCTCAGGTGCCCACTGAGCTAGTCATCTAGACACCTCTCCTGGAACTATCCTCTTCTTCCTTTTATTACTTCTCTCTTTTGCTCTATGTCCTAGAGAACTTCTGTGGAGCTATACTTTTTCACTTTCCAGTTTTCTTTATTATTTTGTATGCATTTGTCCAGTCTCCCCAGCTAAACTATAAATACTTCAAGGACAGGACCACATCTTCTTTTGGATCTCTCAATAATGCCAAGAAAAGTGCTCTGCATTTGCTAGGATGGGAGAAGAGGCATTGTCTCTGATGTTGTTCACATTCCTGTGAAAGGGTCTCTATGCATCTGGGAAAGATCACTAGACCAAGTAGTGCCCACCAGGTGGATCCATCACCCAAGGAAGACAAAACCTGAGATTAGGGAGCTGGGTTTTAATTTGCCTGTTTCTTGGGGGAAGGTATGGAAGCCTAGTACATTCTCAGATGTGTGCAACATAGCTCCTTAAGTCAACATACCTATGAGAGAAATGGGTTGGGTGATATAGGAGTTCCCATCAAAACAATAATATAAATTATTATTCCCCAGACAAGTTATGCAAAGAAAAAAAAGGCCCACAAAACAAAAAAACCCATAATTTAAGACTTTTTTTTTTATAAATCTGGTCAGATGTAAATTTCAGATGCCTCTAGTTAGGGAAAAGCTATTTATAAAACTGTTTAAGAGGCTTATTTTCCAGTTTAATGTTTTCTTTATTGTCTACTTCCTCATGGGCTTTAGCAGTGACCYCCAAGCAGGGCCCAGGCTTATTGCAAGGGCCCAGCTTTGGGTAATTGGCCCCACTACCAACAGATCAAAGAACTGCAGASCAAGCTGCGGGAGCTGCAGCTGCAGTACCAGGCTAGCATGGATGAACAGGGGCGGCTCCTGGCAGTGCAGGAGCAGCTGGAGGGGCAACTGCAGTGCTGCCAGGAAGAACTCCACCAGCTCAAAGAGAGAAAGTCGTCCTATGTTGGCAAAGAGGCCAGGGGAAAGAATGGTAATAAGAACATGAACAAGAATGCCAACGGGGCTAAAAAGAAAAAGGTGACCAAGCCATCCTATGACAATTCTGAGGGCAACATTGAGAACACAAAGGTGAGTCACAGCTCTAGCAGCCATTTTGTTAGGAGGGTGGAGGAGGMGCTGGGAGGAATAATCATCTCCACGGCCATTTCTGCCAGGTGAGGTTCTTGTACAAAGGCTTCTGGGATCCTTAAGTGTCACCAGTAGTTGGGACTCCCTTTTCTCAGGAGTGGTGGGAAGGGAGGATGCAGTGCCTTAAGCTGAACAACTGTTCCCACTGGCCCAGCCCCATTTCCAGGGCCTCTGTTCTTCCTGAGTTACATGTGCAAGAGAAGACCAACCAGATACAGGGAAAGGGATTTATTCAGAATAGTTGTGTACTAATAAGTGAAAGGATTGGGCACTATAAGAGTCACCTTGAGGGGTGGGAAGGAAAAGCAGAGGCACAGAGCCCAAGAATTGTGAGCTGTTTGAAAGGGCTTAATGGCCGGTTAGAGTATTGGCCCCAAGAGGTTAGGTGTGACTACCTTCCGCATTATGCAGTCCGAGAACTACACTACATCCTGGCACAGTAACATGATGTAATAGAGTTTTCTGAAGATAGTGCAGCACTGTCAGGAGAGTAGGATTCTTCATGGGTAACAGCAGCCCTCATCCTGCCCTACCTCCACCTTGCAGTCTCTGGAGGTGGTACTGTACTACACGGCTAGCCAGAGCCAATTAGATGAGCTAGCAAAAGAGGAGGAAAAGAAAGAGGAGGTGGGARAGCCAAAACAGGAAGAAACAAAAGAGGAAACCATGGAGCTTCACTCAGATGAGCTAGCTACTGAGCCAACAGATGCTAAGGAGGCTAAGACAACAGAAGATCACGAGGAAGAAAATGAAGAGTACAGTGAACAGAATAAGGAAGAAGATAATGAAGAAGACGACGACAATGACTCTTCCCCTGAGACTTCTGAGGAAAACAACCCTCTTAAACTTTCTGAAAGTAAAAAGGTAACCACAACCAAAGGTTGGATCAAGTGGGAAATGGGCCTTGGGCTCAGGCACCCTGGTGTTCAGGACTGGCCCTGCCAAGGATGGGCTTCTATCAGAGCATAGGCAAACCAGTGCAAGGGTTGGTACTCAGGGAACTGGGTATGGAGAAGGGTTGGAGAGTGCAGTTCCTCTAAGGGAAATGGCAGGCTTAGACCAATTTGTTATGGAACCATCTCWCAATGACCACCTTTTCTGAGGACCAAGATGGGATCTCTGGAGTCTTGTTTCCTTACATTTGCATAGTAGCCCTTGTTATGTTTCTCTGTCAAGAGGGTTCCCTCGTTCCTGTCTTTGCAATACATGAAGGACCTTAATAGTGTGAGGCCTTCTACGGAGCATTTCTGTCAGCTTGGGCAAGTCACTCAGTCCTATTTTCCATTGGTACCATATTAGGCTTAACCTTTGTCATTGCTGTTAGGGGGTATGGGGAAGGTGATAATCTCTTTTTATAGGCTTGTGCCACCCATTGGGTTCCAAATACTGCAGGACATGAAGGTGGGGTGGGGGGGTGATAAGAGTGATTACAACAGGGGCTTTATCTGGTCCATGACTAGCTATAGCCCTAACCCCTTTGGTTGTTGGATCTTTGAGAGATTATGGTAGAGGTATTATGGGGGGAGGTATGCCAGGATAACAAGCATAATTTACCAACTGTACAGAAGTATTTCCATCTTAAAAATTGGCCCATCTGTATAGGTATTTACCAGCTGAATTCCTGCCCTGGGTGTTTTGGGGGCTCTGGGGTTTGAGTACTTCCTGAGAAAGTCCTCAGTTTATAGTATAGGTCCTTTCTGTCCCTCAAAACACAGGAAAGGAAATAAGTCTCTTGTGCTAGGATAACCCAGTCAATTCTAAGGATATCTGGAATTTTCCAGTCATTCATTCTGTAACATTGGTTAAGGATCCATTGTGAAGTTCTCTGTTAACCTTGTGGCAGAGGACTCCTACCTAGGATGTAGACAGTAGAAGCAACTGCTACATTTCTTTGAACTCCTCATATTCTACCACATGGTGGTTCAGAGCCTCATAGAAATCTTGAGGGACCACATTTATAAAGCCAGATCTGATTTTTGTACTTCAAAATCAAGTCTATTCCTTGTGTCTATGTATGGAGTTACCCCCTTTGCCCCAGTGGGTCCTGTACTTTCTCTTTTTGTGGGGCACTCAGATGGTATATTTATTATTGCCTATAAAATTCAGTTTCTCTAGACAACTGTTTTGTCAAAGAACTAACCCTTCTCCATTGTCTTTAGTGTTAGTGCACTTTGTCTCACAACTAATGTACAAGATTCCTAGGGTATCATAGGAACTAGAGCTTAAAATTCTAAGAAACTTGATAGAAAATAAGCCAGATGACCTGGCCAAAGACAGGCTTTTCCTAGAGTGATTAGGAAGTGTCCACCCTATTTCTCTAAGGAAGTTCAGTTTACTCTGGAGCTTCACTTTTCCAGAGTCCAGCCCACAACAAAGGTCTAAGTGCAGATAACTCCTGCTTGACCAGATATGAGAAGTACACAACAAGACAGAAAACAGGCCTTGCCCCAGATGTGGATCTAGCTGCTGCTCAACCCATTCAATTTTGTGACTTCTGCAGGCTGCCAGTGGGAAGAACTCCTCCTCTGCTCTCCTCAGGGCCCAGGGGCAGAGAAGAAATGCTACTGCTCTACCCTACATGATTTTTAACCTCTGGATTCTTTTCTCTTTCCCCTTTGTTTTCTCATCTTCATTATCTGTTGGATTCGTGTGTTTATGTCTTTTCATACCATTTCACATCTCCTGGTCTCTCCTTGTGCTTTTCTCTCATTTGACGTGTTGCAGCCATCCCCTGCCCCCGATCCCCCCATCTTCTCCTTGCCTCTTGTAGGCCTGGTGGTCATATCGGCTCTGCTCTGGTGCTGGTGGGCTGAGACATCATCCTAACGCAGGTACTGGTATTGCTTCCTYCTCTTTCCTCTCAGCTGCTTGCTTCTTGCTTTGGCCACTATACAACAGGTGATGCTCAGGTCTGTTTTACTTCGGCTTTTCCTCCAGCTGTCACATGCCTATAACTTCTCGAGCATGTCTTCATGGAGTACAGAATGCACAGGGAGTTGGAATGTTTACTAAAGGCATGGTTTGAGTTTCTRTCCTTTGCTGGGAAAAACTTGGATTAACCCAGCACTGTTGCTACTGTCAAAGCTGCCCAACTACTTCTGATGAGCTGATGTTTGTCTGAAAGGCTGCCTTGGGCCCTCTTTGTCTTTTTTAACCCCCAAGCCAATTTCTCATCATTGCTTCTATGCAGGATGACAAAATAAGGAGTCACTCCCTCTTCCCATGGGGGGGGGAGGGGTTGGAAGAGCTTTAATTCTTCTGATCTCCCCAGGAGCATTCAAATGAGAGCAACCTAAATTGATCCTTCAACCTTGATGAAAGTGGAACTGAACCCCTAACCATATTGTGCACCTTGTCTTGAAAAGTTCTCTGGTTTGGTACTTCTAGTCTTCAGGAAAATTAGAACAGAATACCAGGAAATATTTTTTAGTTCTCTGATTATCCCTTTTKGAGGCCAGATTCCATTGTAATTGATTTCCTAAGCTAAGTTTTCTAAAGAGAATACAGTACTAATGAAAAGTTTGTACTAGCTACAGATGTAAGTATTCTTAGGAAATCAAGACTGATACATTCTGGGCACCTCCCAGTTGGCCCCAGTTCATGTAACCTTATCTGTCAATGGAATACCAAATTCATGAGGCAGATTGTGGTCTCATGGCCCTGGGGTTCCACCTGTTTTCTGGAACCCATACGCTATTCCTTCCCCTGTCCTCTCTTCTCACATCCCTGTAAGTGAGGTGTAGTTGGCTTAAGGCACAGGTTTGGAGGGCAGCCGAAGCATTTTTTGATGGTACTTCTCACTGTTTCCCTTTCTGTCCCTCCTTTTTTCACTTCCCTAATTATTTCCTTCTCTTCATCACTTCTTCTCTCTTTCCTATTATACTTCATGACAGTCTTTAGCTTCTTTAGTGACAGAAGTCTCTCCTTACATCTTTTCCTTCACTGCACACCCTCAGATGTCTTCAGTACCTATAATGTAAGACCCAAAGTACCCAGCTGTAGCCTTTCACCAGACCCTATCAGAATGAGAGGAAAGAATTGTTGCCTAAAGTTCCTCTSGCAGCAGCCTCTTATTCCCAGAGCTCTTGTTAAACTCTGACTTGAGGTAGCATAGTGTAGTAGAATGTGTGACTGACAAGTGGTGAGGAGAGCTTGGTCKAGTCTATCTTTTCTTACAAAGCTTTATCTTGGCAAAATGTGTCATCTGAACTTAATTTCCTCAAATATATTATGTTTGACTAAGCTCTGTGTTCCTCACCAGGCTTCTGTGAGGATCAGATAAGTGAATGTATATGAAAGTACCATAAAGTATCAATAACAAAAAGAGCATAAACTTATATAAGACATACTGTGTGTTGGACACCCCTCTATCACTGCATATATTAATTAATTTGATCTTTACAGCAACCCTAGGAGGAAGCTCTACTATTGTCATTTTAAACATGATAAAACTGAGGCATAGAGAGGTGACTAAAAGCCTGGAAATTRTGAATTGGATTTTAAGGACTTAATATTAGCTACAGATAAAAACTCTAATTCCATTTCCTGTTATCATTTTTTTCCCCATTTTGAGCACTTTTCTCTAGTTGGCTCCAAGTAGCAGGAAGATGCCATATACTTCTGTTTATGCAACCTCAAATCTCATTAGCTTTTTTGGTAACTAATGTCATGGATTTGCTTCATGTGTTGTTTATAAAACCCCTTTGTACATTGCTTATGCTAAGCATCACCTTCTGATTCTGTACTAGCATTTGATTGTTTTGGATCCAAAGGTAGAAATTTCCTTTTATCCATATCAGATATAGTCCATTGTTCTAACCTATGGAGTGTTTTGTTTGTTTGTTTGTTTGTTTTTATCTTGGCCCTCTGTTTTCAAAATGTTGACTTTCCTTGTCAGCTCCATGTTATCTTCAGGGGTGACAAGCCCACCAGGAGGACTTTATCCTCCTGATGACTTCATCCAAGTCACAAGCAAGGACCCAAGCCAGGAGTGGTGGTGCATATCTGTAATCCCAACTCCTTGGAAGGCTGACACTGGAGGATCATAGGTTTCAATCCAGCCTGGGCAACTTTGTGAAATCCTGTTTCAAAATAAAAAATAAAGGCTGGGGATGTAACTCAGTGGTAGAGTGCCTCAGGGTTTATTCCCTAGTACCGGGGGAAAAAAAGAAAAAAAGAAAAAGAAAGAAAGAAAAGAACAGAACAGTGGGAAAGAAAAAGAAAGAAAGAAAAGAACAGAACAGTGGGTATCCAACTTCTAGGGTGCCAGTTCTCTTTTATTTAGCTTATTGACCACTTAACAAATGGTCATCCTAATCTTATTTCCTCATGTTATCTGCAAGGATTTTAAGAAAAAATCTTGTCAAACACTTTGGTTAAGCCTCAAAACATGATTTCCTTGATCTATCAATTTAATAATGCAGTGCAGAAGCCTGCAATTTCTAGAAGCCTGTGATTTCTTGAAGCCTATAACTTCCTCCTTTGGAAAACCCAAACCATTCCTTTATGTGTYCAGTCCAGAATCTTGATTCTGCTCAATGTATAGTGCACCAGTTAGCATTTATGGATTTCAGCTCTTTCMTCCTTTTAAGAACATTAGACTGACATTTTTAGCAATGTGCATCAGGATATTAACATCTATGCATGTAAACATTTTTCCTAGCACCTTTCTCAGTTATTTTCTTTGTAGATTAGTCTGTATATGCACTTCCAACATTATTTTTGCTTTCTATTAGATATTTCTTGTTCTACCGTGTAACTATTTCTACAAATTTAGAGGATTTTCTTTGTTATTTATAGTTATCTTAAAATCTTTGTTTTAGATCAGTTATTCTCTGAGCAAATGTATTCTTATTAATGGATTTTATTCCATCTTTACCAAAAGACATCCTTTTACTTTATGCCATAGCTCTTGACTCAATATTAAAATGTCATCTTTCACATAATAAGTAAAAAGAGTAACAAAAATGGGAACTATTTCCCCAAKTWTKTATTTTCTTATCTGAGGTTTCATTTCTTAAAGGGTATTTTGTGGATCTCTTCTGATGGTGTTATTTGTTGTCCATGAATCAGCAGAGTTCACCAGTGGCCAGCAGTGTGTAGAAGGCTCAGCATACTGCAACACATGTGCTAGGAAGCCAGTCCACACACTTAGGGTAGGGTATTTGGTGACTCGACATTTGCTTCTCAGGGCAATTAACACTTCCCTTGAATTTCCTTGAACTGACATCCTTCTGTGCATAAGGTCTGGCTGTATAAAGGACCTCCTGTGCACTTGTACTCCTTCACTTCCCTTCCTTCCTCTTGGCTCTGAGTTGTTTCTCCTTCACAAAGCTTACTAGGAATGGMCACTTTCCCTGAAGATCCAGCTTTACCCTCTCCCTTCTTGCTACAGCATCTACCCTTTCTCAAGCATCCTCGTGGAGATCTGCAATCTGGCCCATGAGCTTGCCTCCACATTTAAGGACCAGTATTCTCATTGTTTGGGGAGAAAGGAAGACTTACACACAAGTGTCACCTGAGGTGACATGTACAGTGTTGCACCCCATATCTAGTGTCAGGAAGAAGAGACCATGTGATCTCCACCGCTTACCTGGGAGGTGAGAGAAGCTGAACCATGATGTTCCTGAGGTGTCCCTCTCTGGCACAAGCAGGCAGGTGATTTCTGGCTTTGGGAAGGGTTCAGAAGGCTGGAAACTCACGTTTTTCTTTGGTCCCCACAGAACATGTTTGGGATGTGGAAGCCTATGGCATTCTTGGCTATTGCAGCTGTGGCTCTGTATGTGTTACCCAGCATGCGACCGCAGGAGTCAGAGTTCTGCCTCATGGAGTGATGGCAGACCTGGGCCAGCCGAAAGGGCAGATCCCCAGGAGCCACCACCCTCACCTTTGGGCAGGACACACTATGCCAGAGCTCCCACCTCACTCATGTCCCATGTGTCCCCACCTATCTCCTTAGCCTCAGCCACTGAAGCTGGAAAGGCTTATGGGAGCTGCTGTCTCCCATCTCCTGCCTTGTATAAGATCCTGGGTTCCTTGTAATTAAATATCAACCCAATTACATGAGACTTTGTGGCTCTTTATTTACTAAATGCTTCATACACAACCAGAACAAAGCAGCTCCCCTTCAACCAAGTACTTCACGTAAGGATCTGGCTCCTAAATATGATTTCTCACCTTACAGATGACCTCAGAAACAAGTCTGGCTCCCTGTGCTGCCAGCTAAATCACAGAGGGTTTGGTCTGTACCTGTTAACTTAGCTCAAGGAACTCTGAGCTTGGRAAAATGGAGGGGGTCCAAAAGACCTCCTCTTAGGTTTTCTGTACCCATACCCCTCCCTGTATGAGGATTCCCCAAGAAGATCTGTGTGGGCGTCTTCATGGATTAGTCCTTGTGACTCAAGGGGTTTGCTCAGATGACTTTTTCATCAGTCAAGTTCCTGGCCATAAACAGGATACTCAAAACTAACTAAAAGAGATCAATGAAGGAACTAAGCACAGAAGGCAGGGTTAGGAGAGCCAACAAGGAAAGGCAACACAGCTAGGTCCTGGCACTAGTGGAAAGCTGTTGCCACCTCCACTGGAAGGGGARGGGAGGAAGCAAGAGCTGAAGCCCCAAAAGGAACCCCAAGCAGGAGTGCAGTGCCAGGGCCCTGAGGAAGAGGCAAGACTTTTTAGTCCTAGCCCTTTCCTCCTACCTGCCTGCTTCCTGTTGGTACCTCTGGTTGACTGAACCCAGCAGGGAGCCAGAGAGCAGAGGTGCCCAGTTGATATGATCTTTCAAGGTCAGCCTCCTGGAGCTCAGAGCAGGACATAAGGGGACAGCAGAATGGCCAGATAATTTATGTGTATTCCTGTTTACCTTCGTTCCACTTTATGATTGGTTGTTCTCATTGTGAGTGTTGGCACATGAAAGAAAGACTCTGAGTGTATTAAACCCCCATGACCACTGGTTTCCTAGGGACTCTTCTTTCTGCCACCAAAGGACTTTGTTCCATTCAACCAAGCATGTGGAGCAATGTATGGACACAGAGCATGGATGGATGCTGAATGGATGCTGCTGAGCTCCAGATGAGTCCATTTCTTCCCAGCCCTTGCCTAGGGGGAACAGCAAGAACATGTAAAATGAGGAGTTCAAATTTACCCATCCTAGAGAAGTGATAACTGAACTAGAAGTCCCYTCTGGCAGGACTAGAGTCAGTGCCAACACTGGGACCAGCCCCTTATAAACATGGCTGTGACCAGGCAAACTGAGGGTGGTGCCACTTGTTCTTTTTCTTTTCAAGTGACTCTTCTCTGAAGATCATCCTGATTTAGGGTAGCCTAATCCATTTCTATTCCAAGTGACCCAGGACCAGCAGCATCAACATCACCTGGGAGCTTATTAGAAAGGCAGAGTCTCAGTCCTGCCCCAGATCTCCTGACACAGAATCTGTATTTTAACAAGACACGTAGGTCATTAGTATGCCTARTAACATTTGAAAAACACTGCCCTCACCAGTTGTATTACGTTTTATGTATTCAGTCATTACCTAATTCAAGAAATTCCTTTGTAGCTACCTGGTACTACTTGATTCTGAGGGTAGTGAGACCCTGCTTATTCAGTTTACTCACCAACAATTTCTTGGAAAACAATTTGGAAAGGACCAGAAGATGACCTATAGCCAAGTGCTATGGCCCGAATGTCTGTGCTCCCAAGAATTCCTGTYGAAATCCTAATCTCCAAGATGATGCTATTAGGAAGTGGGGYAAAGCTCTCACAGTGGGTTTAGTTWCCTTATGAAAGAGAACTCAGACCCCTTTACCCCTTCTGCCATGTGAGGTTACAATGAGAAGATGGCTATGAGGAAGGGTGGCCTCACCAGACAAGGAATCTGCATGTGCCTTACCTTGAGCTTTCCAGCCAGAAGAAAAATGAGAAATTTCTGTTGTTTATAAGCTATCCAGTTTACAATATTTTGCTGTAGCACTTAGATAAGCTAAGAAATCAAGGATCACTTGGATTTAGAAACCAAGATGGAGATGAGGTTCTGGGTAATAATGACAGGAATGTGGGCTTGCCTTTCCCCAGCCTTTAGGACACTTGCCCCTCTCTGTGCACTTTAGAATCTCTTCCCCTTCCTTTGGTTTGAATCTGGAGCCACCTGATCTTATTGATCAGTGTTACCAAAACATGTGAAAGAGGTCTCCTTGTTAAACATTTGTTTGAGATAACTTAAAAACKGGTGGAGTGAGGAGGAGTGACCTTAAGTCCACAGCAGTATGTCTTAGAAACTACAGGCAGGCATGCACCCTGGCATTGGTATRGCTAGAACCAAGAACCCCCAAACACCTTCATGAGCCTCCATCTTTTGGCTTCTACCCTCTGTATAACTGCTTTCTACCCGTTGTCTACAGTCTCGGCCCGCCTTGCTATCTCTGCCCAACCCACCACTGCCACCTCTGCCAAGGACCAGCTGCTGTTATTGGGGTGGGTGGTTATGAAGTACAGTAACTCTGGTTCTGATTCTGGCAGGTGGTGTATCAGGATGGAGGAAAGGGGTGAGGGGAGTAGTGTCGATATCTAGGCCGTGTATCTGCAGGGCTATGGACACAGCTGTGAGGAAGGGCCTCATTCCCTAGAACGAACTCACACACACCAGCAGAGGAAGCAAACTAACTTTTTTTAAAATCCCCTATTAGATGCCAGGTGTCATGCTAGTCATATTATTTCTTCTCATCTTCACACATTTTTTWAAAAAACACTATTGAGGGTGTTATTCCATTTTACAGATGAGAAAGGGAGGCCTGAAAGAGTTATGTAACCTGCTCAAGGTTATAGAACCAGAAATGAAGAGGCTGGAATTAAGCCTTTGGATCTTTCTTTTCCTGCCACCTGGGACAGAGCCACAGCCAGTGCCTGCTGTGGGCCTGACCAGCCTAGAATCATTAAATGACTGCAGGAATGTCCCTGGTTCCAGGAAGACAAGATTTTTAAACATGGCCCACTGGATCCACTCAGGCAAATTTGGCTCAACCCAAATTAAATACAGCCCATGTCAGTGGCTGTCAATCAGTGCCCCTTGATGAGAGAGACAGGCCCAGATGAAAGGCCAGGCAACCTGGTCTCCTGAGATAGGTCAGCGGGTGATGAGTCAGGGGGCTATAAACGGCCTGTGGCCCCAGCCAGCAAAGCCCCATGTACTCAACTGATGAAACCCCTAGTAAGCCCCTCTCGGTATCCCTGCCTGGCTTGGGGAGGAACAYATTAGCTCTCCCTGGGGAAGGGGCCCCACTTGGCAGGTCCCAGGACAGCATTGTGCACGGTCTGTTCCAGCCCGCGTGGCCGGGCCTGGGGCCTGGGCTCATGGGCTATATTGAGGGCTGAGTCACCAGCCTGTGCCTGGGTAGGCTGACTGTGACTGGCTGCTGGGGCTTGAGTCAGGCCCCGATTTATCCTGGAGAGCAACAGGCTCAGGTTTCTGGGGTTGGGGAGGTTGGCGGGAATCATCYTTTGGCACTTTGCACCCTGCTCTGCTGACCATTTACTTGCTCCTCTGGGACCCACACACTGATCTTTCCCAAGTGAGATAGTGAGATAATGAGTCAGAGAGGAGAGCAAGGCAAGCTATCCTTGGGAGTTTTCCCTGGCTTTGCTCTGAACCCTCCCACCTAATTCACTATTATTGTTGTTGTTGTTATTATTGGAACTGGTCAGTTGAACCCAGGGGTGCTTTACCACTGAGCTACATCCCCAGCCCTTTTTATTTTGAGACAGGGTTTTGCTAAATTGCTGGCCTTGAACTTGCAATCCTGGTGCCTCAGCCTATGGAGTCACTGGGGTTATAAGTATGTGCCACTATGCCTGAAAGAACCCTTCCAGCTCTTGACTGACTGGGTACCTCTGATAATGACACCCACCAGACAGGACTATGTATGTTTAGGTTCCATAGAAGAGCTGTGAGCCCCAGGCAACCCCACCTGACCCCTTTCTCCCCTCCCCAGCAGCTCAGAAAGGTATCCATCATTTCTCAGATCTGAACCTCAGTTTCTTCATCAAGGCTCCAGAGACAACAGTGGAACCCTGAGCTCCTGGCACTTTGGGTTGGCTGTCAGAAGTTGACTTCTCTGCCCCCCACACACTTTCCTTATGAGACCCAGCTATGTATCTTGAGCTGGGCATCTCTCTAAAGAGAGCTCAGCCTCTCAAGTGGACAGCACTAGTACCTGATGTGTGGTTTTGGCCATTGGATGAAGATAGTTTAGAGAGAATGAGAGCTCTGGAGACAAGGAGAGGGGGTTGCCAATAGGAGAGTGGAATTCCTGAGTACCTCGTCACAGGCGGCCAACAGAACATGAGCTGCAGGGCCCAAGCTATTTATACCTCGCCYGTCACTATCAGGGCCCCCAGACAACACCCCCTCCAGCTATGCAGAGCAGGTCCCTTTTCTGTTTCTGGTCCCTTCCACTCCTCCCCCTCTCTACCAAAGGACTAGGCAGTCTCGTTACATGAGAAGAGAAATAAATGATTCATGGAACCCTGTCACCATAAGCACTGGCCCTCACAAAACCCTAAACTTCTTTGTTAGTCCATAATAGGTACTGCCCTCACTCTGCCCTTGGTGAAAGTTCCCCTAGATGTCTCCTATACCATACCCTTCCTTTTCACCAGGCTTGGGAAGAGTAAAGAAGTTAGAATGATTCACCTACAAAGTCCATAATCCTTCCCAGTTCTTAAACCACCATGTGTCTTGAGTTGGGGACTATCAAGCTTAGACATGGCCTCCTCCCCAATTAAATTTACTGGGTCTAGAAGGATGGGGAAGCAGAGGAAGCTTAAAGGAGGGCAGGAAGTTTGGAGTCAATGTGTGCTACGAGTTGCCAAATACATATTCTCCTTATATGTTCTGTGGCTTTCTCCTCATCCCCCACCAGTGCTTCTAGTGCCTCACTTTCCCCGCTGTCACCACTCCCCAAGCCTCCAGCTGCCTCTGGCTCACTCTGAACCCAGTTCTGCCTAGGCATCTTGCCTGGCTCCCTGGGTTCTCCCTGCCCACTCTGCCCCGGGCCCTGCCCACCTGCCTCAGTCACATTTCCCCTTGGCTGCTCCACCAGGGCTCTCCCTGCTTCTGTCTGGCTAACCTGCCCTTTCCCTGAGAGGATCTGTCCTGTGGCCCACATGGGCATATTGCCCAGGGGGCTCCCTGGCATCACAGGGGCAGTCTCTCCTTTCCCTCTCATCACCTCAGTTGAGTCAGACTCGGGGGAGGGGGCCGGAGTGGGGACACACAGTCTGACTCACTGAGTACCTTTTCCCTGAGCTCAGCTTCATTCTCAGAGGATGAGGCCAAACCGACTGGTGACAGGGACACTGAGTCAAGGRCAGGATCCTTGGTCTTTTCCCTAGGACCTTGAGTTTGGGCTCCAAATGAGGCTATTCTACCTGTAAAGAGGAGCAATGAGGAAAGACCCCACACCTTCCTCCTCCCCCTCATTGGCCTGGGTAACATCTCCTTCCTCTCAGGCCATCTCTGTGCAAGCACACAAATTTCCCTTCCCAGTCCACAGGTGGACAATGCCCTGGGCTAGAAGCCAAGATTCCCAGGCTCTTGTCAACAGCCTCGCTACGTCCAGAAACTTCTGTCAGCACCTTATCAGTGTGTTTAGCTCTAACCACTGGCCTCAGTTTCCCCATTTATCTCTATAATCCCTGCTGGATGTGGAGGGAGCATATTTTATCTAACACTTAGTTTTGTAATGCCGGTGCGTGTGGGGCACTGCCGCCCTCCCAGAGCCAAGGAACCCTGCGGAGGGGGCGGGAGCCCCAACCCAGTAGCGTCTGCCACGGGCRGGCCGCGTGGGGGAGGGGCGGCGGAGGCGGGGCCGTGGGCTGGCGCGGCCCCCACCCGCGGGCCGGGCGGCATTCCTGGGAGGCCGGCGCTCTGACGTGGACCCGGGGGCCGCGGGCGCGGCTGGGGGGGCCATCGGCCCGGGGGCTTCTTAAACCCCCCGGCCCGGCCTGGCCCTCACTTYCCGAGCACCGCTCCGCCCCCGGAGAGAGAGAGAGAGCCAGAGCCAGAGAGCCGCAGAGGAGCCTAGGAGGCCCACAGAACCCGGTCAGCCAGGGCGCAAGAGAAGTTGGAGAAGAGAGCGCAGAGCAAAACAGCGAGTCCCGCGGTCGCAGCCCAACAGCGCCCAACAGCATTCGCTAGCACCCGCAGTCCAAGCCCCCAGCCCACGCAACCCCGTCCCCGCTCCGACAACATGATGAACAACAGTGGCTACTCGGACGCCGCCGGCCTCGGCCTGGGCGACGAGGCGGACGAGATGCCGTCCACAGAGAAGGACCTAGCAGAGGACGCTCCGTGGAAGAAGATCCAGCAGAACACATTTACACGCTGGTGCAACGAGCACCTCAAGTGCGTGGGCAAGCGCCTGACCGACCTGCAGCGCGACCTCAGCGACGGGCTGCGCCTCATCGCRCTGCTTGAGGTGCTCAGTCAGAAGCGCATGTACCGCAAGTTCCACCCGCGTCCCAACTTCCGCCAGATGAAGCTGGAGAACGTATCTGTGGCCCTTGAGTTCCTGGAGCGCGAGCACATCAAGCTCGTGTCCATCGGTCAGTGTGGGCGATGAGGGCATGGTCACAATAGGGAAGAGGTGGTCCCATGTGGGTAGGGGATATAGGTTCGGGTGGGCCCATCAGGATCTGAGAGATGAGATAGGAATGGGGACCAGGGGGAGGACCCTGGCCTGGTCTCTCCCCCCAACCAATGCAGACCACCTGGGCACTACCTTGACACCCCTCTCAGGACAATGAGCACTCCCTGAGTGGCCTGGGAAGTCCTGAGGTTTCCGTTTCTGAGCCCTGCAGCTACAACCTCCCCATGAGCTCTCCCACCAACCTGCTTCCCTCGCTGTCCCCTTTCCTTCCATTGAACAGCTCCTATGCATGCTTGAGAGAAAAGGGCCAGTAACCATAGCTGATTCTGGGGGTATACTCCGGATCCCAAAAAAGCAAATGGCTTCCCAGCCCCTCCAAGGGGAAGACCAGACTGAAGACAGATCCTGACCACCCCCTGGATCTCTCTCTGAGCTCAGAGGCCCGGGAAAGCTGGTGGCCTGTCAGCTCCACTGAGGCCCTCTGTAGGCATGTGCTCTGCAGCTGGGTTCAGTCCTGGGATGGGGCAGGCAGAGCCCAGCCTCAGAAACCTAAAAAGGCACTGAGCTAAGGCAGGGAACCTTAACCCCTGCCTGCCCTCCTGCTTTAGCCTTCCCTGGAGGGGGGCTCTTGCCTGTCCTTGCCCTGCCCCAACCCACCGCCTATGCTTGGGATTGGCTGTAGCTAACAGTCTGGGCTTTGAGGAGGGAGGGGAAGTCCTGCAGAGGGGAGGAAGTCATTGAGTGTAACCAGATTTGGAAGGTGTGTCAGTGCTGGGTGGGGGTGGGGAGGCATTCTAGCTCTGGGGGCCCAGAATTCCCAGGGTGGGCTTCCAGTGGCAAGAGGCTGCCTCTCCCCTTATAACCTGTCCTTTCCTTGTAGGCTGGAGGCCAGGGACAGACTCCCACCTCACCCCTGTAGTGAGTTCATGAGAGCTCTATTGTGTTAAGAAAGGGCCCCCTGACCGGCCTCAGCTCTAGGGAAGTTGTACATGGGATTAGGTGCCCCCACACAGGCTGTCCCAGAGTYTTGTCTAGATAACTGGATGCCTGTACACCCTCATTTTCCCTCAGGGCCATCTCCAGCCCTCCTGAATTAGCAGCTGAGGTCAGTCTGGGGCCCTTTGCTCTGTCCAGTCTCCTCCCTAGGCCTTACCTCCTCCTGTCCCAATACTGCCACCCCTCACCCCCTCCTGCCTGGCCTGGAAATAGCCCTGTCTCCGTGACACAGCAGATGTCTCTGAGCTTTCCAGAAGGACAAGCCTGAGGGCAAGGGGTGGGGGAGGGGACCCTGGTGTGTGTAGTGGGGCTGAAGGCTAGAAGAATTAGGGGGGGTGGGTCACACATGAGCCAGCCCTGGGGTCATCATCACACTCCATGCTGGGATTTGAAAAGTAGGACTGACTGTCCCAGGTGGGTCTCCAGGGGAAGGACTGAGGCCTCTGCAAAACATTATAGAAACCACTCAGCCTCCCCTCCCTCCCAGCTGTGGGAGCAGCAGGCCCCTCTCCAGGCCTCATCCTTCCCCTGTGCACCTCTCCCCTCCCCCATGTCGGTGCCTGGCTCCAGCCCCCCTTGGCTCAGCTATGGAGGGGCCGGATCCGAGTAGAAGGGAAGAAGCCAGCACTGGTTTGGGGGCGGGAGGGAAGCTCCCTGGGTTCCTGCTGAGAGGAAGGGGAGCTGAACCCGCTTTGGGCCAAGTGGCTCACTCCCGCTGATGAGATAAGCTGTCAGCAATTCAGCTGTTGGGCCGGGGTGAGGCTGCGGGGAGGGGCTGAGACACCAGCCTGGTTGACCCCAGGAGACATAAAGGAAACTGCCCACAGTGGAGGAGGGGGGCATCCTGCTTCTCTGGCTTCCCATTCCATTTATTGGTGGGAAGGGGCTATCCGGGGAGTCTCCTGGGCATTGTCTTCGGACTGAAACTGAACATTTGGGCACCTGAGGGAGCAAGGGTCACAAAGACATTCCACTTCTCTTCCTAGAAGGGAAGTCAGGGCCTGGAGTGGGAGCTGGAGGTGGGGTCCTTGGYCGGGTTGAAGAAGCTGTGTGCCTTTTCTTTCCTAGCACCCCTGTGAAGGCCCCCACCACCCCATAGCCCCTCCGAACAAAGAGGCCTATGAGGCAGCCCTGTCCCGCAGCTGTTCCCCAGTTGCTATTCCTTCTCCGGGAGCCAATAGCCGAAGGAGGGGCTGGAGGGGGCAGCAGCTGTCCCAGCACCTCCCTTGGCCCAGCCCTCTCTCTCCTCTCTCCATCCCCCCCCAGACAGGGGTGTCCAGGACTAGTTGTCTGGCTCCTCCCATTCCTTTGGGGGTATCCCCAGGCAGAGGGAATGGTGATTTGGTGGGTTGTTGCACAGGAAGAAGCCTGGGTAGAATACAGTTCTTCCCCTCTGCCTGGCCTCCTAGAGAGAGGCGAGGGAGAGGAAGGTCATTGCTCCCAGGGTGGGACTCTGGGCCCAGATGCCTCTCTCCTGCCCTAARCCATGGACCACTTGCTGTCTGGCCCAGGGCCAGTTGCTAGGGAAAAACTTTCTCTCCAGCAAACATGAATGACCCCCTCTCTACCTCACCCACCCCCATCCYGAAGCCTCAAGGCCTCCCTCCCAGGGTCTGGCTCCAGTTTGTAAGAAGCACTTCTGGGTGTGTAAGACCCTAGCTTTGGAGGCTGTCAAGGGCCATGAAAGGCTGGGGGCACTGGGACGTCCAGATTGTGTGAAAGTGTTGTGGGCCTGTGTGTTTGAAAGAGTGAAAGCACAGGAGGCCGGCAGTGAGTGTGTCATGGAACCCSAGAGCTGCCAAACCATTGTGCTGCAGGGAAGCCAGGGGAAAGGGGTGGGCTGGGGAGCTGCTGGGGAAGGAAGGATGAATCAGTGAAGGGTGGGAGAGCTGAAGGGCTAAGCCCCAGGGCCAGGGAGGCCAAGAGATTCTTCCTTCAGGGCCAGGTGGAGTGGAGGGGGGATGCCAGGGGTTCCCTAGACCCCTGTCTCCTGATACCCTCCCCCAAGATCTAGGAAAGGGGAGCCTCCAGCTCCACCTTCTCTCATCAGGCAGCATCAATAAACAAGACTGAGTCTTCCACCCACTCCCTACTTCCTAAGAGCAATGCTCAGGGAAGCTGATGGGTTTCAGACCTGCATTATCCTTTAAGCTGGATTCCAAAATCTATACTCTAGTCCCCTCCCCTCCTGAACATTTCCCTTTGACTATTAAAGGGGAGTTGGGTCTCTAAAATCTTAGGAAAACAGCTCAGAGAAGATAGTGGATAGCCTCTGTCTGAGCCTGACACTTGAACCCACATGAGTGACATTTCCCCGGGCACTTGTGAGATCCGACTGGCCCCCCGCATTTTGCAACACAATTTCCAAGCCTTATTGAGCATGCAATGTACCCTTTCCTCCTCCTAGAACCCCATTGTTCCAAAAGCCTTATGGCCTTTGGGGTAGAGTGTGAATGGAATGGAACAGATCACATTCCTCTCTAAGATTTAAAGTATTTCATTCAACCATTTTTGTTGAGACCCTCCTAARTTCTAGGCCAGACCAATAAATTTGTATTTTTAATGTATAATTCCATTTATACAYAATCCTAGAAAATAYATATACTAATCTATATGACAGAGGGCAGATCAGTTGTTGCCTGGGAGGATGGAACAAGAACAGGCAGGAGAAAGGGATCACAAGAGGGAGTATGTACAAGGAAATTTGGGCAGTGATGGCTGTGCCAATTATTTTTGATTGGTAACAGTAGCTTTGTGGGCATATGCCTATTTTCAAGGCTTTTCAAATTGTATTCTTTAATATATGCCATTTGTTGTATGTCAGTTAGGTGGTTAAAAAAACAAAATGAAATAGTGTATATCCCCAAGAGAACTGCAGTCTAGTAAGGCCAAAGGCAGGATGGCTTGCTTAGATCAGAGGCAGACTCAAGTGTGGCAGCAGAGGTGGAAATACCTGCACAGGAGCAGAGAGGTGCAGCCTGAGTCTGAAGCTGGAACCCAGAGAGGGCTTGTCATTCTGGGCCAGGCCTTGCTAGAGGGAATTTGGTAGGTTGAGAAAGGGATAAATTCTGGAGGAAGGAGTCTGACCTTAAGGTCCCTCCTGAGMCGGCTTGTTCCCTCTGCTTTGCAGACAGCAAGGCTATTGTGGATGGGAACCTGAAGTTGATCCTGGGCCTGATCTGGACACTGATCCTGCACTACTCCATCTCCATGCCCATGTGGGAGGATGAGGATGATGAGGATGCCCGCAAACAGACACCTAAGCAGCGTCTGCTTGGCTGGATCCAGAACAAGGTGCCCCAGCTGCCCATCACCAACTTTAACCGAGACTGGCAAGACGGCAAGGCTCTGGGTGCTCTTGTGGACAACTGTGCTCCTGGTGAGTAGGCAGTGGGCATACCATGGAGCCCTTAGCCTAGAAGGACAGTGGGAATGAGCTGGGGTGCTGAGGCTTATGGTTGTCAGAATGTACACCCCAGGGCCTGGGGGGTCAGGATCACCTGRGGGAGGGTTATTCCTCTAGCCAGGAATCACTGCTGGAATTAGGTCTTACCCCATGGGTGGACTATATTCTGCAGGGACAGGAAAATGTTTAAAACTCATTTTATAGGCCAGGACAGCCAGGTCCAGAGAGGGCCAGTGACTTGTCTATGATTGTACAGTTTGTGGCAAAAGTACCTGGAGCCCAAGGCCTGGACTCCCTGCTCCATGAGCTGCCTACTCTGCCACATGGACACCATTCCCACTGAGCTGAGAGAGGGGAGATGGAGTGGGGCTTGCAGCAAGAAGGTCCCAGTTAGACCCAGAGAGGCCTCTTCTTTGTGAGATCAGCTTTGCGAAGCAGTTGAAACTCAGGATGTTATGGGCTGAGGCAGCAAGGTACTGCCCAGTGACAGGTGACCTAGCTCCACTCCTCCGGGTGTAGGCCCTGGACTGATCAGGTGGGAGAAGACCAGGGCCCTAAAAATACTAAGGCAGTATGAGCCACCTGTTGACAGCTCCTTCCTGACCCTTCTCTCAGAAGAGAGGTCTTCTTCCAACCTAGGTCTCTGGCCCTGCCTGAGGAGCCACAATCCCTCAGGGAATCCTCCCCCACCCTGGGGTCAGCTGGGGAGCAGGGGTGGGAGGCGGGGGTGCCTCCTGGGAAACATTCCCAGCTGCTGAGCCATTGCCCACGACTGGTGTGGCTGCCAGCAGTGACCTCAGCTGTTCCAGCCAGTCATGGATTCCAGCCTTTGAGCTGGCCCCCTCCCTGCACCGCTGCTCATTGCCCCCCTCCAGCTTTGTCCTGGACTAAGCCCCTCCAACCCTGCACCCCTTTACAGGGTGATCTGGGGTTGCCTCAGCACTCTTCTGACAGGAAGCTGGGCTCTTGATGGCCATAAAGAAGACTTCATTTTCTTCCAACAAGCCTTTCAGTGCCTCAGTTTCCCCAAGTGGCAGTTAGTAAGAGAGAGGGATACTCTAAGGCTGGTGTGGGAAGTGTGGGAAGAGCTGGAATTACAGGGCAGCTGTGAAGGGACAGATCAGAAGCATGTGTGGGAAAGGGTGGGTGCTCACCTCCTCTACCTATCCCTGAGGCAGCTGGAATGAGGCAAAAGGGACCTGGGAAAGGGTCCCTCATGGGGGTTTGTGTTCAGGGTCTCTACTGGGTCCTGGGCAGGCAGGAGGCTGGCTAGTAGGGCTGGTGCCAGGCTGCGTCAACCAGGGCAGAAAGGGCTTATTGTTGGTGCTAGTGAGGGCTGCTGTGCCTACCCAGTGATGAGCATGATGAGTTGGGATGTCAGGGGCAGCCAGAACCTGGCTGGTAAGGGGCCTAGAGCTGGCCAGAAGGGTTGTGAAGTCACAGGTACCGAGGGAGTTCACTTAGTGAACACATCCTCCGTGCTCTGGCTGGTTGGTTTCCCCTAACTGTTGTCTCCTTCCACCATCTCTCCAGGCCTCTGTCCTGACTGGGAGGCCTGGGATCCCAACCAGCCTGTGCAGAATGCTCGAGAAGCCATGCAGCAGGCAGACGACTGGCTCGGGGTGCCCCAGGTACACTGGCATATGGGGTGAGGTGGGACATAGGGGCAGAAGGGGCAGGGGTGGAGGTTGGGTCTATAAGGATACCTGGCCAGGATGCAGGTAAGAACTGGGGCTTCTGGGTAGGTGGGGAGCCCATGTAAACATTGTTCCTTCCTGTGGCAGGTGATTGCCCCTGAGGAGATCGTGGACCCCAACGTGGATGAGCATTCTGTCATGACCTACCTGTCCCAGTTCCCCAAGGCCAAACTAAAACCTGGTGCCCCTGTTCGATCTAAGCAGCTGAACCCAAAGAAAGCTATTGCCTACGGGCCTGGTTAGTGTTGAGCCTTGAGAACCCCCCTGGGGAACTGGGAACACGTAGGATCCCCTGATAATCTGAGCTCTGCTTCTGCCYCTCAGGCATCGAGCCTCAGGGCAACACCGTGTTGCAGCCTGCACATTTCACYGTGCAGACAGTGGATGCAGGCGTGGGTGAAGTGCTGGTCTACATTGAGGACCCCGAGGGCCACACTGAGGAGGTATGGAGAGGCTGCTGGAGATGTTGGGATTGGAACCAGAAGCCATGGGACCAACAGCAGGAATGGCCTAGAGGTGGCTGCCAAAGCCACCCATTGTGCTTTGGAGGCTAGGAAGGCAATACCATGGGGACTTCCTGGGGCTGGGGAGCCCTGGACACTATGGGATCAGGTGGGGCTACAACCACTGTGGTTTTCMATCTTTTTCCTTCCTGATAGGCCAAGGTGGTTCCCAACAATGACAAGGACCGCACATATGCTGTCTCCTATGTGCCCAAGGTCGCTGGATTACACAAGGTATCTCCCAGTGGGCCCCTGCCCTCCCATCATCCTCATTCATGGCTGTGACTAAATGGACCCCCTCAGCCCACACCCCACCCCTTCCCAATGTACCAGCCATCCATCTCTTGCCCTCCTTGGCTCTCTTCTGCCCCTCTATCCCCTCTCAGAACTGGTCTGCCCTAGTAGCTAACCTTTGACCCCTCATCCCCAGGTGACTGTGCTCTTTGCTGGCCAGAATATTGAGCGTAGCCCCTTTGAAGTGAATGTGGGCATGGCCTTAGGGGATGCCAACAAGGTGTCAGCCCGTGGCCCTGGCTTGGAACCTGTGGGTAATGTGGCCAATAAACCCACCTACTTTGACATCTACACTGCGGGTAAGGGCACATTAGACAGGCAGCCCTGATGGCATATGGGTATGTGTGTGAATGGGGACCTGGGTGGTCTCAGGATGAGGATCAGCTGTGTGTTTCCAGAGTGGGCACTGATGGTATCCTTTGTACTACAGGGGCTGGCACTGGTGATGTTGCTGTGGTGATTGTGGACCCACAGGGSCGACAGGACACAGTAGAGGTGGCCTTGGAGGATAAGGGCGATAGCACGTTCCGCTGCACTTATAGGCCTGTGATGGAGGGGCCACACACTGTGCATGTGGCCTTCGCTGGTGCCCCCATCACCCGCAGTCCCTTCCCTGTTCATGTGGCAGAAGGTAAGGACCCTTCACTGATCCTCACAATAACCCTCATGAAAGCCAAAATGCAGAGACCTGTCACCAAATTCTGCCAAATTGGTGGAAAGTGAGGCACTTAATCCACAGGGTTGGGGTAGGTAGCGGGGCTTGAGATGAGCAGAAGGAGCAGCTAGGGAGAGCTCTGGGTGATCTTACCCTTATCATGAACCCACCCTGAGCATCCTGGAATGGGTAAGAGGAGGGTCAGGAGACCATGGAAGGAAACTAGAGTAGGTGGCACATGGAGCCCTTGAGGGGGAAGCAGCAGGACCACACATAGTTAGCCCCCACCCACTCWTCAGGCCCTCAGTTGATGACCCCCCCACACATACCAATTCTTTTCCTGCACTTAACTCTGGCTGTCTCCTCTCCCTTCCATACCCCATCGAGCACCAGACCAAGAGAGTGGCACCATGTTAGTACTTGTCAGCAGAGGCTGGGCCAGGCATGGCCATAACTGACTGGCCTTACCCATGCTGTGTGGCATGGTCCACACAGTACAGATTCATTTCCCTACTCTGTGGCATTCTATGACAGGCTTAGGTTCCGATCTGGGATTAATTCTCGCTGCCCTACTGCCTGTGTTCCATAGAAGGTCTAGCTAGCTTCCCTGCCATTTGCCTGATGATTTCTATGATAACATTTAGGCTCTGGGCCATGGCATGTGTTTTGTGGCAGGCCCTGGGTTCTGTGCCATTGTCTACATCCTATGGCACACCCTAGGTAGGTCTGGATTACACATCATTGCCCATTTTGTGGCATCATGTATTCCATGCTATTTTGTGTATTCTGCATCAGGCTGAGATCCCCACTCTTGCCAGTGCTTTGTGGCAGTCTGGTTCCCATGCATTGTCCATGCTCCATGTCAGGCTTTATGTTACATGGAACAGCTCTTGTTCCATGGCATTGCTGGATATTTTGTGGCATGATTTAGTTCCTGAGGTTGCTATGATGGTTCTGAGAAGGCCCAGATGGCTCTAGGTCAATGGCCTTGGGTGTGCATAAGGGCCCTTCCCTGTCTTTCTTAGCCCACTCTCAGCCTAGGCTGTACCATGCCTTCCTCCAAAGTGACACSAGCTCTAAGGACCACACATAAAGGGTTTCTTGTAACCTCTTGACCTGGGGCCCACAGCCAGCCTCCTGCCCAGCCTGGCTCCCAGCAACTCCAATTGTGATGGAAATATAAGAGAGCCCAGGGCAAGGTTGCCTGAAGCCATGGCCTGTGTCTCTGAGGGGCTCAGGAGGACTGTGCACAGTGAGGGGATGGTGACAAGGAGCAAAGAATCTGTCCAGGGCCCTGACCTCCCTTTTCTTCCTCTCCCTAGCTTGCAACCCCAATGCCTGCCGGGCCTCTGGACGAGGCCTACAGCCCAAAGGTGTGCGTGTGAAAGAGGTGGCTGACTTCAAGGTGTTCACCAAGGGTGCTGGCAGCGGTGAACTCAAGGTCACAGTCAAGGGGCCAAGTGAGTACCAAGGCCCAGGGCTGAGGAACTGGRGGTAGGGGTGTAGGGAGGAAATATGGCCTATAGTTCTGACAGTCTAAGGGCAATGATAACCAGCACCACACACACCAGGAGAGACTCCAAAGAGGCACCATGGAATCTCAGGTACATCAGCTCCTCCCGGTCTACAATCTGGGATTAATTCTCTCTGCCCTATGTGTTATACGGGGCTCTTATGCACAGGGACGACATGTGGTCCCTGCCCTGAGTTTTACCTCTGCCCACTAGTAGCACTGCCCCCAATTTGGCTTGGGGCCCAAGGGCTCTTTGAGAGGATAGAGAAGCTGGGCCTCACAGATCGTTGATTGCACCCCTATCCCCATCTTCTTCAGAGGGCACAGAGGAGCCAGTGAAGGTGCGGGAGGCTGGGGATGGAGTGTTTGAGTGCGAGTACTACCCTGTGGTGCCTGGGAAGTATGTGGTGACCATCACTTGGGGTGGCTATGCCATCCCCCGCAGGTAAGTACCATGCTGCCCCTGCCCCATGCTTTTCTGTCTGGACCATCATGGGGGAGAGTAAGGGAGGTGAGCTGCATGGGGATTTGAGGGAAGAGAGGAGGGGTGCCTTTGGCAGGTGTACTTCCTGGCATTGACCCCAGCTCCCTGTTTGTCCTAGTCCCTTTGAGGTCCAGGTGAGCCCAGAGGCAGGAACACAGAAGGTGCGGGCCTGGGGCCCCGGTTTGGAGACTGGCCAGGTGGGCAAGTCTGCTGACTTTGTGGTGGAGGCCATTGGCACAGAAGTGGGGACACTGGGTAAGTGACTGGGTGGCAGAAGGTAGGGATGCTGGGGAGAGGTGTGAATGGGGAGGGATGCCGGGGATTGTTTGGGGACAGAGAGTAGGAATCTGAGGAATATCAGGAAACATAAGGAGATGAGACATAACGGTTTCTGGGGTGGAAGTTGGGAGAGGGGTGTAGTACCTGCCTAAGAGTCCAAGATGCCTTGGGCTTTCTGACCCTCCCCACCTTGCTCCAGGTTTCTCCATTGAGGGGCCCTCACAGGCCAAGATAGAGTGTGATGATAAGGGAGATGGCTCCTGCGACGTGCGGTACTGGCCCACAGAGCCAGGGGAGTATGCTGTGCATGTCATCTGTGATGACGAGGACATCCGTGACTCGCCCTTCATTGCCCACATCCAGCCAGCCCCACCAGACTGCTTCCCGGACAAGGTGTGTCCCAGCCCCTGCACACTGATTAGGACAGGAATGGGGTGCACTGGACCTCTTCCAGGCCCAACTCAGCCCCCCTCTCTTGCCCCACATAGGTGAAGGCCTTTGGGCCTGGCCTGGAGCCCACTGGCTGCATCGTGGACAAGCCTGCCGAGTTCACCATTGATGCTCGTGCAGCTGGCAAAGGAGACCTGAAGCTCTATGCCCAGGTAGGGCACTGCTTAGTCTCTACTGCTGTCATTAYCCAAGGCAGGGGCCTCTCAAAAGGAGGTTATAAAGTCACAGTAGTCATGGGCCCATAAGGACTATGGGAAATTTAAAACTGTTTTCTTACTGATGCTAATATTAAAAACGTATTTTACAAAAATACTCATATTCATACTATTAATCTGCAATTGAAAGATGATTTCACCAACTAGGAATTTGGTTTCAAGTCAGTTTCTCAGACTGGTGTCTGTTGACCCCTAGAGGTTAATGAACATGGTCTTAAGGCTCCAAGAGATCAATTCTTCTTTACAAGGCTCTCTATTCTATTCTAGGAACATCAATTTAGTACAGCCTCTCCCCAAACAACACATTTTAGAGATCAGGCAACCTAGGCTAGGGGAGCAGGCCTTACAGATAGCCTTAAGCTGGTTTCCTGGCTCCTAGGGTGGACCCTGGCCAACAGAGCACGTGGCACTGGGTTCTACAGTGCTAGGGTGTGTGGGTGTTAGTAGGTGGGAAAGAAGGGGTGCTGAGGCCAGCGAGGAGTGCACTGTCTGAGGTGGCTATGCCACTACAAACCTTGCTTGGGTGCTGCCCACAGGATGCAGATGGCTGCCCCATCGACATCAAGGTGATCCCCAATGGTGACGGCACCTTCCGCTGCTCCTACGTGCCTACCAAGCCAATCAAACACACCATCATCATCTCCTGGGGAGGCGTCAACATACCCAAGAGCCCCTTCAGGGTGAGTCCTTTAAGTTTTCCCCCTGCCTGTTGCTAGGGGTCCCGGAAAGAGGCCAGGCCCACATAGCAGACCTTGGCTATTCCTGGGCCTCTGCCATCCTTCCTGCCTCATGGCTCCCACAAAGAGGCTGTGATGGGTGGTGCAGGGAGAGGGTTGGGCCTTGAGGGAGGTGCACTGAGCTGAGCCTTGACCTCTGCCCACAGGTGAATGTGGGAGAAGGGAGCCACCCTGAGCGGGTGAAGGTGTATGGCCCCGGWGTGGAGAAGACAGGCCTCAAGGCCAACGAGCCCACCTACTTCACTGTGGACTGCAGCGAGGCAGGGCAAGGTGTGAGCAGCCCAGGGGTGGGGTCCAGGCKGGAGGGGCACCCCTGGGCACAGCTCCTGTGACTGTTGGTGTGGGAGGCTGTTGAGCTCCACTCACAGCCTCTGCCTGCCTGCCTCTCCTCAGGTGACGTGAGCATTGGTATCAAGTGTGCCCCTGGCGTGGTGGGCCCTGCGGAGGCTGACATTGACTTTGATATCATCAAGAATGACAACGATACCTTCACAGTCAAGTACACACCCCCAGGGGCCGGCCACTACACCATCATGGTGCTGTTTGCCAACCAGGTACCCCAGCCTGCAGTTATCAATAGTCATAAAGCCTGCATGGTGGAGGTCTATGGGGACAACTGGAAACCTGGTCTCAGGGATGGGGAGACACAGTTACACAGATGCTGCCAGAACCCTCCTGTTTGCGGGCAGCATGCCTCACAGAACACCAGCGGACTTTTTCAGAGGCCACCCTTGTCCCCACTGGGTCCCTGGGGCATACTGACAGCATCTAGCCTGGCACGGGGGTGTGTTCCACAGGGTAAAGTCCTGACAAAGCCTTTTCCACATCCAGGAGATCCCTGCCAGCCCCTTCCACATCAAAGTAGACCCGTCCCATGATGCTAGCAAGGTTAAGGCTGAGGGCCCAGGGCTAAACCGCACAGGTGAGTGTCAGGCAGGGAGTGGGGCTGGTTTGAGGTTGGGTTTGGGGGTAGTGGTTGCCAGGCCCTTACTGTCACCTCTGGATGGTCTCCCAGGTGTGGAAGTTGGAAAGCCCACTCACTTCACGGTGCTGACCAAGGGAGCTGGCAAGGCCAAACTGGACGTGCAATTTGCTGGGGCAGCCAAGGGCGAGGCTGTGCGGGACTTTGAAATCATAGACAACCACGACTACTCCTACACTGTCAAGTACACTGCTGTCCAGCAGGTGTGTCCCACTCCTGCATGCCCTCGCCTGTCCTGCTGACTAGGGATTGGGTGTCCCTCCTCCAATCTCATAGACCCGGGTCTGGATCCTTTTCCTTTTCCTGCCTCCAGTCCTCTCTCTTGCTCTCTGAGCATCAGGGTCCACAAAGGCCCATGGGATGTTGCCAGGTGGTATCTAAGCCACCGGGTTCTGACCTTCTCTTGTAACCAATAGGGCAATATGGCAGTCACAGTGACCTATGGTGGGGACCCTGTCCCTAAAAGCCCCTTTGTGGTGAATGTGGCACCCCCACTGGACCTCAGCAAAGTCAAAGTTCAAGGCCTCAACAGCAGTAAGTGGGGCAAGAACTTCCGTGGGAGTGAGGGGTTTTGGGGTGGAATTGGCTGGAGTCTCTTCTTCACTGTGTCCTTTGCCCTCCATGTAGAGGTGGCTGTGGGGCAGGAACAGGCATTCTCTGTGAACACACGAGGGGCTGGTGGTCAGGGCCAGCTGGATGTGCGGATGACTTCACCCTCCCGACGACCTATCCCCTGCAAGCTGGAACCTGGGGGTGGAGCTGATGCCCAGGCTGTGCGCTACATGCCCCCTGAGGAGGGGCCCTACAAAGTGGACATCACCTATGATGGACACCCAGTGCCTGGAAGCCCCTTTGCTGTGGAAGGTGTCCTGCCCCCTGACCCCTCCAAGGTGAGGAGATRGGAGCTGGTGGGAGGCAGGAATTGGTGGAATATAGATGATTCATACAGATAGAGGATAGAGGCCAGAAGGTCTTATGTACCTGGAGTGGGCACAGCCAAGGGTCCAGGGCCAGGACTATCCCCTACGTCAGGACCTTCCATAGAGACAGTTATTAAAAGCCTGGCCTTGGAATCAGACCTGGGCTTGAATTCTAGGTCCAACAAATAGGACAAATGATTTCATCTCTCTACCTCCTTGTCTGCACCTGGAATTGTTCTAAGTAGTCACTCTGTGGTAGCTACTACAGTAGAAGGTGCTCAGTTAGGTGGGCAGCCATGGAGGTGGTGCAGCCTGGGATAGGCCAGAGGTAGGGAACTCACATGCCTCTCCTTTTCCAGGTCTGTGCCTATGGCCCTGGTCTCAAGGGCGGGCTGGTAGGCACCCCTGCACCATTCTCTATTGACACCAAGGGGGCTGGCACAGGAGGCCTGGGGCTGACGGTGGAGGGCCCCTGCGAAGCCAAGATCGAGTGCCAGGATAATGGTGATGGTTCGTGTGCTGTCAGCTACCTGCCCACAGAGCCAGGAGAATACACCATCAACATCCTGTTTGCTGAAGCCCACATCCCTGGCTCGCCCTTCAAGGCCACCATCCAGCCTGTGTTCGACCCAAGCAAGGTGCGGGCCAGTGGGCCGGGCCTGGAACGTGGCAAGGCTGGAGAGGCAGCCACCTTCACTGTGGACTGCTCGGAGGCGGGTGAGGCAGAACTGACCATTGAGATTCTGTCAGATGCGGGCGTCAAGGCCGAGGTGCTGATCCACAACAACGCCGATGGCACCTACCATATAACCTACAGCCCTGCCTTCCCTGGCACCTACACTATCACCATCAAATACGGAGGCCACCCCATCCCCAAATTTCCCACCCGTGTCCATGTGCAGCCAGCTGTTGACACCAGTGGTGTCAAGGTCTCTGGGCCTGGTGTGGAGCCACATGGTGAGTAAGAGGAAAAGACAGCAGTGATCAAGTTGCAGGGCAAGGATTCAAGGAGTGAGGTCGTCAGCAGGAGGGAGGGAGGGAAGCTGAGCTGAGGACTGAGGTAAAATGGAGGACTGGGGCAGCCTCAATCTATAGGTGCTCAGATACTCCAGAGAAGGAGTGAAGGGGACCATAAGGGCATGGACACTGGTCTCTACTCTTGTCACAAAAATGATATCTGCCTCTGAGCATTTTTCTGGGGAGATCCTTGCACTCACCAGATCAAGGGATTCCTAATCCAAGAAAGCTAAGAATCCTGCCCACGAGGGTACAGAGGGAAAGGTTTGGGGTAGATGATGGCGGTCAGGAGATGGTGGTGTACATGGGCTGCCTGCAGRGGGCCAGACCCTGGGCTGGGCATGGGCCAGGCAGAGGCATGTAAGATTCAGACTTGCCCTTCAGGGCAGGTGAAGCAGCTGATGTGGGTGGAGATTGTCACCAAATGGTGAAGGGAGTGGCATGGGGGCAGCATGGAGCTCACAGGGGGTGCTGAGGGTGAGCAGGCTGTACTTAGAAGAACAGCATGGAGGAGGGGAGGGTCARGAGGGACTGCATGAAGGCTGGCACCAGACTAAGTGTGCCTCTGTGGGATCCAGGTGTCCTGCGAGAGGTGACTACTGAGTTCACTGTGGATGCAAGATCCTTAACAGCCGCAGGTGGCAACCACGTGACAGCTCGTGTACTCAACCCTTCTGGCGCTAAGACTGATACCTATGTGACTGACAATGGGGATGGCACCTACCGAGTGCAGTACACGGCCTTTGAAGAGGGTAAGGGACTGGGAGCTTATTATGATGTGCCCAGGGCAGGGATGGTGGGGGCTGTGACCCTGACTGACTCTGGCTGACTTCTAGGTGTGCATCTGGTGGAGGTGCTGTATGATGATGTAGCTGTACCCAAGAGCCCCTTCCGAGTGGGTGTGACTGAGGGCTGTGACCCCACCCGTGTCAGAGCCTTTGGGCCAGGTCTGGAGGGTGGCTTGGTCAACAAGGCCAATCGCTTCACAGTGGAAACTAGGTATCCTTCACTTTGTCTAACCTTGACCTGAGGCTGTAGCCCCCTTGATCTGAGCCACTTGTGTTTCTCAATTGTCCTCTATCTGTGCCTCACCATACCCCATCCTCTCTGGAGTGACCTAGGAGCAAACCTCCCCAGTATCCCTAGTCAGCCCCTGTAGCTCCTTCCTCCTTAGCTGTCCCTGTCCCTCAGCCCTCTCTAGCCCTTCTCACTGGTCCTAGCAGAGTTGATGAGGGTATCATCTTGCAGGGGAGCCGGCACTGGGGGCCTAGGCCTGGCCATCGAGGGACCCTCAGAAGCTAAGATGTCCTGCAAAGACAACAAAGATGGTAGCTGCACCGTGGAGTACATTCCCTTCACCCCTGGAGATTATGACGTCAACATCACCTTTGGGGGGCGGCCCATCCCAGGTGTGCAAAGAGGGTGGGCACAGGCTCAGGGAAGGCAAGGGAGGATGGCAGGATGTATGTTTCATGAGGGGGAAACTGAAGGGAAGTTGGATGTGCAGATTTGAAGAGGGAGCACCCCAAAGCATGAAGCATGTTGGAGCAGGAGCTCAGATGGCTGGAAGGTGGCCTGGTACTCTGAGTCTGGCCAAGAGGCCGGGCAGTGGGTGCTGTGAATGTGKCAGCCCCTCCAGTTAATTCCCAGAGGCCCTTGCCTGGAGCGCCAGACCTTGATCATGCAGGTCCACTCACTGGGCTTAGTCACTCAGTCTAGGGCCCTGTCACTGGCTCACTGGCCACTTTTACCTTTCACCCTCTTGCTTTCTTGCCCAACCTTAGTCTATAGCCCAGTTTGTTTATTTTATTTTATTTTTTGGTTGTTGTTGTTGTTTTATCAAGTTCCTAAGCATTTTCACCTGTTTGTCTGGCCTCCCTGTGGACATCTCAGGCAGGGGAAGCTGCCTCTCCTTAGTTCCAGGCATCAGGGAGACTCTCCCAGGCAGGTAGGTAAAGACTAATTAATGTCTTTCTCCTAGGGAGTCCATTCCGGGTGCCTGTGAAGGACGTGGTCGATCCTGGGAAGGTGAAGTGCTCCGGGCCAGGATTGGGGGCCGGTGTCAGGGCCCGGGTACCCCAGACCTTCACAGTGGACTGCAGTCAGGCTGGCCGAGCCCCCCTGCAGGTGGCTGTGCTGGGCCCCACAGGTAAAATATGTCTGGAACAAGATGGGAGRGAAGGAGGGTGGGGTCCCAGGAGACTCTTCTGACCCTGCATCCCTTGCCTAGGAGTGGCTGAACCTGTAGAGGTGCGTGACAATGGAGATGGCACCCACACTGTCCACTATACCCCTGCCACTGATGGGCCTTACACAGTAGCAGTCAAGTACGCTGACCAGGAGGTGCCACGCAGGTAAGGGATGGCCCTGGGCTCTCCATACTGAGCCACAAGWGCTGCTTCGGGGGCCACACCTGCAGGCCCAGTGCCAGACTTTGGGGAGAACCTCTTTCATTTGTCACAGCCTCACTCAGTCTGGTTGCCCCGCCCTGCTCTTCCCCAGAGTTCACTGCCCTTAARGCAGCACAGCCCTAGGGACTTTGGCATTGTAATTAGCACCAGAGTAATCACTCCTGTCCATTTGTTGGAAGAACTCAATGCATAAGATGAGAAGGGACCCCAGTCAACTGTCTATCCTTTCTTCCCCTCAAGCCCTTTCAAGATCAAAGTGCTTCCAGCCCATGATGCCAGCAAGGTGCGGGCCAGCGGCCCTGGCCTCAATGCCTCTGGCATCCCTGCCAGCCTGCCCGTGGAGTTCACCATCGATGCTCGGGATGCTGGGGAGGGGCTGCTCACTGTGCAGATCTTGGTGAGTCCAGGTGCAGCCCCTCTGTCCTGGGAAGGCTGTAGGCACAGGCAGGCATTGACCTCTGCTTCTTCTCCAGGACCCTGAGGGTAAGCCCAAGAAGGCCAATATCAGAGACAACRGGGACGGCACATACACCGTGTCCTACCTGCCAGACATGAGTGGTCGATACACCATCACCATCAAGTATGGCGGCGATGAGATTCCCTACTCGCCCTTCCGCATCCATGCCCTGCCCACTGGGGATGCCAGCAAGTGCCTTGTCACAGGTGGGCACCCACTTCACTTCCCTGCCCTTCTCCATCCAACCTCCTCAAAGCACATCCAGATCTGCAGCCCAGTCCCTGTGGCCAAAGATCCTGTCCCCCAGCCCTTCCCACCCCCAGTTCCCTACTGAGTGCCACAGGGCCTAACACTTGGCTCTCTTTCCAGTGTCCATTGGAGGCCATGGCCTGGGTGAGTGCCTTCCTCTTCTGCTGGGGGCCTGGGAGATCTGGGAAGGGAGAGGACTGGGCGCAGCCCCCACAGCTCCTGACCTGACCTGGCTTTTCCATGTGGCAGGTGCCTGCCTGGGTCCCCGAATCCAGATCGGAGAGGAGACTGTAATCACAGTGGATGCTAAGGCAGCAGGCAAGGGGAAGGTGACCTGCACAGTGTCTACGCCAGATGGAGCAGAGCTTGATGTGGATGTGGTTGAGAATCATGATGGTACATTTGACATCTACTATACAGCGCCCGAGCCGGGCAAGTATGTCATCACCATCCGCTTTGGAGGCGAGCACATCCCCAACAGCCCCTTCCACGTGCTGGTAAGCTCCACAGCCATGGCAGGGCTAGACGGCGACTGGGAGAGGGTGGGGCCCACACCCTCTTAGCAGCAGTAAGGGATCCCAGAAGGTGTCCCCAAGGAATCCCATAACCTGTCCCCACATCTGTTGAATCCTGGGGCCAGTGGACTCCAGAATCAAGCCTTTGCTGTTCCCACAGTCTCCCTAAGTGAGAGGTGTCAGTGCTGCCTCAGGCTCCAGTGGCATTAGCCCTCTCTTCAGAAACTTCTCTAACCCTCAGGCCACTGTCCCCAGAGGAGGTTCTGTAGGATAACAGGGGTAGAATACTCAGGGTGTCTCCCCTAGGCTGCATGTCCATGGGCAATTCTGAGTCAGCTCTGGTCCTGTAGGCTCACCACATCCTGTGCCCCATGCCTTGCCTCCCCAGGCTTGTGACCCCCTGCCCCACGTGGAGGAGCCCTCTGAAGTGCCACAACTGCGCCAGCCCTACGTCCCTCCCCGGCCTGGCACCTGCCCCACACACTGGGTACTGCCGCCTCCCATGGCGGGCCYCACCCTGCTCTTCTCCCTTTCTTCATTTCTTCCTTCTATTCTTCTGCAGCCAGGGCTGGGGCATGGTTTGGGGCCTCTAGGAAGGCAGGCAGGCATGAGGCTGGCAGGTGCAGYCCCACCAGGGCAGGGCACTTCTCCTCCTACAGCTGGCACGTTTTCCTCCCTCTCAGGTTTTACCATTAACATCCTGTTCTTTCCTTGCTCTGTCTAGTAGTAGTCATGTGGCAGGTCACACTCCCAAGCCTTTCCCAACCACTGACTATTTCCTCTCACCTGCCTAGGCCACAGAGGAGCCAGTGGTACCTGTGGAGCCATTGGAGTCCATGTTGAGGCCCTTCAACCTGGTCATCCCCTTCACTGTGCAGAAAGGGGAACTCACAGGTACCTTTCTGGGGCCCTAAGGCTCAAGGACCCCGAGGGCAGAGACCTTACCCCAGGCCTACCCTCTTGTTCTAAAGATGAAAACTGGGGCCCAGAGAGGGGAATTGAACTATTCAAGGTCATACAGCAAGTTGCGCAGAGCTAGAACTTAGGCTCAAGGCATCTATCTCCTGGCTCAGGGTTCATCTGCCACTCCAGGCTGTGACTGGGTGCCTTGCCTCTGGAGTAAAACCAGAGCCATACAGGAGCAAGACCTGGGACAACAGGGGCTTGTAGTGGGAAAAACCAGGGTCCCCCATGTAACCGTGTCTGGCCTGCAGGGGAGGTGCGGATGCCCTCCGGGAAGACTGCGAGACCCAACATCACAGACAACAARGACGGTACCATCACAGTGAGATATGCACCCACCGAGAAAGGACTGCACCAGATGGGAATCAAGTATGATGGCAACCACATCCCTGGTGAGTTGGGGTCGGGCCATGCTGTATTTGGCAAGAGAAACTGGCATCCATGTCAGTCTTGCCTTCCTTCTTTGAATAAATATTTATTGAGAACCTACCATGTGCAGATGCACGTGAGGCTCTGAGGAACCTTACATCCCTGGTGGGGGGTAGGATTCCATGAGCCAGGTTCCTATGGCAGAGATACAGGGCTTGGCAGGTAGGCTGCTGGAAGGTGTTGGGGCAAAGAGGGACACAGGCTGCCTCTGTCTCTGTGCTGACCCAGCCTCTGTCTCTGTCTCCCTCTAGGAAGCCCCYTGCAGTTCTATGTGGATGCCATCAACAGCCGCCATGTCAGTGCCTATGGGCCAGGCCTGAGTCATGGCATGGTCAACAAGCCAGCTACCTTCACCATTGTCACCAAGGATGCTGGAGAAGGTGAGGAGAGCACAGGCAGGGGACATGGATGGAGGGAGGTCAGGTGCAGGGGCAAGGACAGAATCTCTGATCTCAGTCCCCCCTCCACCTACAGGGGGTCTGTCGCTGGCTGTGGAGGGCCCATCAAAGGCAGAGATCACCTGCAAGGACAATAAGGATGGCACCTGCACAGTGTCCTACCTGCCCACGGCTCCTGGGGACTACAGCATCATTGTGCGCTTTGATGACAAGCACATCCCAGGGAGCCCCTTCACGGCCAAGATCACAGGTGGGGTGGATATTGGTGGGACAGAGCCTACAACACACAGCACACAGCATATGTGCAAGCCGGCCTGTTCAAGTCACTCAGGGATTTGGGCCCATGCCCCCYCTGAGGTGGAGGAGGGCATTTTTGGATAAATGTAGGAATACTATTCTGTGCAGCAGTCAGGAAACATCCAGCCTCCCAGTGCTTTGAAAGACATTTCATTTTGTTTTTCAAGTTTCTCTCAAGAAGCTGGGTATTGTCATTCCTTTTGATAGATGAGGAAACTTGTCCCAAAGAAGCTAAGTATTTTGATGAGAGACACACAGCAAGGAAGGGGTCTGTGTGGTCTTGTTTCCAATGCACTGCCTGACTCRGGATTGAATACACAAGGGTCCACTTAGAGATTAGCCCCTGTGGGACTGAGGCAACCATGGGGAATTGGGGTGCAGGGCCCTTTGTGGTGTTGGCAGCAAATGTGAATGCAGACACTAGTCTCCGGGCCTGGGCCTCTGTGAGTGGCCCTGGGTCTCTGTTGAGCCCAGCAGGGTCTGTCCTGGGGGGTTCTGCAAGGGCAAGGCCTGCCTGGAGTCATGATAGMACTATGCCCCAACTGCCCCACAGGCGATGACTCTATGAGGACTTCACAGTTGAATGTTGGCACCTCCACGGATGTGTCACTGAAGATCACAGAGAGTGACTTGAGCCTGCTGACTGCCAGCATCCGCGCCCCGTCCGGTAATGAGGAGCCCTGCCTGCTGAAGCGCCTGCCCAACCGGCACATTGGTGAGTGTGGGGTCTTGACAGGCACCTTAGGGGGAGGGGGTCTCACAGGGACGCTCTACCTGACACCCTCTCTCCATAGGAATCTCCTTCACCCCCAAGGAGGTTGGGGAACACGTGGTGAGCGTGCGCAAGAGTGGCAAGCATGTCACCAACAGCCCCTTCAAGATCCTGGTGGGGCCATCTGAAATTGGGGATGCCAGCAAGGTTCGGGTCTGGGGCAAGGGCCTTTCAGAAGGACACACTTTCCAGGTGGCAGAGTTCATCGTAGACACTCGTAACGCAGGTACTTCTTGCCACAGTGACCCCATTCCAGCTGAACCCTCCAGAGGGTACTTGTCCTTCTTTTCCATCCAGCATGCCCTTGGTCATACCCTTCTCCCTGAACTTCCTTGCATAGTCCCTGTTGGGATTTAGAGTCTGAGACCCATTTGGAGGAAAGTAAATATCCTCTGTCAGTTTTCTCACTTTGAAGAGAAAACAACCATCCCGAGTTTATCCCTCAATCCCTGGAATCCAATAGGACTGCCTTAGGGAATTTTCTAGACTGCCTATCCCCGGACCTTTGCAGACAGTACCTGGCTCACCCCTTCTCCTTCCATGGTACCACTTTCTCCTTGGAGGTTACTATAGGAGCTGGCCCTTCATTCTGGGCAGAGCCTACAGCTTGGGGCAGGGAGAGCAGTATGGTGTGGGTGGTGTAGGGCTGAGGGAAATACCCTCATTCTTCCCCCAGGTTATGGGGGTCTGGGGCTGAGCATTGAAGGCCCTAGCAAGGTGGACATCAACTGTGAGGACATGGAGGATGGCACATGCAAAGTCACCTACTGCCCCACTGAGCCTGGTACCTACATTATCAACATCAAGTTTGCTGACAAGCACGTTCCAGGTAAGGCTGTAGTCAGGGCTAGGCAGGGGCAGATGAGGAGGCTGAGAGCTGGATGGTCTGTGCATCCTACCCATCCTTCATCCCACAGGAAGCCCCTTCACTGTGAAGGTGACTGGTGAGGGCCGCATGAAGGAAAGCATCACCCGACGTAGACAGGCACCTTCCATCGCCACCATTGGCAGCACCTGTGACCTCAACCTCAAGATCCCAGGTAGAGCTGGGAAGAGCCCAGGGGGCAGGGTGGCGGGGAAAGGGTTGGCTGGGCCAGAGCTGCCCCCAGGGTCCCCTTTCTGCTTGCCGACTCTTCACCTTGTGTACTCACTCTGGCTCCCTGGTGTCTCACAGGGAACTGGTTCCAGATGGTGTCTGCCCAGGAGCGCCTGACTCGCACCTTCACACGCAGCAGCCACACGTATACCCGCACAGAGCGGACAGAGATCAGCAAGACCCGGGGCGGGGAGACCAAGCGTGAGGTGCGGGTGGAGGAGTCCACTCAAGTCGGTGGGGACCCGTTCCCTGCTGTCTTCGGGGACTTCCTGGGCCGGGAACGCCTGGGCTCCTTCGGCAGCATCACCCGGCAGCAGGAGGGTGAGCAGAGAGTGCTGGGCTGGGTCCGGTCCACCTAGGGARGCTGGGCCTTCTGTCACCTGAGACAGGAGGGGAGGGTGAGATCAGCCAGGCCCTGACCCTGGCAGACTTGTCCCAGACAGCCAGGGCTGGTCTGAGCAGAGGAGCGACTCTACTGAGAAGGGAGGTCAGGGTCAGCACCTTGCTGCACTGATGTCCCCCCACCACCCTGCAGGTGAGGCCAGCTCTCAGGACATGACTGCGCAGGTGACCAGCCCGTCAGGCAAAACTGAAGCTGCAGAGATCGTTGAAGGGGAGGAYAGTGCATACAGCGTGCGCTTTGTGCCCCAGGAGATGGGGCCTCATACAGTCGCTGTCAAGTACCGTGGCCAACATGTGCCCGGCAGCCCCTTTCAGTTCACTGTAGGGCCACTGGGTGAAGGTGGTGCTCACAAAGTGCGTGCTGGAGGCACAGGGCTGGAGCGAGGTGTGGCTGGTGTGCCAGGTGAGGGGCAGGCCCAGGTGGGTGTTTGGGGTAGAACGGCCAAGCCTGTGTGAAGGGCAGTGGTGCTTAAGTGCCACCCTTGCTCTTCCCTGAATGCAGCTGAGTTCAGCATCTGGACCCGAGAAGCAGGMGCAGGGGGCTTGTCTATCGCCGTGGAGGGTCCCAGCAAGGCGGAGATTGCATTTGAGGACCGCAAAGATGGCTCCTGCGGTGTCTCCTATGTTGTCCAAGAGCCAGGTAGTGGTCCATGCTGGGGTTGGGGCTGAGCCAACCTGACTTTCCAGACTGGGTTTCTGCTCACTGACCAGGAGAAAATGCTGGGGACTGCAGGAAGCCCCTTACTTGCCCCTGCTCTTTCCCTGCCTGGTCTTCTTCCATCCCACCCCTGGGGAATGTGTCTGCAGAGCTGGGCTGGGACCTAATGAGTCTGTCCCAGGATGATGCTGGAGTGGGTGGCTATGTCCCTGCTCTCCCCATTTCTGGGACCTGTGCTGACTAGCCTCCCTCCCCAGGTGACTATGAAGTCTCCATCAAGTTCAATGATGAGCACATCCCAGACAGCCCCTTTGTGGTGCCTGTGGCCTCCCTCTCAGATGATGCCCGCCGTCTCACAGTTACCAGCCTCCAGGTATGTTCCAGGGGTTGGGTCTCTCTACCACCMGAGAGAGGGCAGAAATATGCATGGTCAGGGACTTCTTGGGAGAGCTGGTCAGCAGAAGTCCCCTCTCTCTACTGTACAGCACAGGGTGGGGCCCTTGAAGGACTTGTCTGGGTCGCTGTTGATGTGCCCCTGCTGTGTCACTCCATGCCTTATTTCTTCCTTTTACAAGTTTGGTTTCCCTGTTTGTATTGTCACCTGAAATTTCTTGTCCCATTTCTTTTTGAATGTTATAAACTAATGATTTCATGAGAATAAGAATATAAAGTAGAGCTGGGGATGTAGCTCAGTGATAGAGTGCTTGCCATGTGGGCCCTGGGTTTAATACCCAGTACTGCAGAAATATATATATATAATCAATACAAAATAAGAACAAGCTGGTTGCAGAGAGGCTAAGGATTCCTAGGCAAATGCACGTGGCATCAGGGCCTGAGCTACAGCCTCTCCTGGCTTCTGAGAACCCGTTTGCTTTGTCCTGCTGTGATCTGTAGAGAGAACCTGACTTCCTTCACTTCTGTCATGTGGGAATATGTGCCAATCAGACCCTTATCAAGTGTACAGGGACACACAGGGGCCAGGAGAAGGCCAAGCCACCATACCCCTCCAGCTGCCCCTCAGGGAAGTCCTGTCAGCCCACAGGAGCCCTTATATATCTCCCTTGACCCTAGAACCAGGCTCCATCCCCAGCCCAGAATCCCCTCCCCCAGAGTTCTCTAGTGCTCCCTTTAGTCCTCCTTCTTGGCTCACCTATTCCCAGAAGTGCCCCCTGGCCAGCCCAGCCACATTCAGCCTTCTACATTTGACCTCMGGGGCGCCTGCAGCCCTCACAGCACTGTCAAACACTCACTTCTCTGCCACCATGCCCACTTTATAGTATTGGATCTCTGCTTCCTCATCCAGGACAGGGACACATCATCCCTTATCCACTGCKGAACCCAGCATGGCTAGGGTGGTGCCCACCTCATGGCAGGTGTGGATGCAGAGAGTTACAGACCAGCCCCTGCCTCCTCCATCCCTCCCTGCCAGCTGGCCTGGCAGGAGGGGACAGGCTGAAAAGAGGACCAATCTAGCCCCATTCTCCCAGGACTCTGAGTGTCCCCTGTGGYCTTTGCAGGAAACTGGACTCAAGGTGAACCAGCCGGCATCCTTTGCAGTGCAGCTGAATGGTGCTCGGGGTGTGATTGATGCTAGGGTGCACACACCCTCAGGTGCTGTGGAAGAGTGCTATGTCTCTGAGCTGGATAGTGGTGAGCTGGCCCTGCCCCTGTGACCCTCTGCCAGGCCAGACCCTCCTGGGAAGGGGTGATGAAGGAGGGAGATTCATCCATCAAACTTCTGCTCCACAGATAAGCATACCATCCGCTTCATCCCCCATGAGAATGGTGTCCACTCCATCGATGTCAAGTTCAATGGTTCCCACATCCCTGGAAGCCCCTTCAAGATCCGCGTTGGGGAGCAGAGCCAGGCTGGGGATCCAGGCTTGGTGTCAGCCTATGGTCCTGGGCTTGAGGGAGGCACTACTGGTGAGTGCCTGGAGCTTACAAGGAAGGRGTAGATTTGCATCATTACTATCTTGCCTTGGAGATAAGGGCAATGCTCATTGAGTCCCCAATCCTCACTGTGCTGCCCTGGGGGCCTGAGGGCCTGGGTGCTTGGGGCCTAGTCCAGCTTTTGGCTGTATCATTTCCTGCCTAAGGTCTTGTTCCCTCTGGTCTCTAGGTGTGTCATCGGAGTTCATTGTGAATACCCTGAATGCGGGCTCAGGGGCCTTGTCTGTCACCATTGATGGCCCCTCCAAGGTGCAGTTGGACTGTCGGGAATGTCCTGAGGGCCACGTAGTCACTTACACTCCCATGGCCCCTGGTAACTACCTCATTGCCATCAAGTATGGTGGTCCCCAGCACATCGTGGGCAGCCCCTTCAAAGCTAAGGTGACAGGTGAGTGTCCTGGATCAGAGAGGTCCATGCAGGTCAGCCCAGCCTAGACAGCTGCAGTACCCATTCACATCTGTCACAGTCTGTCCACAGACATCATGGTCAATTTACCAGGAATGGAGGTGGGCCCAGATTATATAGCATTCCATTCTGTGAAGTTGTGCATAATCACCTTTAAAAATCCAATTCTTCCTCTCTATTCTGACCCACCTCTTGATTAATCTTTTATTTGCAATACACCCTCAAGTTTTAGCTTAGCTTCCTTCCTCTTGGTTTCCCTCATTTTTTTGCTGCTAATAAGTTTAGCCAGCTTCCCTTTCTGAAGTTCTTTAAAGGACTTGTTGGACATTTGTTCCTTTTTTTTTTTTTTCCCCTGGTACTGGGGCGTTTAACCACTGAGCAGTATCCCTAGCCCTTTTTATTTTTATTTTGAGAGTCTTACTAAGTTGCTTAAGGCCTCGCTAAGTTGCTGAGGCTGGCTTTGAACTTGCAATCTTCCTGCCTTAGCCTTCCAAGTTGCTGGGATTATAGATGTACACCACCACACCCAACTGGACATACATTCCTTTTTAAAATAAAAGTTACTCTGTGGGTTAACTTAAGTTTTCAGACCAAGGCTAGGAGGATGAGAGATGGAGCTATCYGAGGCCAAGACCTAGAGGGAAGCAGGAATTGGCACTGGTAGCATGGAAACTTAACTGGGAATGGGGCTGTGCTCTTCAAATGCCATAGTTAGGACAGGAGGTGGGAGCACATGATATAGGCCCAGAAGGCTGTCAGTGCTGGCTGAGGGCCTACAATCTAGGGAAACCCTCTGACCAGGCTCATGACCACCCACTCTGCTCCTCAGGTCCCCGGCTGTCTGGAGGCCACAGCCTTCATGAAACATCCACAGTTCTGGTGGAGACTGTGACCAAGTCATCTTCAAGCCGTGGCTCCAGCTATAGTTCCATCCCCAAGTTCTCCTCAGATGCCAGCAAAGTGGTGACGCGGGGCCCAGGGCTGTCCCAGGCCTTTGTGGGCCAGAAGAACTCCTTCACAGTGGACTGCAGCAAAGCAGGCAGGCTCCAGGGGGAGATGAGGCTATCCCTCAGGATGGGCTTGCCTGGAAGTGTGGGGTGGGAGCAAGGAGCCCTGGGAAAGTGGGGTATGGCTTGGAAGATGCTGGTGCGAGTCCTCCCTCTCTGCCTCCTTCTCCAGGCACCAACATGATGATGGTGGGTGTGCATGGACCCAAGACCCCCTGCGAGGAGGTGTATGTGAAACACATGGGGAACCGAGTGTACAACGTCACCTACACTGTCAAGGAGAAAGGGGACTACATTCTCATTGTCAAGTGGGGTGATGAAAGTGTTCCTGGAAGCCCCTTCAAAGTCAATGTGCCCTGAATCCCAGAAGTGCCTCTCCCAGCCTCGGCCCCCACCTCCGGCCAATCACACACACACACACACACACACACACACACGCCACACACACACGCCACACACCCAGATGCACACGCACAGAGTCAGACACTGCAAACACCTATCTTGGGTGTGATGTGAATGGCACAGCCTCCCACCCCACTGTGCCCTTGCGGGGTGGAGGGCCTTGTCTGTCTTAGGGCAGTGTCCTTCCTTTGAATGTGGCTTGATGGCAACCTGGGAAGCCCTGAGTTTCTTGGTGGGGCCAAGACCAGCCGGGGAACACTGTTAGGGATGTCTATGTGTGAGAAGTCACCTTCAAACCACACTGCCAGCCAGGTACCCTGGCCCCTGAGGACTGCGTCTAGCCACTCTGGTGGCCACAACCCCAGAGCKTTAAGGACTTGGAAAAGAAAGCACAATCAGAGAAGAAAACAGTCCCTGAACAAGTGCTACGTTGGACTGGCTTCAAGCAATACATACTTCGCCCAAGCCAGGCTTCCTGGGAAACTGATTTCTCTCTCTGTCTTTTTTTTTGTTTTTTTTTTTTTTTTTTTTTTTTTTACAGTTGCACAGCTCTGCCCCATGAGGGCCTTTTTTACCCATTGCGAGGCCCAGCTTTCTGGGGGGACTTTTTGCACATATCATGTGGCTCAGCTGGGAGCCACTTAGGTGGAAAACTCCAAATAAAGCGCGGCTGTCGCAGAGGCATGGCTGTTCCTTGTGTGTGTGCTCTTTAAAGCTGGTTTCTTAGTTCACTGACACTAAATCAGGYCCCAGGGAGGCAGGGGCTGGATGGCTGTTCCCAGGAGGACTGACCCAGGCYGAGGTGAAGGGCCTGGGGCAGGCGGAAGGTCTGAGATATTGGCAAGAAGCTTGAAGGACAAGAGAGGAGGTGGGGCTCAATCGTCAGCTAGCTGGAAGGTTGGTGGATGGTAGAGGGAAGCGGACAGGGTTCTGAAAGACTGCCCTAGGGCTACTGGAAGGCCTAACCTGGTGAGTATTATTCAAATTAGGACCAGTGGCYGCTGAGTCAAACAGTAAAGATGCCTTGCACAGCAGGGAGGCTGGGTGCCTGGGAACCCTGAACCCTCACTCCAGGTCCTGGGTCCATACTAGGTCTGTGGCACCTACACCTCCAGCCCTAACTGGTTCAGGCCTCCTCCTTGACTCCTGCATCAACCTCTGAATCAGTCTCTGGGCCCTGGCCAGTTCCCTCCAGCCACCCTCCATGCTGCAGCTAGAGAGGTGCTGCTAAAGGTTCCTCTTCTACAAAGGGCCSTAAGGTCCTCCCCCATGTCCATTCAGTTGACAGCCTCCCTGCCATGTGAGTACAGCAAAGTGCTCACTCCCCCATTGCACCCTCCACCACCAACCCCCTTCATGGTCTCTAGTTTCCTGGGAACCTCAGCTACAGTCTGGTCTCTCTGTCCAGAAACACCCTTGCCTCTACACCCTCATTTTCCTAGCCAACAGGAAGCTTTCCTGGGCCTTTCCTTGTTCCTAGATCAGTGCCCCAGGCCTCCACACTGCCCAGGGTCACATCTCTGGCTACATTTACTACCCTGCCCATGACCAGGTCTCCCTACCAGCCTGAGAACCCTGGCCCTAGAAGCCTAATTCAGGTGTGAATGAATGCATAAATGAGCAATTCAGTGGAAGAAGAGGGTAGAGACACACTTTATTCAATGGATCCCCCTGCAGTAGATCTGTCTGCAGGAATCTGGTGGTGGGGATACCAGAAAAGATTCAACCATGTGGCCCTAACTCCTGCCRCCTCCTCCCTACCCCTTAGTGGTCTGTCTGCCTCTACTCCTCTGTTTCTTCTTTTCCTTATTATTCCTAGGGGGAGGTTCCTTCCCTATCCTCATTCTGAATAAGCCCCCCCAAAAGGTTCTTCCAGAGCTTCTCTTCACTGCATGTCCCTGCTCTCCCCTGAGATTTCCCACCTTCCCCTTAGTCCTGCATGGAGCTCCTGAGGACAGAAATCATGTTTTATCAATCTTTGGTCTTCAGCCCCTAATTGTGACATGTGTGATAACTGATGGTTGAATTAAGAGTGAATAGTGATGAATGGAGAGCTGTCCCWTTACCTGACAAGTCCATTGAAGACAGGTCTGTTCTTTTAAATATCCAATCACTTGTTGAGAGCCAGTTCAGAGCCAAGGCACTGGTCCAATTGCTTTACAAACAACCTTTTTCACATCCTCCTCATTCTCTGCTCCCCATTTCCCCACAATCCCAAATTGAGGGTCTTCCCAGCTAGTTTGCTGCTCTTCTCCTGGGGGTTGATGCATTTATAGATCCTCAGCCCAGCTGCTCTTACAGAACCACAGAGGGGMACTGGGTGCTGAGCGTTTGTGGTCCTCTTCTCACTTAATCCTCAAACAGCTCTGCTACGTGGATCTACTATTATTTGAATAAACCAAGGCCATGAATTTCAGTGGAGTCCAAAATCAAACCTCAAAGTAACAGAGCAGAAAGTTGAATTCATGTGCATTCACATCAAGTACCCTAAACTCACAAAACCACATGCCGAACACTAGGGGGGTTTGTTGAAAGAGAAAAAATGTGGCCTAATCAGGTGCAGTGCTGCACACCTGTAATCCCAGAGATAGCRCACACCTGTAATTCTAGCTACTCTGGATGCTAAGGCAGGAGAAACTCAAGTTCAAGGCCAGCCTGGGCAACTTAGTAAGATCCCGTCTCAATAAATAWATAGATAAATAATAAACAAATGTCTGGGGATGTAAATCAGTGGTAGACCACCTCAAAAAAAAAAAAAAAAGGTAGCCCTCTGTTTCCACTCTTAATCTCACAAAGGTTCATTCCCTCAGTAATATTGCTTCTATCTACCTAGTTGCACAGGCAAGAACCCTGGAAGTCACCTGGGTCTCTCTACCTTGCTCCCCAAACATCCAATCCAAAAACCAACTTTGTCCATTGTGGCTTTAAATATCTCTCTACTCCACCTACTTCTCCACATTCTCCATTTGCAGTACCAGAGTTCCAGCCAAAGAATTGCCCTTTGTCTTGAGCACAGTGGGCAGAACATCTGGATTCTACTTCAAGTTCTCACTTCCTTCCCTGGGTCAAGGATGACATCTTCAAAGTGTGGGTACAGGCATGCTCTTTAATCCAGGAAGTATCCTGGTGGCTAGAATTGAGAATGCTGGCCTCCTRGTCTTTCCCTCACCCCTTCTCCCAGTTTGGTTTCTCCTGGTGTAGTCTTGCCTCTACAACAGCACAGTTCCAGCCACAGCTCTAACATATAAGTCTCGTGATATCCTCCTTTTCCATAAAATTCTTCAGTGGCTTCAGGAAACTATCTTCAGAAAACTTCTAGATTCTTTAACTTTTCTTGAATGCCCTTCTTGCTCTAGAGCCACCAAACCTTTGCATATGCCGTACTTGTGCCTAGAACACCCACTTGTCCTCTATCCCCCTTCACCCTGCTGGTCCTTCAGGTCTCAGCTTTTTAGGGAAGTGTCCTTTGAGGGCTCTCTCCTCGGGGGCTAGTTACCACKGATCTGTGCTTTATATGTACTTCTCACATTTTAGGAATTAACACAACGTTTTGTAATTGTCTGTTTCTTGACTCTCTATCTTACCAGACAGTATCATCATCCACTTGTTTATTTCTTTACTAACTGAACAAGTATGTATTGAGTAATTGTTAACCATGTAGTTGTTACGTACATGCATACACGGTCCAGACTCGGACCTTGCCCTTGACACCAAGCAGTGCTTTTTCTTCCCTGGGGTCTCGGGGTCTAACAGGGTTAGGTTTGAACCAGCAAAGGAAGGAACGAAGGAACCCGAGAACAGTGTGCCGTGCAGCCTTCTGGGAATCGTAGTCCCCTGGTACGGGTCTCTCTGTAGAGCACAGGCGGCGTACTCAGGGTGAGGCTTGTTGCTGCTAACGCGCATGTCCGGGAGGCGGTGTGGGTGAACTGCGCATGTCTGAAGGGAGGGGCCGATGCCGGCTCGACGTCGCGCTGCGGGGGCGGGGCTGCCTTGACTTCTGGCTCTCCAGGACAGCTCTACCTACCTGTGGGGATGGCGGGGAGAGGGAAATTAATCGCGGTGATTGGTGACGAGGACACGGTGACTGGTTTCCTACTGGGCGGCATAGGGGAGCTTAACAAGAACCGCCATCCTAATTTCCTGGTGGTGGAGAAGGATACAACCATCAATGAGATTGARGATACTTTCCGGTACGGTACCCTGCGAGGCCGAGCGGGCCCGTCTGCTGCTGGTGCGGGGTCTGGGAGAGGGCGGAGGCGGCCGGGGACCGAGGTGTCAGACCCTGTTGGGAATGTGGGTCACTCCTCCTGGAGCGGAAGCCTCTGCGCCCCAAGTCCTCTTTGGGAACTCGGTATGAGCGGGGCTCTCAGGTCACCGAGTTCCCCCTCACATGACCGTGTGTCAGGAAAGAGGAGGAACAGTTTATGACCTGCCCCTGCCATAGCTGGACGTCTGGACGCCCAGCCGGTGGCGACCGCCAGCCTCAGCGCCTCTTCCGGGGTCTCAGACTTTCACTTAGGGCCTTGCAATGCTCCAACCGTACGCTCGCTGTGAGCCTAGGGAGTGGGTTTGCGCTTTCTCGTACAGTCATCTCCCTTTGAGGCTCATAATCGTCCTGTAAGGAAGGGGTTATTCCCACTGGTAAGTGAGAAAATTGCAGCTTAGAGAAGTTAAGCACATGCCCAAGGGAACCGCAGAGCTGGAATAGGAACCCAGTGCCCTTTCTGCTTCTCTTAAACCAGTACACACTCTGTGCAATTCTCAGTCTACCTTAGAATTTCCCTTTGTTCTAAGCCCAGTGGGCTGAACATCTGGATTCTGCTAGCCATATACTTCAGTCCTCACTTGTGCCCTGGGTCAAGGATGACAACTTCAAAGTGTGGATGCAGGCATGCCCTTTAATCCAGGAGGTGTCTTGGTGGTTAGGATTGAGAAAGCTGGCCTCCTAGTCTTTTAGTCAACCCTTCTCCAGGGCTTCTGTGCTAGAATCAGGAAGAAACCACTCACCTGTTTCCCCTAAACAGCCCAACCCAGAACTGCTGGCTGAGACTGGTTCCTGCTGGCTGGTGTGTAATAGGCCCTGACCTGGGTGGCTGCTGTCTGCTGATCTCTAAGCAGTTTGGTAAAGTAACYCAAGTTGTCATTGGAGGACAAATTTCACTTCAAGAGTTTTACAGCTGGGTATGGGGGCTTACACCTGTAATCCCAGCAACTGGGGAGGGTGAGGCAGGAGGATCTCAAGTTTAGGTCAGCCTTAGCAACTTAGCAAGGCCCTCAGCAATTTAGTGAAATCCTGTCTCAAAATTGAAAGGGCTGGGGATGTGGGTTAGTGGTTAAGCACTCCTACATTCAATCCCTGGTACCACCCCCMAAAAAGAATTTCCCATGTTTCCGGCATAAGAGATCTCAGAGATGGAGTCTAACCTACTCCAGTGCCTAGCCCAGTGTAGGTGCTCAGTAGTTTTTAATGAATAAAAAGGGAATGAATAGAAGGATGATCACAATAAAGGAGGGCTGCAGTGGCAAGTTTTATTTTTGGAAAGTGTGATTCCTTCATTGCTGAGTTTCCTATCTGTGTCCTTGGCTCATGCCAGTGTTCCCTCTGACTCATCCCCCACCCTCATCAGTGGGGAACTTTAGGCCTTCAGTGGTCTCGTCAGCCCTATTTTTTTTGTGGTGCTGGGGTTTGAACCCAGGACCTTGTGCATGYGAGGCAAGCACTTTACCGACTGAGCTACATCCCCAGCCCTCATCAGCCCTATTTAAAAAAAAAATATTTAAAATGTCTAAATTAAGGAGTATCACACCACAATCCTTGTATCTCTTTATCTCCCTCCTCCACCCCTATAGATCCACTTAGTTTCTTCTTTATCTTTCTGGAATCTCTATGCAGATACATATATTCTTRTCCTCTCCCTTTCCTATACAAAGGCGGCATATGGAATACACTGGCATCACCCTAATCTTCATTACCAGTTCTCTCTCTGAGCAAGGGAGGTAGAAACCAACCCTGACCAACATGGTCCTGAGCTCTTAAATGAAATTGCCTCATTCAAGGAAGGATAGGTTTGAGAATGGGTTTAGGGTAGCAGTCTTTCCCTCTTGTCCTCTGTGCCTCCAGGTCACTTTCATTTCCCCACAACCCTGAGTGGGCTGTTGGGTAGGGGAGACAGCAGCCCCCTGGGCTGCCCTGGACTCCCATCTCATCTCTCTCCACAGGCAGTTTCTAAACCGGGATGACATTGGCATCATCCTCATCAACCAGTACATCGCAGAGATGGTGCGGCACGCCCTTGACGCCCACCAGCGCTCCATTCCAGCTGTCCTGGAGATCCCATCCAAGGAGCACCCCTATGATGCTGCCAAGGACTCGATCCTGCGCAGGGCCAAGGGCATGTTTACTGCAGAAGACCTGCGCTAGGGGACTCCCCCCCAGCCCTGTAGCCCCTTGCWTGTTGCCAGGCCTCTCCCAGGCTTGCCATCCTTTGTTTCAAGCCTCTGGTTTTCAATTCCCACTCCTTCCCCACTTCACTGAGAGGCTGGGTGAGGTGTTTGTAGGCTCTGCCATTAAAATCCAGGCTGGTTAGGGAACAGGAAGCCCAACCATCTTCTCTCTCCATTACTTCTTCCCTGTGCTGATACATGGTGTCGTTATTGATGTTAAATTAAAACAATATTCTCGCTTCTCTTCATATGGGGTTGGGTGCTGGAAAGAACACATGTAGGGTGAGGCTTCTGGGGGAGATTAGATTGGCAAGGATGGAAAAAGTTCTGCCAAAGAGCCAGGCAGAGGAGTTGGACCAGGATGGAGGCTATAACGAGGACTAACTTTCTGGATCAAAGAGGACCAGGGAAGGGGGTCTGGGCATGGCTGAGCCTTGTCCCTGGTTCCCCCTGCCTCAGTCTGCATGGGGTGAGGAGGGAGCCTGATCCAAGGGACAGAAGCAGAAAGCACAGGAAACCTGGAAGCCTGTAATTCTAGACTGGGTTTTAATCCTACAGGAGTTTTGGGGTGAAGGTTTTTAACCTTCCAGGTTGCTGGAAGGGAGGCATGTGAGGTCCACTGAGGGCAGGGCAAGTAGAACCCTACCCTGTGTGAGGTGAGGCTTGGTTGCCAAGTGACTGCCCAGGGAGCCATCTGCTGTCASAAGAACTCTGCTTGCTGTGTTCACCCCTTAGCTGCTCGTTCCCTTGCRCCATGGCACGGCAGCTCAACTTGGACACAGTGTGGCAAAACTTCTGGAAGGAGGAATATCTAAGGGAGAAGATGTTGCGCTGTGAATGGTACCGCAAGTATGGGTTATTGGTGAGGGCCAAGCAGAAGGCTAAGGCTGCAGCCCGCCTGCCCCTCAAACTGCCCACCCTGACACCCAAGGCCCRAGTCTCACCGCCACCTGTCCCCAAAGCAGTCCCTGCCAAACCCCCTAGCCCTGTCTCTGAGGCTCCTTTTCAGACAGAAATGTACCCAGTACTGCCTGCAACTCGGGCTCTGCTGTATGAAGGCATCTCCCATGACTCCCAGGGGCGCTATCACTACCTCAACACTCGAAAACTGGACGTGCCAGAGAAGCGCTACCTCTTCCCCGTCACCACCAACTTCACATATGGCTGGCAGCTGGGTGAGCCCCAACCTTGTGGAAATTAATTACAAACAGCACTTGCCATGGGCCAGGGAGCAGACATTGTAATGGAAGGTCAGACTACAAACAACAAGGAAATGTCCAGGGAGGACAAGTTCTTGGGTGTGGTGGGGGACATGTGTTTCTTTAGACTGAATTATCCAGAAAGGCCTTTCTGAAGCCCTCAATGCTGAGCAAGTGGCAAGAAAGGGGTTTGGATTTTATTCTAATTGGAGGAGGGTTTTAAGAAGATCAGTGCTTTTTAAAATAATTTTTTTTGTAAGTAATAGCTTTTCAGGGGAATTTATAGGATCTGGCAGGTGAATTAGGCATCTATTTTGAGTTATCTAGGCAAGACATGATGGTGGCTTCAGATAGAGGGATTATTAGCAGTAGAGCTGAAGCCAATTTGGAATGTTTGGGAGGGAGACATGGATGGGTTGACTGGGAGGGAAAGGAAGAGAGAAACCAATGGCAACACCCAGATTGGAAAAGGGTAGGGCTGGAGGGTCTTGAAGACACAATGGGCTTGGCCATGGTAGGCTTGAAGTGCCAATGAGGCTGGACATCAGGATGGAGGAATATCTGGAAGGAGAAATATCTAAGGGAGAAGATGTTGCRCTGTGAATGGTACCGCAAGTATGGGTTACTTGGGGGTACCATTCAGAATGGAGAAAGTCTGGACATCAGGATTGAGGTCAGAGTTGGAGAAGTAAATTCAGGGCTTACTGGAATATAAGTGTAACTTAAAGCCCAGAGATGGGGTGAGGTCACCTGGAGAACTGGAGTTGCTGAAATCTGACTTGAGGGTGGAGTCAGGCATAGGTGGAAATGGTGTGGCAGAAAGGCTGTCTGCTCCCTAACCCCGGCTCAGTTTTGGTTTTCCAAAAGTGCTGCTGGTTTGCTGGGTGGTGTTGAGAGCCACTAATCTCAAGGGAGATCACTTAGTCCTGGATCTTTTCCCAGCTGTTTGAGAGCCTGTGCAGGAAAGGTGGGTGGTGGGKGGTCAGCACAGTTGAAAGTTTACCCCAAAAGCTCCCACATTTCCCTTAGGACCCTAAGAGAGAAGTAAGGGGAGCAGAGGTAGAAGGCCCCTTCTCTGCAGTCTATCCTGGGACAAGCAGGGCTGGCAAGGGATCCTGAAGCAGGGGATGATGATGGCTGACAGCTGTCAGGTCATGTTGCCACTGGTGCAATGGCCAGGATCCAGCCTGTATTTTCCTGAAGTGCTACTCCTCAGAAGCTTTTTATTTATTCACAAAAAGTAGATCCAACACAGGCAGAGTCCTAGTGCTATGCAGACAAGATAGCTTCTGTGCTGAGTTCCTTCCCCAGGAACTCATTCCTGGCCTCTGACATCTTTTCCCAAGGTACCCCAGCAAAGCAAGAACTGGCCTCCTRCAAGATGTGCCACATAGAGTCGTTCTTCCGGAAGAATGGGGCCTTTTCAATGCTGGATCCCCGGGATCTGGCCCTCTGACCTTTAGCCCGTGGGAGGCACAGAAAAAATAACAGGCCTCCTGGTAGGGCGAAGCTGCTTTGTGTTTCTGGTCTGCTTTCCCTGGCCCTGAAGCTGCGTTCTAGGCCTTTCTGACCTGGCGGTAGACGTCTTTGCCTTTTCCTTAACTCCTATCTCCTTAATTATCTCTTCAGAGACCCAGCAATGCCCAGAGCCATCGGGAAGTGTGGGCGCTATTCTCCAGATGCAGGCTTCTCAGCGCCAGGGGGCCACAGTAGCTCCTGGAAGTTCCGGGTATTCCTGGGGAGACAGTGGTCTGTCATCCAGATGCCAGGGAAAAGGGACTCTATCACTCCCCCCAAAGCTCCCTGCCCCCCACCCCCCACCTGGTCCTGAGCGCCCGCAGCCACCGGGTCCTTTCCAGGTGCACTTGTTCTAGCTGCTTCTGCAGGGCGCTCCACCGCCCGGCCATGTCCTCCTAGGTAGGCAGATGGCTGAGCTGGTGTCACTGGCCAGGGTAGCAACTACATCACACACCCGCCCCTCCGGCGCTCCGCCCCTCTCGGGGCCAGGTCCGGAGGGACCCGCCGCCTTCACCCCGGGCTCTTCTTGCCTGTGGCGGGAGCTGAGCCGGGATGGAAGGGAGCCCCAGAGGGTGAACTTGGCGGTGGCGGGCGATGCGGAGCCGTTCCAAGACCTGGAGAGGCGGCAGTCAGCTCGGAGCCCTGCCCGCCTGCCCGCCGCAGGAGACTAGGTCGGCCCCGCGCGGGTACGCACCCGGAGCCGCTGCTGCTCGCGTTCCTGCCGCCGTCGCCGCCTGGCCGCGCCATGCAGCTCCAGCAGCCGCTGCAGAGCCATCTCCTGCTGCGCSGCGCTCACGCTCGCCGGCGCCTTCTCCCCGCCCAGGGGCGCAGGCCACGCAGCCTTCGAAGCTTTGGGTCCCCCAGGAACGCCCCTAAGCTCCCGGAGCGCGCCCGGGAGCTTCACCTCACCCACCTCCTGCTCCGCGGGACGGTGGCCTCCTCCCTGGGTAGCCTGCTGCCCACAGCCCTCGGTGCTTAGTGCCGCCAGCATCCCACCTCCTGGGCCTGTGAGTTGTGGTCGGGCCAGGGACCTGGGGGCCAGGAGAGGAGCCCACGCCCCATCCCGGGCGGCCCCTGGCTTTATCACGGCCTCGGCGGCCGCCTTGTGACTCCGGCCTTCGGGCTTGGCCTGCATTCTCTGGGTGGTTTTTTCCCAGCGGCCTGGACTCTCCCTTTCCCGAGCCCGTACCGGCGCTTCTCCCTGAGTCACCKCCCATGCTTGTGAGAGAGGGGCTTCCCAAGATTGAAGGGTTTTCATTTCCTGACCCTGCCCAATCTCCTTTCTCTGGCACTTAGGGCTATTTCCTCTTTGAGGAATCTCTTTGTTCTCATCCTGGGGTGCCTCCCCATTCTGACCCTGGAATGTCTTCTCTCTCTGACTCTGAGATACTTCTCTGTTCCCCCACTGGGAGGTGTTCCCTCGCTGACCCTGAGGGGTCTTTTCTGTCTGGCCCATAGGGTCCTCCTGTCTCTGACTCTGAAGAGGGTGCAAACTCAGCAGTTTCTGAGTTTCTCTCTCCTGACCTAGGCCAGAGCCCAGCCCCTGGGGGGTGTTTTGGGGTGCTGGCAGGCACTGCAAGGCCAGGACAGAGGGCTCTGAAGCTTTCTGTGTCAGCTTTCTCCCTGGCCAGCTCTGTAGGTGGGGCCTCTGCATCGCTGGTGCTGGCTCCTCTTGGCTCCTGTCTTCCCTCTGGGCCAGATCCTGGGAATGAAAAGCACTTTGGGCCCAGGCTTGAGAGGGAATCCCCAAGCCAGGGCCCTTCCCCTAGAAGAGCCTGGAGACCCCAGTGACTAGTCCTTGCCTGATTGCTGAATTTACTAAACCCCTTTTATGTGGTGTAAGAGGTGCTCCAGCAATGATCCCTTTTTCCATTTGGCTGCAGGAGGCAGCCCCAATGCATCCCGCAGCCTCCTCCCTGGCAAGCTCCATTCCTGYGGTCCCAACCTGAGAGGGTCCTGGTCCAGAGTCCCCAGAGCTAGTGGTAGTAGGGTTCAGCTCTTTTAAGTGACCTAAGAGAGAAGGATCAATGTTGAGAGAGCACTCCCTGYGCATGTCCCAGCTTCTCACACACATTCCCCCCTGAACTGTAACCTGGAAGCCTAAGGGGCTCCTAGTGCATGAAGGACCATGGAGCCCTGAGAGTGCTGCTTGAACTTCATGGCTGTCACAGTTTATTATTCCACATTTATTYCCATCACCTGCCATGCATCTGCTTGTCAGGTGTGCCTGCCAACAGCCAATTCCATCTCCCTCATCCTCCCAGCCAAGGCTGGCCACTATGCAATGCCTGGGAGTGAGAAAGGCCTGTTTGCCTGGGCTCCCTCTGCTTAAGGATATCCCCATTTTGTCCTGGTATGTGTGTTCAGGTTCACAGTAGAAACCCACTGTGTGTGCCATGCTTTTTCCTGTTGWTAAAATCCTCCTTAGCCCCCCCTCCTTTTTTTTTTCTTTCTGGTAACAAAATCAAATGAAACTTAAGTAAAATTTTAAGCCAGAGCCTGGCCTAAAAAACTGCAAGTCTTCATAATGAACAAAGAAATCTAAAAAAGGGATGTGCTGTCACTGCTCCTGCAGCTGTGGAGGAAGGAGAGATGTTCTGCATCCATAAAACTAATTGAAGGAACCTGCTTTCATAAGTATTAAAAACCTTTCACAAGAATATTGCATTTTTCTCTGGTAAGCAATGCGGAGACCTGTGAATATTCATAACAGTAACCAAAGGGGTGTGGTTTCTGTGGAACTAGATCTGAATTTCAAAGGGTTTTGTGAACAAAGGAGTCTCAGGAGAGACTTCAGAAATGATTGCTGCAGAACTGTGAAAGCAGCCTCCTACACCTGTCTCTGAGATGCTCACCTGTTGTATTCCTAGAGTTTATTTCCCAGGTAATAGTGTAATTGACATCTCTGTCTTCCCAAGAGATAAAATACTTGTAAAAATTTATCTGTCAATCAGGAGAGAATCATTGGCAGTCCTCTTCTTTCATGTGTGTGATGGGACAACTAAAAGTTTATGACTTTGCTATTATTGTTTAACAAATAATTTAAGTCTGTTTCCTTTAAATTAACAGGCTCATGCCCACAGTGTCCATCCCATTGAATTCTAATTGCCTGTTTAGAGTCATGCTCTATCACTGGGCTTTGATCTCAAAGACTCAAGGTATCTATTGTTCTCCATATGTCCCCAGTGCCTGGTATAAGGGTGGCAAACAGGTGGCCTAGAATTGCTATTCCTCTTCCTTCTCCCTGGGCAGTCAGTGATGGTCATTTCCTGCCCACTCAACAGAGCCCCAGTTTAGCTTAAAAACCCTAACGGGCACAGCATCTGAGACAACTGGTGCCAGTCAGGGAATTGGCACATAAAATTGACTTGCCATCCCTGGGCACCCAATGAAAGGTGCAAGATGCAGAATAAGTGAAAAATGATGGAAGTCTTTGGACTTGGGATGAGAACTTCTCTGCTCCCAATCTAATCTGGTTTCTCCAACTTCAGGGGCTCCCTGCTATCTTGGCTGCCCATCACGTCCTGTCAACATACCAGGTGTGGCCTCTGTAGGTATGCCAGGGCCCTCCCATCTTGGGTCTGCATCTCTCCCAGCTTCACCCAGATCCACGGCAGATGATGGGTCTGCTGTCTGCATCCTGCAGGATTCAGGGGCTACCTCAGAGGCACCTTCAGCAGCCCCATAGGTGCTGGAGAAAGGAGGGAGCTTGCTTCAGTCTTCCTAGTCCCCAACACCCCAACACCCAAACTCTGAGTCCAGGGTGTCCTCCTCTAATCCCTAAACCCACTGGATTTTGGAACTGRAATTCTGAGGTTACCCTTCCAGGGGCTGTGGAGCAAGACTGTGGGAGGAGACAGGGGGAAAAGGCCAGGTTCTTGGTCACTTTGTATGTCAACAAGGGAGTGCCAGAGTCCCTGGGAGAAAGACTTACCCCTCTGGGAACTGATGGTTCTGGCTCAGGGAATCCCTAGTTTGGGATGAAGGCCACAGCCTGGAACTCTGGAAAATTTTGGGGAGCTCAGGACACAGGGCATCATCCTTTAGTGTGGTAGTCAGCCTCTAAGATGCTCCCTGCCCCCCATAATCCTTGTCTCCTGGTGTTCATGAAGTGGACACATAAGTGGCCTTATGTGGCCCCTCTCCCTTCCCATCCACTGCAGAGAGGCTACCAACAGGCCCAAAGCTACTCTGGCAGCTGGTGGCTGAGCTGGGACTGGGAAGTACATCCTCAGTTCTTAGCTCTGTTCTGGGGTCCTCACCACAACATCCCCCTCCTGGAGGGTTAGCACAGCTCTAGCCCTGGAGGGAGCCCCCCACTCAGCAGGGGCTGCTCAGTGTGTTTGTCTTAGTGCCACCCTAGACACCAGTGCCTCTGCTCTCAGGGACCCTTCCAGGCACAGTTCTCCCTCACACAGTCACGTGGACAGTCTCCCCAGTGTCACTGCACAGTTGATTTGACAAGCCAGTAGTTAGCTATGGAATAACACTAGGCCCCATAAGTAGYAAGAGGTTCAAACCCCTTGTTTGGATGAGTTCACTGGTCCTCAGAGAAAGATCTGCCACTGTCCACATTTTACAGCCATTTTACAGGCTCACAGTCCACAGGGAGCATCAGAGCAGAGCTCTGAATCCAGGGCTGTTAGTCTCTAAAGCTCAAGCATCTTGGTGACCTTGAGGGGGTCACACCACAACCACCCCAATGTCACACAGTGTCTCTCTCCACTCACCAGCTGCTCCAAGTCCCTGCCAATCCTGCTACTCACCTGGCTGTGCTGGCTCCATGCACGCTGGGCCTGGTCCCTCCAACCACCAAACTGGGTCCAAGGGGCCCTGAAGAGGCCCAGCCCTGCTCCAGTCAGCAGATCCAATTCCCAGAGGAGCTGCAGGAAGGTGGAGAGCCAGAGTGTGAGGGGCACCCAGCCAGCCCTCCCCCACCCCCGTGGTCAGCCCCTACCTGCTCCTGGGCCCACCGGCTCCRCTCCATCTCCAGCAGTACTGTGGTTAGCTCCATCCCTGGGGGACAGCCCTGGCCCTCTTGCACCTGGTGGGGATGGGAGGGGAGGTAGAATCAGGCTCCTGCCTGTACCCCTTGGCAATATCTGGCCTCCTCACCTGCCGAAGTGCAGTCCGGAGCTGGCCTAGGCCTGCAGGGTGCCTGAAGATGAGGTAGTACAGGGCCAAGGCCTGCTTGGGACTACAAGGGAGCCCTGGGCTCCCAGGTATAGTTGCCTGCGCCATGGGAAAGGGGTTAGGGCAGATGCCCCCTCYTTCCTCTGCCTCTGCCATCAGAGCCTGAAGAGAGATGGAGGATTGGGCACTGAGGACCAGGAGCAAGGAGAAACAAAGACTCTGATCTCAATAATTCAGGGCCGACTGACACCTGAGCAGGGCCTGGGGCATAGGAGCCTTACAGAGACTCTGGCCTGACTCCAAGACCACTTGGAGGTAGCAGAGTACAGTGCAGAGAGTGACCCTGACAGAAAGAGGTGTGTGCATGTGCTCATTTGCAACCCCCAGTGAGTATCAGGCTCACATATATACAAGTTAACATCCAGTGAACGTTCAAACTGTGATATGTGGTACAAATGTGTTTAGGATGGGCAGAGGTGGCAGCACATGTGGATACCTCCTCAGCAGCTCCATGAATAGGTGCTATTGTCCCAATTTACAGATAAGAAGCTCTGAATCCAGGGCTGCACAGTGGCACATGCTTATAATCCCAGCTACTTGGGAGGCTGAAACAGGAGGATAGTAAGATGGAGGCCATCATCAACAACTTAGTGAGATCTTGTCTCAAAATAAAAACAAAAAAGAGCTGGGATATGTGGTTCAGGAGAAGGGTGCCCCTGGGTGAAAGGGAAACTGGCTCTAGAGAGTAACTTGCTTTAACTCGTGGTAGTGTTTCCCCTGCCTGTGAAGACAGACAACCACAGTGACAAACACTCTGGGGGCACATGGCTCCCAGGAGGCAAGGCATCCATCACTAAGAGGTGTGACAGTAAGAGGCACAAAAATGGCCCATCATCAACTGATAAGTGCTGTCCACAGGCCACCCCATGGACTCCTCCTAACATGCACACAGACGCACAGACACACACACACACACACACACACACACTCACACACACACACACATATACACATTGCTGTCATGTTACAGATGAGGAAACCATTTGTATAAGTTATAATGAGAGGGACTGAATGCAGGAGGCTATCTGGGCTAAAGCTGGGATGTTGAATGTTCCTCAAAGGCCTGTGTGTACAAGGCTTAGTCGCCAGGATCACTAGTGGGAGGTGCTGTGGACCTATAGGACCTCCTGGGAGGGCCTTAGGTGTACCTTTGATGGGGTTGGGGGAATTCTGCTTCCTCCTGTTTCCCAGCTCACGTTGGGAGGGACCAGGCCCAGCATGCAGTTGGCTCTGACACACATTCCCCACCTTTTAGATCCAGTGCTCTTACCAGAAGCTCAAAACATGGGGTCACCGATTTCAGATGTGAACCCCCAGAACAATGTGCCAAAATAAATTTTTTTCCAGTAGTGGGCATTAAACCCCGGGTTCTACCATCAAGCTACATCCCCAGCACTTTTTATGTTTTGAGACAGGACTTCACTAAGTTGCTGATTCTGGCCTTGAACTTGTGATCCTCCTGTCTCAGCCTCCTAAGTAGCTGGAATTGCAGGTGTGAAACATTGTGTCTGGCAACCTTTTCTCTTTTTAATTGCTCAGGTATTCATTATAGTAATAGAAAGGTGACTAATACAGTCTGGAATCCTTTACATCCTTTCCATCATAAGTAACTTCACCTGACTGAATCCTTGTCACTGCTCCAGGAGTGAATGGAGCAAACTCTCCTCTCTGGGTCTCAGAACAGCTTCCCCTGGAGAAGGCTGAGCTGGCAGAGAAGGTGACCCCCAATTTCAACTCAGTGCTCTTTTACTTAAGTAAACAATAAGGGACTGGGCTGTGTCCTTTTCTAGATCACCGAGCCCTCACTTCCCACTAGAACATTAGAGACCTAAAATGACAATGGAGTTCCCTTGATCTTACATCCAGGGACCCTAAAACTCCAAGGTCCCCAGCAGTACATGGCAAAGAGAGCTCAAATTCTGACTTTGTCATTTGTTTGTTTCCTGATAACTGGGGATTGACCCTAGGGATGCTCTGCTGCTGGGCTACATCCCTAGCCCTTTTCATTTTTTATTTTGAGGCAGGGTCTTGCTAAATTGCCCAGGTCAGCCTTGAACTTGCAATTCTCCTGCTTCAGCCTCACCAATAGCTGGAATTAGGGAGGTGTGCTAGGTTTCTGTTCACGACTAAAAGGCTCAGGGGTCACTCCAGGTAAACTGGGCTAACTGTGCTGTGCAAAATAACCACACAAGAGACACAAATACCTTTTTCTTTGGAGTCGCTGTGATGGCTCCTCTGACCTTACGGGTCTGCAGGAAGAGAGAGAGAGCATGCGCTGACCCCTTTTATTGAGGAGAAGCTATTCAAATGAGGCAAGGGGTCAGGTTTCAGGGGGCTGAGTCTATCTTCATGATGTCCACTGTCAGCAGGTTGACTGACATCTGGGTAGACAACACCCAAGAGCACAGTAAGAGAAGGGGACACACACAAAGCACTTCCATGGAAGATTCTATCCTAAACAGGGCAAGGGGTTATATTACAAAGGAACAGGTGAGCATAGCTTCACCCGTGGGGCTGTAGGAAGCATGCCCAGGCATGAAGACACAGTCACTCCAACCCTAGAAGAGCGGGGCAGTCTAGCAGCATGGGTGCCTGACAACATATTGCCCAGCAGGGGAGTTAACTCAGTCACACGCGAGGTTGGTCCCCCACAGAGGTGCACTAACATGCCTGGTGACCTTGTTCATTTCAAAAGCCCCTATGATGTTCTCCCCTTATGATGAGTCTTCCCAAGTGTGCATGCACACTTTACACGTGTTTCTAAAGAGTGTTCGTGTGCATGCATGCACATGTATCTGTATTTCATCACAGCCTATCATCTCTTTTCCCCAGGCATGGAGTTCTTAAAGTGACCCAGAAGGTACCTGAGCATTTGGTACTGCCATAGACTAAGCACAGGGCAAGGACCAGGGCACTTGGGTCCTCCTGCACACTTTTAGGTTCCCCAGACAGCACCAAGCAATGGCCAGTTGACGMAGCCCAGGGATACTAGTGTGAGGACTGTGCAAAACCCTCTGACTTGAAGGACACTGACCACTGAGCCCCATGTTCCAAGCAGCCCAGCCGCCTCCCCAGCACCAGGAGGAAACACAACAAGGAAGTCTTGGGAAGGCCCAGAATTTATTGTTTTTCAATACCAACAGGGGTTTTGCAGGACACGGGTCCAGGCTCCCCATGTCTGACCAGGGCGTTGTCTCCACAGCTCTGGCCAGGGAGGCTGCTGCTCACCAAGGGGAGACCTTAGGCCTGATGAGTCCTGGTCTGTTATCTTCCTGTCTCAGGGCGAAGCAAGGAGCTGCTCCCAACTGGGGCTGGGCAGAGTGCTGGGTGGCTGGTCCCCGGTGAGCAGGACTGGAGGGCAGGCCTCAGGAGGGATACAGTGGGCCTCATGCTCCACCAGGCCTGCAGGGCACTGGCAGCCAGGAACACAGGGCCTCACACAGTGGGCTTCCAGGTCTCCAAGGGGAACATGCTGGTTGAAGCAGGTGCGGGGACAGGGTGGGCCACACTCATCAAACACAAATCCACGGTCCAGGGGGCAGCCCATCACTGCAGGCAGAGTGGAAAGCGGGGTCACAGGGATCCCCAACACTGTTTCAGTTGTATGCCCCCTCCTTGCTGGCCTCTAAGTATCGACCCCATCTGGGCTGAGCTTTGGGCTACCCTTCTTTGCACTGWCCCCTCCCCCAATGCTGGGCATCACCCCCTCACCACAGAGTGTAGGGCCCCGCCAGGCAGGTGTCACCCCTGCCTGGCGACAGTGGCTGGCATAGGCTTCCAAGACATCACAGAGGCAGGTGTCAGCTGAGTAGCCAGGGCCACAAGCACAAAGGTCATATACACAGGCAGCAAAGAAGGGCTCTGGTGGCACCACAGCATGGCAGCGATGGAATGGGGAGGACCTCAGCAGCCCACACCGGGCATTGGCCTCACGCCTGGCACGGTAACCTGCTGCCCGGCATGGATCCACTTCCTGGCCTGCAAAACAAGGCCGGCCAGRCCTTGGCCCCTCTGGAACCTAGGTGGGGAGAACAACCTTGAGGTGAGCCTTGATCTTTGCTTGTGGGGCCTTTGAAGCTCTTCCCAGACAGTCATTTGTTTTAACCTCAAAAACTCCAATAAAAGCAAAGGAAGCACTGTTTACCTTCTCCTTGACCTCATATTACAGATGAAAAACCAAGGCCCACGGTAAGTGAGCAACTTTTTTAAGGTCAGCCTTTCACAGGTTCTGGCTCCTGTGCCACTCACCTGCCAGCTGTTCCCAAATGCAGCTTCTGTAGGCAGGAGCAGCCCRTCAGGGCCCTGTAGATCATCCTGGGCAAAGCCATTGAAGTTCCCACAAAGTCCACAAGTCTGGCCCCGGTAGGAGCCTGGCACGCTCACCTCCACCTGGGACTGTCCATCCCACAGTACCTGTGCAGAGAGGCCTGGGWCTGGGAAATGGGGAAGGAGAAGGACCCCCAAAAGCCCAGGTTCATCATGGTCCCATGCACTGAGCTGGCACACCCTGGGCAATAGCAGAGGAAGATAAACAAGTGCAGACTCCCCATGGAGAGGATGTYGCCTTGGCCTGGGCCAAGTTGGCACATGTGGTGCATCCCAGGGCAAACACGACAGGAAGTGCTGCCATGGCTTCCATCTGTATCCCTAAACTGGGCCCAAGGTGGAATGCAGCCCACTTCCAGAGATTCGCAGTCTCCTGGGCWCTCGGGCCTTACACAAGACAGAGCACAACTGAGTCTGGATCAGAAGTGCACACGGCTTGATTTTAAGAATTTGTAAGCTGTGCTTCTGGCCAGGGGCAGGGAACAAGTTTCTCTTCCACATAGGARTCAGGAGGAACCTCAGATACCTCCTAGGAGACCTTGGTTGACATCCTCCCGACCCCTASGAACCCCATTCTCACACTTGAGAAAACTGAGGTCCAGAGAAGGTTGGTAGTAGCTCAAGAGCCCAGTGTAGGAGTGGCTGAGCCAAGTTAAAACTAGGCGCTGAACTCCTTGGCTGCCCCCAGAGGTCTCTGCGCCCGATTTCTTTCCTGGGAATCCAGCAGAACTCTCCCACCTCCACTACCTCATTAGGTCCAGGATGTAAGGGCACTCCCACTCCCTCTACAGATACAGAAACTTTAGCAGGCCCAAGACTCCCCAGCCCTGGGTTTGGAGCACAGCCCCAACCAGCTTTCTCCCTTTTGCCACACCTTGAGCCCAGGCTGGGTGTGCAGGATCACAGAGCGTCCCCACAGCTCCACATACAGCAGAGGCTCCTGCAGGAAGGGCAGGGCCACTGGGCTGCCATCCACCTGTAGAAAAGGCCAAAGTGGAATAGAGAGGTGCACCACACAGGACCAGCTTTCCCTGGGTCTTCTGCTCACCATGACTGTCTTGCCGTGCAGCAGYTGCACAACCACATCTCCCAACAGCACTGCCACCTCTTGGGTCCAGGCCACACCTCTGCGGCCCCGGTCATTGTTGGTCACATGCACACTATGGGGAAAAAAGGTCAGTATGACAAGATTCAGCTAGGTAGTGTGTAGGGGTAAAGGGAAGGGAGAGGAGGTGCGCACCTGAAGTCCCCGCCATGGCAGTCTTTGGCCAGCACATAGCTGCAGCTGCCCTGGAAGTGCAGCAGGCGGCCGTCGAAGGTGCGGTAGTGGGGGTCTCCGAAGGCCATGCAGGAAGCGGGCCGGGGTAGGCAGCGAGGGCAGCAACTGCCAGGACTCAGGGCAGGGGCCTCGTCCTGGCCTCAGCCCCAGACACCGTCAGACCAGGGGAGCTCCAGCCCACGCTCTGGGAGGCCATCCCATCGCCCAGCCTCTCTCACGCCTGCTCCCGGGCTCACTGCGAGCGGACTCAGGGCACCACCTGGTGGCTACTTTAGGAACAGCACCTTCCCTCCTACCCGTCTGCTCCCAGACCCAGCGGAAACTCAGACTCCTAGTCTCCACCCCTGTCGCCCTGGGATGGCAGTGCCAGGTGCAACCTTGCCTCCACTGCCTCAACCTCAGCACTCACCTGGCCACAAGAAAGCGGTGGACAGCGCTGGCTCTGGCAGCGCACAGTGCCAGCCACGCAAGAGCAGCTGGTGCAGGTGTCCACGGCCCAGTGCTCCCCGACAGCCACCTGACGGCCCTGGTGGACACACGACTGGGTGGGAGCTGAAGGGACAAGAGACACGATGTGTTGGCACCTCCCCCATATATGCGCCAGGTCTCTCTTCCCCCTCCCCATCGTTGTGGCCCCTCACCTTGGCATTGCTCACAGCAGCTGCCAGGCTTGGACACTTTCAGCCAGCCATGGGGACAGGAAAGGGCCTGGCACTCCTCGAGGTGGCATTCCACATGACCCCGCTGCAGACAACATCCTTGCTGTAGGCATTTTCTGCAAGACCTGGAGACCCTGGCCTCACATTTCTGGGGGCCTCCTAGGCAGCAGCCCCTTCTGGCTGCCTACCCCTACCCCACAAGAACACCCATACTGTGATCCAAGCAGGGAATAAAATCCAGCCCCCAACTCCTTACCCCAGCACAGAGATGCCTCAGCCCCTCAAAGACCCCATATTTGCTGATGGATGCCCTGCGCTCTTCTCTGGGTCTATCTATATGGTCCACCCCTCCCCCACCACATCTTCTCCCAGGTTACTTGGCAGGTGCAAGCAATGCAGGCGTTGCTGGGGTCCCGCCAGCTCTCTCCATCGGCCACTCTCCGGCCACTGGCCTCTACCACACATTCTAAGGAGAAATGAATGGGAGCCATCCAGCTGTGCCCTCCCTCCCTGGAGCTCACTCTGAGCATCTGGGTAGGGAAGTGCTCACCCGATTCCACCAGCACCTTGGTGGTGCTGATTTCCTCAATCAATATACAGAAAGCCAGATGTCATTAGGGTCAGAGGCCCAAAGGGCCAGAGCCTGGAACCCTTTTCTGGACCAGCTGCTAGATCCACAGTGCAGTGTCCTGTTAGTGGCCTGAGGTTCCTGAGATCTTGGAAAAGCCTCAGGCCAGGACTTGAAAATCCAGACTTCATCCCCCACCTCCCTCTGCCTCATGGGTCTCTTCTCCACCCCAACATATAGATATCCTCTCCATTTCTACAACAGAATGAAATCTGAGTGCAGAGCCCAAGCCACCTCCTGAATGTCACCACCTCCCATGTCTCTCCTGGGATCCTTTCTGAGGGTGAGGCCAAGGTTGGTCACTTACCCTGGCACACAGGGCAGCAGCTCCCTGGGGGAATATGATGCTCCAACAGGGGACAGCTGAGCTGAGGACAGGCCCGGTGAGTGCAGAGCCATGTCAGGTCCTGTTCATTGTCATGTGAACACAGTGGGTAGAGCACAGCAGAGTTGGCAGGACATAGTTACGAGTAGGATGTGGGTGAGATGTGACATTCAGGACAAATGAGCAAAGTTCAGGTGAGCCCACAGACCACAGAGGAGGATGGGATTCAGAGCCCCTAGGGCAGGAGGACTCACCTGGCACTGGCAGGTGTAGCAGGGGTCTAGTGGGGCCAGCTCAGAGCCCAGCAGGCCCTCTGTGCAGTTACTCAGCGCCTCTGTGAAGACAAGACCCAGTGTGGGGGATGGAAGGGTCGGGGGCAGGGACTGCCACCCTAGCTGTCTCCAGAGTTCTTGGGCCCAAGGTGTACTTACTAGCATTTTGACTCCAGGGAGGATAAATGTGCTTCCCTTTAGCTCAGCAAAGAAAAGTTTGGTCTTTCTAAAGGAATTTTGCCAGGTATCAAGATGGGAACCCTGAAAACTGATAGTATGACTCCTTCAGCCTGAGGTCACTAGGAACAGCCAGACTTCTGGACCTGCTCTCTGTTACTTCCTTTGATATAATTTGGCTCAAACAGAATAACAACCATAAAGAGCCAGACTTCCCAGGTTCTAATCTTGTCTCCAGCACTCAATTCCTGTGCCATTTTTGGGCAAATTAATCAACCTCTCAAGGCCTCAGTTTCTTCATCTGTAAAAAGGTAATTGTGAAAATTAAATGAAATAGTGTTCATTAGAAGCCCTATGTGCAGTGTGTGACATGCATTAGGTGCTTAACAAATGATCCTTCTTCTAATCTCTGGAAGTATTGTCCACTTCTCACTCTAGCAAGTATTTTAAGAATAGTTCTCCCTGATGGATGGTGGTGATAGGTGCATAATTATGAATATTTTTAACATCACTGAACTATACACTTAAATATAGTTAAGATAGTAAATTATACCATTATATGTATTTTGCCACAATAAGAAATTATAAAAAAGGGAGGAGAATGTGGTCCTCATCCTATAAAGCACATCTTATATATGTGGGATCACATTAGCCTGCCTTGCAAAGCTAGGTTATCATTTCAAAGCTGGTGTACTACCAGATGCTGAAAAAATATTGCTTTCATAACAAATATGTAATGGCTGTGTCAGGTAAACTGCAAGGATTAAATCCAGGAAACAAATCCAAGAAATAATTTGACTGTCTTTCTTTTGGGGGTGGTACTGGGGATTGAATCCAGGAGTGCTCTCTGCCAAACTACATTCCCAGYYCTTTTTATTTTTTATTTTGAGATAGGATCTAACTAAATTGCTGAGGGTCTTACTAAATTTCTGAGGTTGGCCTCAAACTTGTGATCCTCCTGTCTCAGCCTCCTGAGTTGCTGGGATTATAGGTATGTGCCATTGCACCAGACCAATATGACTATCTTTTTGTATTTGAATGAATAACATTTCTTTATTCTTCCTCCCAATATTTATAAGTCATTATTCCAAAAAGAAAGAAAAGGAGGGAGGGACCAACAGAACAGAAAACAGAATAGCTCTCTCCACCCCTGAGACTGAGCATTCAATGTCCCTGCTGGTCCTCACCTCACAACCCCAGAGGAGTCAGCAGCTAGCCAACTGCCACCCTGCAGCGCCACCTGCTGGGCAAGAAGCTGTACTAATTGCACCCCACTTGAGAGCTGCAAGGGTCCACCTCCAGTTTCCYTCTCTCCCCCTGGGGCTTGTTCAGACCAGTGCAAGACCAGTGCAAGGCTTACAGAACAGTCCCCTGGAGCCAGGAAAGGGTGGGAAGGGGCAGGGGAGGAGAGCTGGCTAGCTGTTCCAGCATCAACCTGGGGTGGCTGCACTTCCCTCATCTACTTCCGTCTCCCGGGACTCACGGGCACAGGTGGGGCAGCAGTGCTGGGCATCAGGGGGCAGAAGCTGGCTAGGTGGGCAGCCCAGCAGGCTGGGACACTGCCTCCGGCGACAGTGAAGGCTGGGAGGCCCCTCAGGCTGTGACTACAACAAGAATGAATGAAAAAAAAAAAAAAAAAGAATGAATGAGCCGGAAGTGGGACCCAGGCCATGAAAGCCAAGAGCCACCCCCTTCCCTGGTCTCCGGGCACACCATCTGCTTGCTGTGCCATTCTCCAGGCTGTGGGTGGYCCAACTCTGAAGAGAGTGTCTCCCTAGACTAGCCCCCCCACCCCATGTCCTAATTCCCAGAGGTGATGTCCCTTCCCCTTTTCAGTCACTTGGGCCTCATGTGACTTTTGACCTTCTGTCCTCTCATGCCATCCTCCCCCTCTCTCCTGATCTATGACATCATTCACCTTCCATGACTCACCATTACCTTTCGATGCATTTGCACACCAGTTGGCCCTGCCWCGTCCTCTACCCCCCCACCCCACAGTCTGACCAGGAGCAATACGCACTGCTCATTCCACACTCGGGCCCTGCGCCCTGTGTCTCGACCCAAACTTCTGGTCCCACTGGCCCAAACCCTGCCTCAGCTCTTGGCTTCAGGGTCACACTCCTGTCTTGGACTCCCATGGTGCCTGCTCCATGCAATGTCCGGCTTGGCTGGGCCTCCCCAGGATGCCCCCAGCCCTCAGCTCCACCCGTCCTACCTCACAGATGCACAATTCACAGGGGTCAGCCCCTGGCTGGAAGCTCTCCCCAGGCTCATACTTCCGACCGTCATGCACACAGTCTTGGGGGTGGGGTAAGAGAGAGCAGGGAGTTTTCAGGCTGGCATCATGCCAGGATGGGGTTATCCTCCCTCCAGGTCCCCCTCACCAGGAACTGGGGTGAATGTAAGTATGGAACCACTTCTCCTAGAGCCACCCCCTCTGCTGCCCAGTCCAGCACACAGGGAGGTAAGACCACCATGATCCCTCCCTTTCCCAGGTCCCAGTACCAGAGCAACGAGGGCAGCAGTCAGTGGGCCCCTGTTGGGGCTGGGCGCAGGAGCTGACACACTGGACACTGGCACAAGTGACGATACCCTCATGACACATGCAGGAGGAGCAGGGGCTGTCGGGGGGCACCCAGCTACTGCCTTCAGGGTGCTCCTCCCCGTGAGCGAGGCAGCCTGCAGTCCCAGGTGGACAGGAATAAGCTTTGAGTCTGAGATCTGATCATCTGCCCCTGTCCACCACCCCTGTGGTCCCCAGGACATGTGGGCACTAGGAAGGGGTCTACAGGGATGTGGCAGGGAGATGCGCTGGGGCAGAATTCCCATCTGTGTGGAGGGGTCAGAGCACCTGGATTCTAATCCTGCTCTGTGTCTGCTTGCTAGAACAAGCTGCAAGCAGCAGGCCCTGTCTAGCATGGGCAGCACTGGCATACAGCAGGTGGGTAATATATGCATTTGGAATGAATGAACAGCTGTCAATGACCATGTGCCTCAGGTAACTTCAGGCCTCAGTCTCCCCTATATTAAATGGGATTGCACCTGTCCTGCCGTCCTGTCCTCTGGGGCAAGTGGGGCTGCTGTGCTGGCTTTGTGTGAACTACACCATGCTGAGTGGTGTCTGGGTGAGGGGCAGCAGGCAAGCTAAGAAAGGCTCATGTTCCTAGCTAGGATGCACATTTCAACTCTGCTACCTACTCACCCCAGTGACCATAGGCAAGTTGTGTTAGCTCTGTATACTTCTATTTTCTTTCTTTCTTTCTGGGGATTGAATCCAGGGCCTTGTGCATGTGAAGCAAGCACTCTACCAACTGAGCTATATCCCCAGCCCTGTACCTCTGTTTTTTTTTGTCTGTAAAATAGATGTAATGGCAGCACTTATCTGGGAAGAGTCTGATTAAATGAGATAATAGTAGTAAAGTGCTTAGCTCAGAGCCTGGCACATGGTACGTGCTCAATAAATGTCAATTATCATGATTATTATTATGAATGGGGTGTGGTTAGGAAKAGGGGCAGCTTCTAGGGAATCTAATGAGCACCTGGAAGGGTGGTCTGGGCAGGGAGAGGGAGGAAGAGCTGAGGTAGACTAGGATGACAGTCAAGGGCAGAGGCAAGAGAGGGACAGAAGCTGGACAGGGAGGTGGGAAGGCAGCAGAAGAGCTGAGGGAGAGTGGGGGGGGCAGATGGAGGGATACAGGGTGAGGGGCTGAAACATGGGGCAGCCCCAAGGGCCAGGCATACCTCTGCATCGAGGGCAGCAGCTCCCTGGCTCTGTGACCTGTAACAGGCAGGGCAGGGGTGGGCACCGCAGACGCACACAGCTGACCTGGCCAGCCTGCAGGAGATGCAGAATCAGAGATTTGCCGCCAAGATCTGGAGGCGAGGTGGCCCAGCCTCGCCCAGCACCTTCCCAAATCCCTGCTGTACCTGACAGCGACATTGCTCACAGCTGCCTGAGGGCCCCTCAAACTCCTCACCATCCTGGTACTCCCGGCCTTGAGAGAGGCAGCCTGTAGGGGACACACCTCCTGGGTGAGGGCCTGTGCCTCCCTGCCCTGCCCAACCCCAGGCCTGCAGACATGGAGGGAAGGAAGAGGGGGCCCCAACACATGGAAGRGGACTCACTATGGCAAACAGGGCAGAAGCAGGGTCCTGGAGAGGGGTGTGTGCAGAGAACCGGGGAACATGGCTTCTTCTTGCAATGCATGGAACCTTCCTGGGAGAGAGAGGCCATGCTGCCACTTCTGACCCCTAAGTCACTCCATCGCATCTTCAGACTAGGCTGTGCTGCCCTTGGACAGGTGCTCCTACTAAACCTGCCAGGCCCCAACCCCCTCCCTGGCCCAGGAAACCTAAGCCCGACCATGTCCCCCAAGACACTGCAGGCAGAGGGAACTACTTGTGGCCTGGGTGGAGATAACCCCTTCCAAAGAGGATAAGAGATAAAGGTTACCAAGTCCCCAGAGGCACTGCCTCACCTGGCAGGTGCAGAGGGAGCAGGTGGGATCAAGTGGATCAGGAAGGGTTTCTCCAAGGGCAGCAGTGACCCCGTGGTAGAAGCATCCTGGCAGAGTGGGGAACGCAATGGGAAGGCCGCCATCAATGGAGTCCTCTGCTGTCACATGCACACACACACACACACACACACACACACACAGCCACGCCTGGGGGCCTCCCTCAAAGCTTAGGGAGAGATCAGTGTGGCTAGGAGAGGAGGAAAGTAAGGGATGTGGAGGACAGCCATCAGCTAGGCTGCAGATGGCAAGATTTGCATGCTCCTGCACGTTTCAGGCCCAAAGACTGAAGAAGCAGAGGGGAGAGGTGAGCTGAAAGACTGCTGAGAACATCCTGTCCACACAGGAAGAAGACATGTGGCACGGGCACACTAGATGTGGGACCAGGTGGGCCAGGCCAGGCAGGGTAGGCTAAGGAAGACACCCTCCTGATTGGTGATTCCAGGGCAAGCATGGGAGCCATCAAACAATTTGAGTAGGGCCTCGTGGCATTTTAGGAAGAGAGCAAGACAGTTGGAGAGTCTGAAGGTATGGAAGCCAAAGGACCAGGTATTTGGTGTGACAATCTGGTGTGAGTGTGGATATGGTGTGAGAGGAGTCCAGAGAGAGAGAGAGAGAGAGAGAGAGAGAGAGAGTGTGTGTATCAGGGGAAGGCTGATGGGGCTCAGCTGGGTGGCAAAGCTCTGGATTTCTGGCAACCAGGGCCCTGGGGAGCCCTAGCAGGAGGTATGGAAGGGCAGGTGCGGACCTACCCTGACATGTTGGGCAGCAGCGCCCAGGTGGAGTGAGTGGGTGGCTGCAACCCAGAGGCTCACAGGGCTGGCGGCTGCAGGTCACAAATCCTCCCAGGCAGGTACACAGGTTGCAGGGCTCTCGGGGATCTGGGAATTCCTGGAGACTCAGGTAGGATTCCCCCAGGTACTCACAGCCTTCCAGAGAGGAGAGAGAGAGGGGTGGGTATGGGAAGAAAGGGATGAGAGGAAAGCCAGTTGCTTGGTTTTGATCTTGGGTCTAGCAGGGGCCAAGTCCTCAAAGACCTGGTACCTAGGAGGAAGGCAGGGGACCAGTCCAGGCCAGGAGGCAAAGGAACCACAAGGGGACAGGTGGATTTGGACTAGACAGCCTGAAGAAAGTCCCCTGTCCATCTATAGGAGAAAGCCCAGGAGGATCTGTTCCTGAGATAAACACTCAGCAGGCCACGGGCAGAGAGCTGGGAGTAGCCCAAGTGGGTTAGGTGGTGGAGGCCCAGGGTATACCCTTTCCAATGCTGTTTCAAGCCCTCTTGTTACTCAAGGAGGGTAATGGGGCCCCATGGTGCGGTCAGCCTGTGCTGGGCTCCTCTCTGATGCTGACTTACAGCCCTTTTTAAAAGGAGAGGGTAAGATAGGCATGGTGGCTCATGCTTACAATTCCAGMAGCACTGGAACCTGAAGCAGGAGTATCACAAGTTCAAAGCCAGCCTCAGCAACTTAGTGAGGCCCTAAGTAACTTAGCAAGACCCTGTCTCAAAATAAAAGGGCTGGTGATGTGGCTCAGTGGTTAAGCACCACTGGGTTTAATCCCTGGTTCAAAAAAAAAAAAAAAAAAAAAAAGGAGAGTGAGTGTGAATCTCAGGCTCCTCAGGCTCTAGTCTTGACAGGAAAAAGTATCTAACTAGAATCTAACAATATTATATTTTAATTGTATTTATGTACTATATGATATAACTCCTTTCTAAATAAATTTAAATTAATAAGTGAGTTCATTTGAAGAAAAGTATTAAATAAACTACAGTTGGTAGGAGGTGTATAGCAAAAAATTCTAAGCTAGTACAAAGACTTGGGAACTGGGTCTGGTTCAACTCTTTTTTACAGGAGTTAAAAATTAGGCTTGGGGGGGGTGGAATTGTGGCACGGTGGTACAGCATTTGTGAGGCATTGGGTTCAATCCTGAGCAGTACATAAAAATAAATAAATAAAGTAAAGGTATTGTGTCCATCTACAACTAAAAATATTTTTTAAAAAGAAAGAAAGAGACTGGGCATGGTGGCTTAGGCCTATAATCCCAGCAACTTGAGAGGCTGAGGCAGGAGGATCTCAAGTTCAAAGCCTCAGCAATGGTGAGGTACTATGCAACTCAGTGAGACCCTGTCTCTAAATAAAATACAAAAAAGGTCTGGGGATGTGGCTCAGTGGTTGAGTGCCCTGAGTTCAATCTCACTCCCCTCCCCCCMAAAAAAAGGGAAAGAAAAGAAATTAGGCCCAGGGCAATTATTTAACTTGCCCAAGATCACACAGACACACGGTATCAAAGAGAAGAGCAAATACAGACTTTAGWCTAGGATGTTCAGTCTCTGAGGCTCCTTCTGCTCCCCCATCTCCTTATACAAGGTCTCACTCTATTGCCTAGGATGGTCTCAACTCAGGGGTTCAAGYGATCCTCCTGCCTAGAGTAGCTGGGCTACAGTCCTGCACCACCGCACCTGGCTCAGAGCCCTTTTCTTTCTGTAAAAAGTATTCTAGGTCTTCCCAAGAATGCTGACCCAGCTCTCCAGTCCTCCCCTGGCTCCCCTCAGTCCCTATCCCCTGCCTCTCACCATCACAGGCAGGGCAGCAGTCGTCCCTGGCGGGGAAGGGGCACTGTGCGGGGGCACAGACCCTGGGCTCACAACTGACGCTGCCCTCCCAGCAGAGGCACGTGTGGCAAGCAACGCTGGGCGATGGGAAGCGCTCCCCGCTGGCGAACTCCTTCCCCTGGTACAGGCAGCCTAGGGAGAAGGGCGAGGGCTGGGCTGAGGGGCGGTGGGCGGCTAGCTCCCAGGCCCTGATGAAGGACAATGGTCCTTACTGTGTGCAGGGTGTGTGTGTGTGTGTGTGTGTGTGTGATGGGGATGGAACACTGGGCCTCCTGCATCATAGGCAAGTGCTCTGCCGCTGAGCTACACCCCCAGTCCTCCTACATTTCTACTGAGAACCCCAGTGTGGGAGGCCGGGTGGTGGAGGGAGATCCGGGTGGCAGAGCATCCAGGGCTGAGCAGGGGGCGCCAAGCAAAGGGCGCTGGCGTGGCCGGTGCAGGCAGTGGCCAGGAGATGAGGCCGCTGCCCAGTCCGGAGGAGACGCCCAGGCGGTACCATCGCAAGAGGGGCAGCAGGGTCCCTGGCGTGGATGGGCGCAGAGCGCGGGCAGGCAGGGCAGACGCTGGCAGGACACCGAGCCATCGAGGCAGAGGCAGCGGCGGCAGGGGTCGCCGGGAGGGGAGAAGTGTTCCTGGTGGCGGGCAGGGACAGTGAACCCGGGCCACATGCAGCCCGCGGGAGAGGCTGCGGGGAGAGAAATTGCAAAAAGAGCGTCCAGGGAGGGGGCGCCAAGGGCTCCTGGGGAGCAGCGGCCGAAGAGTGCGGTTCCTACCCGGGCACCGCGGGCAGCAGTCTCCCTGTGGCAGGACCGGCTCTGGACAGGGCAGCGGCGGGCAGCGGCGGGCCAGGCACTGCACGTTGCCGCCCTGCGGATGGATAGATGCCAGCCCGGTGAGTGGGAGGAGGCCAAGGAGACCCCCACCCCTTTCCACCCCATCTCGTGGATCCCTCCTGACTTCCCCAGGTCCCACCTCCACTCTGTTGAGCTCCTCTTTTCTGTCGCACTCACCAGGCAGTGACACAAACGGCAGGGGTCAGATGGGTGAGGGAAATCTGCTCCGTTGGGGTACTCTTTCCCGCCATAGGCACAGCCTAGGGAAGGGGCAGCTATAGGTCTGGGGGAGGCTCTGCTGCGCCCAGGCCTAAATGCCTGTCAGGTGGGGCAGAGCTGTACCAGAAGYACCCCCTCCGGATCCCATTGACCTCACCACTGCAGTTGTTCTGGCAGCAGGTACCAGGCAGCGGGTGGGCACAGAGGGCCTTGGGGCAGGCCCGAGGCTGACAGAGGGCATGGCCTTCCCGACAGTGACACTCCTGGCAGAGGTCTCCAGGGTGGGAGAAGCTCTCACCATCCACAAACACCTGTTTCTCCAGGATGCAGTCTGGGAAGTATACAGTGGGGACAGGAACAGGGCAAAGGCTGACAGCACTAGGTACAGAAGAAAGCCCCTCTGCCCCTGGAGTCCAGAGCCACTGGGAAAGTACCAGCTTGGGAGCTGCCCCCAAGGAGGGCCGTGTGCACCTGTGCATGCATGTATATTTGTATATTGCTCCAAGCGTATGCTAGTATGTGTGTGTGTGTGTGTGTGTGTGTGTGTGTGTGTGAATTTGAGCTTGTACCTGCAGGCAGTTTTGTCTCTGAGGGTGAAGGGGTGAAGAGCTTACACACATGTGCCTGGTTTGTGACACGCACCCTAGCACAGAATTCTCCATGCATGTAGAGATAATGTCCCACTGCACCCCAGCACCCAGTTTCCTACATGGCAGATGCAAATACTTGTTGCAGGACCCTGTTATTCAGGTGCATATGTGAGTATCTGAGAGGTGGGCATTGGAAGAGGAAGTGTACAAAGGGTTAATAAATCCCTACTCTCCACCCACCCACACCCTATAAGTTCCAGAGAATTCTTAGCTGTGTGGAACTAAAAATAGTTTAGAAAGCCATTGCTTTCAAAGACATCCATCAGGCTTATGGGACCATGAGCAATAAGCACATACCTGGACACTTGGGGCAGCACTGGCCGGGTCCACTCTGAGGTCTGGCACAGGTCATGGGAGGACAGTAGACCAAAGAGCACCTCACAGTCCCATCCTGGGAGCAGGGGAGAGGGCCATGGGGGCAGGCCCCAGGAGGGGCTCAGCAGGGCAGCACAAGCCTCAGCAGGTACCTCACAGCGGCAGGTGTGGCAAGGGCTGTCGGCATCCGTGAAGTTCAGCCCATTGGCATACACTTGGCCATGGTAGGTGCAGCTCTCACAGCTGGGGCAGCAGGCACCTGGCAGGGCAGGCTGGTCAGGGTGGGTTGGGCAAAGCAGGGGAAGAAAGCCAAGATCTGGGCAAGAGTACTCACCAGGAGGCTGGGTGGGGTGCTGGCAAGGGGTTGGGGGGCAGAGCACAGCCCTGCACACAGGCACCCCATCCTGGCAGGAGCAGGAAGTGCAGGGCTGACCATCGGGCTCCCACTGGACCCCCTCAGCAAACTCTTCTCCATCAAGCACACAGGCTACAGCAAGGGGGGCTGTCACCATGGCAACTGGAAGACCTCCCACCTATCCTGTCCTCACCAACCCACAGAGACCCTGGCTCATCACCGCCCCCCCCCCCTTAGGCTCTGCACACTCTGGAATGATTAGTGGACCCTCCCCCTTTACTGCAAAGAAGCAAGGTCCCTCTCCATTCCCCTGGAAGCAGCACCTTTGGCAGTTGCCAACCCCCTCCCCTGAGGCCCCGACACACACCTGGGCAGAGCTGGGGGCCAGAGGTAGGTGGGCCACAGGGAGCAACTGGGCACTCCTGCTCCTCACAGGAGACCTCACCAGCCTAGAAGGAAGGCCAGGTAAGAGGCCCTCAAGGAGTGAGACAGACCTGGGCAGGAGATAGGATTGCCCACCTGGCAAGAGCAKCGGACGCAGCGGCCACTCTCTTGGAGACTGAAAGTCTCCTGGCTCTGATACTGGTGTCCCTGGTACTCACAGCCTGGACAGGAGGACAGGAGGCTAAGAGGACAGGGCTGGCAGCTGAGGGAGAAACCTCATGCTACCCCAAGGCATCAATTCTCCCCTCTGACAAAGAACACACAGCCATGTCTTCCTGGAGACCCTGCCAGCACCCTCTTCATACCACAGCATCACTTTGCCATGAGAAGGTGAGGTGGGGACTCTCCTGAGTGGGTACAAGGGAAGTCAAGTCCACCCACCTAGGAACTTCTCTGCAGCCAGTGCCTTCCCCTCCCATGGTCACCCCAGGCCCTACTCACTGTCACAGACTGGACAGCACTGCCCAGAGATCCTGCCTGGGTGTCTGCAGGGCACGGGCGGGCAGGGCAGAGGCTCACACTGGACACTCCCATTCTGCCAATAGGGTCTGGTCAGCAGGCAGCAGGCAGGCCAGGAAGCCAGGCCCTCCCTGCTAGGAAGCCACACTCACAGCACAGCGGCACTGCAAGCAGGGGTCCCCGGAGCCCACTGGCTCCCCGCTGCGGTGCTCCCGCCCATTTAGGAAACAGCCTGCAGAGAAGAGGTGCCCAGACTGCTCAGGGTCCCCTCCCAGCCTCACTCCTGGCCTTCACGGGAGACCCAAGCTGGGCCAGCCATCAGCTTTCTGAGCCCCTCTGGGCTCAGAACCTTGTTCCACCCACCAACTCACCATCACACACTGGGCAGCAGGTGCCTGGGAGGGGCCGGGCAGGGTATGGGCACAGGCTGGCACATTCTCGCTGGCGGCACTGGATGTGGCCCTCCTGGTAGAGGACAGGATGAGCAGGGGAGAGCTGTCAGGGATCAGCCACATGGCAGAAACAGCACTGGAGTTCCAGCCATTTGCCCATTGGAGGTTATTATGGGTTGAACTGTCCCCCAAATGCAAGTACCTCAGAATGTGATCTTATTTGGAAATAGGGTTATAGATATAATTAGTTAAGAAGAGGTTAGCCAGTATAGATGCACACATCTGTAATCCCAGGAAGGAGGCTGAGGCAAGAGGATTGCAAATTCAATGGTAGAATGCCCTGGAATTCAATCCCCAGTTCCCCCAGCCCCCAAAAGAAAAAAACAACAAAGATGAGAGAATAGTGGTAGGTGGGACCCTCATCCACTATGAGTGGTGTCCTTATAAAAAGGGAGAGTGGTAGAGTGCTTGATTAGCATGTGTGAGGCACTGGGTTCGATTCTCAGCACCACATGTAAATAAGTAAATAAATAATAAAGGMCCATCAATAACTAAAATAAAAAGTTAAAAAAAAAAAAGAAATCTCCAAATGTTTAAAAAAAGGGAGGGGGCGGGTAGTTTAGACCCAGACACACACGGGAGAATGCCATGAGAAGATGAGGGCGGAGATTCAGGTGCTGTAGAAGCCAAGGACTGCCAGCTACCACCAGAAGCTAGGAGACAGGCATGGAGCAGATCCTCCTTCATAGCCCACTGAAAGGACCAACCCTGCTTACACCTTGATCTTGGGTTTCTGGCCTCCAGAACTGTGGGAGAATAAATTTCTATTGCTTGGGCCACTCAGTTGGGGTTCTTTATTATGGCAGCCCCAGGAAATTAATATAGTATAACCTAGCGTATTACTTAAGCACTCTGTGACTTATTATACCTACCTGGAAAAAATAGACATACTTATGGTGGGATGAAATGAGAGAAGGGTTGGCGTGGTATCCATGGCTGGAAGCTGCTGCTACATTCTTGGGGTCTATTTGCAACAGACACTATCCCTTCAATTCACTCTCCATCCCTGGGCTCTTTACTTTCAACCCCACCAGGGTATGGGCAGTTAGTGACTCTTCTTACAGATGGCAAGGGCCCGTGTGAACAGGGAGGGGGAGGACATGTTTCCAGTGGGGTTGGGCACCCCAGTGGCCTTCACAATGGAGTCCTACTCTTTAGCAGGCCATAGGAAACTCTGGCCCTGGCTCCAGCCCCCATGGGACAACCCTCCTCTGTGTACCTGCCTGACATTAGTGCCTACGGGTCCCTAGCTTCCCTATTCCACTTTCCCCTCCTCAAATCCGACTCGTCCTGTAATGTCTAGGCAAATACCATCCCTTCCATGAAGTTGTTCTAGATCTGTGCTGCCCAAGAGCAATGTAATGCAAGCCATGTAGGTCATGTTAAATTCTCTCAGAGCCAACTTTTAAAAAAATAAAAAAAGAAATAGAGAAAATAAATTTTAATAATATATTCAATTTATCCAATATATTCAAAATATTATTTCAACACAAAATATGTTCACGAGCTATTTTACATTTTGTTTTATCCTAATACATCTTTGGAACTGATGTGCCTTGCACACTTACCTCATCTCAATTCTGACCAGCCACATTTCAAGGGCTCAGGGGACACATGCAGCAGTGGCTATGGAACTGGGTGCCAAAGTCAAACTGTGCTTCTCCCTCAGGGAGTTTCTGCCTGTCATATCCTGTCACCTCCCTCCCCTCCTTCTACCCCTGAGCTCCTTGAGTTAGGACAGATCACAAACCCTGCCAGACACCTGTGCTTACAGCTGGGCACACAGGTGTGCCTGCTAGGCCCTGGGCTCACAGCACCCAGGATTCAGTCTTCTCCATCACTGTCCCCTCCCACTGCCCAGAGGATCTGTTCAGTGGACTGTAGTTATGAGGGCAGGGTGGAGTGAGGGACAGATCAGGTGTAGTCTTGGGACTCACCAGGCACTGGCAGATCCGGCAGGGGTCCCCAGGTGCAGTCCATTCTTGGCCATGGTCCTTGTGAGAGCCACCTTCTGTGCAGCCTGGGGCTGGGGACAGAGAGGCCTGGTGGGAGCTGGCCTAGTACCYGGCGTCAGCCTTCTCTCCTTCCTCTGCTCACATGCCTTCACCAGACCAGGCCATGCCTCGGCCTAAACCCCAGGCAGGGTGAGGCCTCCTCTCTAGCCTACCGTTCCCCTGCCTCCCTTGGACAGCACAGGCACACCTACCTGCCCAGCTCACTCCTCTCTTTAACCTTGGTCATTTGTGCCTATGTGCACAGTCCCACGAACATCCCCCAACCCTGAGTGTCAAGTCCAAGTCTTCACTCACACTGTCCCCTCTTCCTGGAATGTCCTCTGCCTTCTCAGCCCATCACCCAGCTAACTGCTCTTTATCCTTAAGTGTTGCCTTAAGTGGCCTCTGGGATGCTTTCCTTCCTGTGTCCAGCTGGATTAGTTCTCCTTCCCCTGAGTTTCCTGGGTACCTGGCCCCAGCTTTTATGACATTATTTTACAATATTGCCATATAACTCAGGTTTACCCTCTAATGGTCATCCCAGGGGACTGACCCCTTGACTTCTGTGTTGGGGTTCCCAAAGTAGAAAACCATGATCATTTACTACGCAACACTATGAGGTACAGAATATCATCACGTCCATCTTACAAATGGGAAAACTGAGGCACARAGGGACTTAGAGTCCCACAACCACTGTGTGACAATAGCAGGATTTGAGCTCAGGCATTGCTGCTCCAGAGCAGGCTTAGACTGGCGATGCTCCCTCACTGGTCAAACCATAGAAGAAATGGTGTGATAGCCCCACTGGGGACTCTGTGAGGAAAGGGTCAGGGGTTCTCACCTTGGCAGGCTGGGCAGCAGTGTCCAGGCCTCAAGACTGGCTCAGGGCAGGGGCTAGGTGGGCACTTCAGGGGCACACAACGAACCAGGCTCCTCTGAAACACACCAATGGCTGTAACCCCACCAGACCTGGCTCCCAGAGCAGGTGTGGTAGGCAAGTGTTGGGCAGGGATGGAGGGAGAACTTTGCTGGCACAAGCTCTCAAAAGGCATGCGAGGGACTGACAGAGTGTTTAACATGGTCCAAGGTGGGGCAGGGTTGTCCAAAAAAGAGCAGACCTTGCAGAGGTGGCAGGGGACTCACCTGGCAGGAGCACTGGAGACAGGGATTGGAGCTGGGCAGGAAGCTGGCCCCCTCCTCATACAGCTGTCCCTCATACTCACAGCCTGAGGAGGGTTGCCAGGATGATACATGGGTCACTAGAGGGCAGGGAGGGTAGACATCCCCCGAAGGGAAGGCATGACCCCAGGTAKGTACTGGACCGCTGGGGCTGAGGGGGTGGAGCAGGCAGGGCAGGAAGTCACCTGGCCGGCAGACAGGGCAGCACTCTCCAGGTGGAGTGTAGCTCTCCAGGCAGTTGAGCTCAGAGCATGAAGGCCCCTGGCACCGCACGGTCCCTGCCTGTGGGCAGACACTGAGCCCTCCCTCCCTCCTCCCTCTCCACTGCCCAAGCTGGGTTACTCTGCTGACCTTGCAGATCTAGCAGGCTTCAGGACCCATTGCCTGGGTAGAGGCAGCAGCCCTATCTGGCCCCAGATTGGCATGACATGGCCAGGCCTGGCTTGTGCTAAGCAGCAGGTATGTGGGTGGTGGCTGGGGCCAGGTGCTGATTCTCTTACCTGGCAGGTGCAGGTGACACAGGGCTCTGGTTGCCATGTTTCCCCAGCCCTGCGGCCCTCRGGGCAGCCTGCAAAACCAGGCCCAGGCCCACAAGTAAGAGACCCAGAGGACTGAGCACCATACCAAGGGAGCACCATTCAAGGCCYAGACTTCAGAGACTTTGATATTCATTGCACCTTTTCAGCAGATAGGAGTCAAGGGTCTGTCTCTAACATAATCAGTATATTTCTTCTATTTCACAGCAGATGGGAAGTGTGTCTTGAAAGCAGTGCCTTTTTTTTTCTTTCATCAAAAGCATCATGTAGGTTAACAGTGGCCCTGAGGCATCACATGCCCTGAAAGCTGTGTGTATGTGTCCTTTTCTTTGAGTTGTACAATTTTATTCTTAAGGTGCTGGGGATGGAACCCAGGGCCTTGTGTGTGCCAGGCAAGTGCTATGCTACTGAGCTATACCAGTGTCCCTTTTCTTTGAGATCCATCAACTCCCAAGGCTTTAGTCCTTGGCTCTGGTCAAAATTCTCAGGCTTCATTTTTAGCCCTCACTGCCCTTCCTTTCTCAATACCAGCTGAGWCTTGTCTCCAGGTAGGGTTGCTGGATAAAATAGAGGACACTCAGTAACATTGGAGTTTCAGATAAATAACACATAAATTTTTAGTATAAGAATGTCTTAAATATTGCATGGGATATACTTATACTAAAAAATTAGGTGTTATTTTAAATTCAAATTGAGCAGTGAACACACACACACACACACACACACACACACACACACACAAGTGGATCAGATTTAACAAGGCATCCTATATTTTTTATTTGCTGAGTCTGACAACCTGTCCCCACTCTCTACTAGGAACCAGTGTCAACCCCCGTAGAGCTACTGCCTCCTCTTCCTTCCATCTCTCCTCATGTCACTAGACCACTGCTCTCCTAGTTTCCCAAGTTCAATCTCTGTTAATYCCTAGAATCCAACCAGTCATCAGTTCCTGCCCATCCTTTATAAACATAACCCTCTCCATTGCCTTCTGCCATACCTGACTCCATGCCTACACAACAGCCCTAACAGATGTGCCCCTGCCCCATCTCTCTTCATCCAGCCCATACCAAATGAATATTCCCCAAACACCTCTTTGAACATGCCACACTCTGACTTTTGGGGCTTCAATGGCTCCCCATTGCCCCCTCCCACACTCACAAATGTCTAGACTCTAAGGCTTTTAGCAGCCTGTTCCCATGAGCCTTCACTGACTGATGTGTGCCTTAGACCTCTCCCCACTCAGTTTTTGTGCGCAAAGGGCCCTCAATTACTCCTCCTTCTGGTGAAATCCCACTTTCTCTTGAAGATCAGCTCAGGCAACCCTTTGTCTATAAAGCCACCCTGACTGGCTGGTCTGTGTCCCTTCCTCTGGCAAACCATATTCTACCTTCTACACTACCTCTCATCTATTCATTGGATCTTAGATCTTGTGTAAAATTAAATATACATTTATCTTCTCAACTAGATTAGAAGCTCCCTAAGAACTGGAAAAAGGTCCAGTGCCTGTCTCCCTTATGGTTTCTGGCTCTGTCCCGGGCCAGGGTCAGTGTCTGATGACTTGAGCACTGATCATTTATTTCTCCAGYACTGAGAGAGGGAGCCAGCTTACACACGCCCAGATGGCAGACTACAGCTCTGGGGTCCCTAGAACATGTGCAGGAGGGACAACTGAGCCTGGCAGCAGGCTGACCTGGTTCACAGTGTGCACAGCATGCTCCTGGCTCAGGACAAGGTCCTCTTGGGCATGGCCTCTGGGTACAGGTTATGGTTCCTTCCTGTGGGAAGCAGACTAGAGTGGCTGCGGGGCCTCCAGAACCCCAACCTCTCCCCAGGCTAGGCTTGTCAGGGAGCAAGAGGATGAGTTGGCTTGGACAATACGGGTTTTACTCAGCTCAAAGGCAGAAAAGACATGCCTCAGCCCACCACCATCATCCTTGACCCCTGAGATCCCTCTCTTACAAGTGCCTGCAACTTCCCAGGAGGGAATATCCTAGGAAGGGTATAAAGAACCTTTGCCCAACCTCCCCCCTGGACCTTTCTCCCCCTCCCCTCCTCTCTTTACAGTACTGGGAACTGGAYCTAGGGGCGCTCTACCTCTGAGCTACATCCCCAGCCCTTTATTTTTTATTTTGAGACAAGGTCTCACTAAGTTGCTCAGGCTGACCCTGAACGCAATCCACCCGTCTTGGCCTCCTGAGTGGCTGGGATTAAAAGGTGTGTACCAATGTGCCTGCTAAGTGCTTTCACATGGAGGAGTGAGTAAGAAAAGGCCGAAAGACGATGGCTTCTGAAGCTGGGAGAGAAAGAACAGGCAAGCAGGGAAGGTCTGAGATAGAAGACCAGGCAAGTGGAAGGGTGGGGACGATGAGGGTCACCCAGAGGATAGAGTGAGGAAGGAAGACAGCCTCAGCCCACCACCATCCGCTATCCCCCATGCCACTGTTGGACAGGCCCAAATCAAAGGATTTCGGGGCACCATCAAGAGCATAAGGATTGGCATGTGACACATGCCTATAATCCTAGTGGCTTGGGAGGCTGAGGCAAGAGTATCTCAAGTTCAAAGCCAGCATGAGCAATTTGTGAGGCCCTAAGCAGCTCAGTGAGACCCTGTCTCTAAATAAAATACAAAAAAGGGCTGGGGATGTGGCTCAGTGGTTAAGCATCACTGGGTTCAATCCCTGGTACCAAAAAAAAAAAAATAGTGTGTGAGGATTGAATTCCAGAAAGCAGAACCACTCAGCAAAGACTGGGGGAGGGGCAGGCAGAACCTGTCACCCAACATTCAGCTACCACTTTGTCAACAGGTAGCTGAAGTGAGACGGACAAGTGAGAGGGTCAGGTTTGGGACAACTAGCTATGTCACAGGAACTCACCTGGCAGTGGCAGATGGAGCAGGTGTCTGGGGAGAAGGTCTCCCCATGGCTGTAGGTCTGACCATTGTGCTTGCAGCCTGAGGAGGGGACAGTGCCACCACTTAGGTACTCAACACYATCTCCAGGTCCTGAGGCAGGATCAGTAGGTGGATGGGGTGGCACTAACCATGACAATGGGGCAGGTTGGGCTGGGGACCACAGCGTGCAGCCCCATCCTGGCAGATGCAGGCTGTACAGGCATCAGGCTCCCAACGAGCCCCTTCAGGCCAGATGCGTCCCAGCCCCCAGCACTGGGAAGAGGCCAGGTGGCACTCACAGGACTCTAGCCGCTTCACCCTTTCCTGCAGGTCCCTGTTCTGGGAGAAGAGAAGGGAAGGGGTAGCAGGCACTGGCTCAGCTTCCCCCAGTTCTCATGGATTTGTGGGTACAGAAACTGAGGCAGGATGAGAAGGAAAACTGACAATCAGCATTTAGCTCAAATAGTTCTCAGGAAACACAGAGCTCCCAAGTCCCTCCTTGGACAAAATGGGGACCTGTCCTCCACCCAATAGTTAAAGACTTCTTTACCCATCCAGAAGCTTCCCTGGTGATGCATTATATGTAGGAGGGATTCTTTAATATTTGCCAAACACATGAGACTGAAAATCTGAATGAACAAAACAAAGAACCTGTAGGTTCTTCATGAAAAAACAGATGTTAAGAACTATTCCGATAAGAACCACTCCATGGGCATTTAAACTTAAACTCTATTTTAGGGACCCCAGGCCACCCACACCCAAGCCCACTCTCCTCCCCTGACTATGTAAAAGCCATACTACCCAATTCRCAGGGCCCTGCCCATCATACCTGCTCTCTGAGCTCTAGCACCTCAGCCTCTAGCTGTCCCAACCGCTCCTCCAAGGGCTGTCCAGCAAGGGCCAGGGAATGGGTGTGTGCCTGCTGCCTGTAGTCATGGATGTCAGCAAGCCCAAAGGGTTCCCTGGGGACAACATCACCTGAAGGACACAAGAATGAACTGTGGGCCTACAGGCGAGGGCTGGCAAGGTTTCCTGAGTTCTGTCCTCTGAGCCAGGTAGGGGAGGAGGGTCACCTCCTGAACTACACTCTGTCCATCATCTAAGGAAGGGGACGGAGACTATGGGGGTGTGGTAGTGAAAACTGGGGTGGGGATATGGGAGAAGGTGGAGGAACAAAAGTGGTTCAGACCAACTCTGCCTCCTAATTAGGTGTGACACCCAGGGATACTGATCTACTAGGGACACAGAGCGATCCAGACCTGGGCCTCCCTGCAGCCTGCCCTGAATCTCTGATGACTTTGTCATGGGGTGGGAATGTCAGGATCATCTATCATTTCTTGGGTCAAAGAAGATCTAGGGACCTGACATGTCATGCTGGAAAGGTCCAGGGCCAATGCAGACTCAAGTGCAGGATTGGGGATGCTAGACTCCTACAAGGGGGCTTCTGGAAGTAGCCATGATCTAGTAGGAGTCTTTTCATGAGAGCAGTCCCACCCTCCCCTGTCTGTCTACACCTGTCAAAAAAAAAAAAAAAAAAAAAAGGCACCACTGCAGGAAAGGTGCTTAGGGAGGGGCAGTTGTCCCCCCACCCCTGCCTGACTACTGTTTCACAGGCCTGTGGCAGAGGGTCTGGTGATCCCACAGGAAGCAAGGCCAGAAAGCAGGGCCTGGCTGCATTTCCTGAAGAATTTTGGGGAAGTGCCAGCAGGGTCTCCACTAGCCTCTAATACCCCAGGCCCAGTGAAGACAGACCTCCCTGGGTTTAGATGATGCTATGCCAGAGCAGTGGGGTGCGTCTCTAAATTCAGGCCTAGGGTGGGAAGGCTGCTGGCACAATCTCACCTTGATCTCTCTCTTGAGTCAGGAAAGTAAGGAGGAGGCAGGGGRCAACATGCTGACTCCAGGGGTTGCTTCCCATAGACATCTAGGGGGGAAGGGGGTGGGCAGTGGATGGTCCCAGGAGGAGGTGAGAGAGGAAGAGCCTGAGGGAGGGGAGTGAACTTTCACAGCTCAGCTCGCTAGTGAGGCTAGTTTCTGGTGGCTGAAAGGGTTTCTCACTGGGCCTATGAGGCAAGGAAACAATGTCCCCCTACAGCCACTCCCAAGCCAGAAGGGGATTCTAGTTCCAGACTAAACTTGCCTCTTGGCTTGGTTAATGCCATCCCACCAATCCAGATACCTAAGCCAGAAATATGGAGCTCAGCATCTCTCTTTTGTACCCCGCCCAAATCCCCCTAAAGCATGCCCCTCCTCTCCTTTTCCCTCTGTCTCTACTGAGAGGCTAAAAAATCTCCCTAGCTTCCAGCTAGCTGCTCCTCTCTCTCAGGTGACCTTCTGAATTACAAGCTGAAGTCTCCCAGCCAAAAGCTCAAATGTGACCTCTCACCAGCTCCACCCATCTTTCCAGCCTGCCCTGCTACCTACCCCTATCAGAGATTCTAAGCCCCCAGATTTACTTCACCAGCACTCTCATGTTCTCATTTCCTTCTCTTGTGCAGGTCATCTTGTCACTGGGAATGGTACCTTGTCTTGGCATGACCCCAAGACCCAATTTCCTTCCCATTCACACTAGGCTGCCCACCATGTGGTCTTAGCATCTGAAACCTTCCACCCAAGCCTGAGTTTGTCCAGCTTCACCCTACTGCTATGGCTCTGCATCCCAGGCCACTCCTCCAGTCCTGCTTAAGCAGGCACAATAAGGGGGTCAGGAAGACACAAGGGCTCCTCTGGCGACCTCAGGTGAAGACAGGGCCAGTCCCTCACCTGGAGACACCTGCTGAAAGGGCTCCCAAGAGTGGCATAAACCTGGTTGCTCCCCTCTAAGCCTCCCCCTGTTCAGTCCCTGCAGAAAGCCCTCCATTCCTGCCTGTCCCCTGGCGGAGGGCCAGACTCAGAGTCAACTCCCATGGCCGAACTCCTTCCCCCACCCCCCCACCCCACTTCCTCATGACAAATAATTAACTTCAGACTCGCAGATTCAGGGCTGCCTCTCTCCCACCCCACCGCTGCCTGCAGGAACCCCTCTGCCCAGATAGCCGGAGGCCCTTTCCCTTTCCTGGACTTCTGCYTTAGTCGCCGTCTCCCCAGCCCCGATCGCCCCACAGACGGGGAGGACAGAAAGGACCCAGGCTGGCCCGAGGGGCGCTCAGCCCGGCTGAGCAGGGAGGAGCAGCCCGGGCCCCAGAGCGTCCTGGAGGCTGGCAGAGCAAGAGGCAGGGACACACTGTGGTCCCCAGGTCCTTGGCTCCCAACTCACCTCCAGTGGCGACACTGCCTGCAGTCAGCGCCAGGCTCCCGAGCTGCAGGACCAGGGGCAGCAGCGCGGCYCCTGCCATGGCCATGCTCGCTCCTCCCGCCCAGCTCGGCTTGCCTTGCTGTCTACGGTCGCGGCTCAGCAGGCGCTGGGGGAGGCGGGGTGGGGAGACAGACCGCCTCCCACCCAGTCTTTGTTCAGGGAGGGCCCCTGGCTTCCATCATTCAGCCCCGTGGCGCCTGCTTCCCCATGGGCACCTCGCCCAGGGGCCCCAAGCGGGTCCTGACCCAGAGAGCAGACGCAGCCCCCAGTGGGGCGGGTGTGGGGGTGGGGAATGTCTCCTGTATGTGATCCAGAAGGAGACCCTGAACATAAACACAAAGTCACTGCTCCTGGGGCTGGGGCTGCCTGTCTCCTTGCCAGTGGAAACCTTCGCGGTTTCTCAGTTTAGCTTTGCCGCATCTCAGGAGTTTATGGGAAAAGCAGCTCGAGACCTGGGTTCAAAGTCCCTGTACTCCATGTGGCTTTCCGCAGATCCCTAATTTCTCTCAGGGCCTCAGTTTCCCTGTTTGTAAGCTGCAGGTCACAATATTGGCTTTAGAGACTTGCAGGGAGGATAAAGGGAGATTATGTAGATAGAGAACTAAGGAGGGCCAGGAGAGGTGATGCAAGCCTGTAGTTCCATCTACTAGGGAGGCTGAGGCAGGATGATCGCAATTTTGAGGCCAGCCTGAGCAACTTAGGCAGATCCTTTCTCAAAATAAAAATAAAGAGAATTAAAAAGGGCTGGGTGTGTAACTCTGTGGTAGAGTACTTGTCTAGCCTGTTTGAGGTCCTGCTGTTTCATCCCACAGAGTGTGTGTGTGTGTGTGTGTGTGTGTGTGTGTGTGAGAGAGAGAGAGAGAGAGAGAGAGAGAGAGAGAGAGAGAGAGAATATGAATATTTAAGTAATGGTTGGCACATGATAAGTAGTCAATAAGTAACAAATAATTAAAGTGCTATACCCAGTCTCAGAAATCAAGGGCACCCAAACTACTCCACTCTCCACTCATGAATTTCTTTCCTGGACTGCACTCATCACCTCTATCCATCCCAACACTCCCAGTTTTGGCCCCAAATGTTGAGGCCTCCCCTTACTGGGTCCCAGCTTCCCTTCACAGTTGCTGAGCTCAGGCCTGGCCTGTGGAGTGAGCCTGAGTAGGGGGCAGGGCTGGGCCCTGGGCTTAGCGCTGGGAGGAGGCCAAAGGGAGGAAGTGAGAAAAGCTGTCCACATGGGCCCATGGCTGGGAAACTCCTCAAGCAGCTGGGAAGCAGAGGGTCAGGGAGTAGGGCCCCAAGCTCACAGGCAAAGAAGGACATTAGAGGCGGAGCTCTGGATCCTGCCAAAACAGTCTCCCTCTGTGTCTTGAAGACCACGAATCAGAGGCCACCCACCCCCTCCCCAGCCAGGCAGGGACTGAGGTCTCCCCAGTCCTCTCCTCTGGAAAGCTTCAGTAAAGAGAGGTCAGTGGCTCTTCCCCTGAGCAGTTTGTAGCCAGGGAAAGGGAGGCTATGACTCAATCTGCCCTCCATGACCTGGAACTGGGGTCATAGAAGAAAGAAAAGCCAGGGCCAGCCAGCCGGAAAAGGAACAAGGAAATGACAGCTGTCTTCCTACCAGACTTAAGGAAAGTAGTTTACCTTCACTGGTTGGCTGCCTTTTATAAAGCAAGTCCTTGGGGAGTCTGGGAGTGGGTAGGGGGAGCCAAGATCATAGACCCCCATGGGACTGCTAGGGGGTCTACATTGTAGATATGTTTCTCACTGCTGTGGGACCTCCAACAAGTCAATTCATTTTCAGCAGCTAATTTCTCTTAGCTGCCACACTGAGCTCTAACAACAACCAACTCTGTTTATGTTTATGAAGGTTTAAAAATTAATGCATCTAGCATAGTGCTTGTTGTACATATGAAGACTTATTGATTTCTTTCTTTTCTTTCTTTAATCTGTTCTCTGACCATGCAAGGTGTGAGGAGCCTTTGTCCCCATTTTACACACAATCCATCTGAGAGTTACTGGGTGAACAACTCAAAGTCACTCTGCAAATAAACCACAGAGCCCGATTCAATGCCAGGTCCCTGGAAAATTCATTCTGTCACTCCTAGAGCATTTCCTACATTTCAGTGGTTTAGCTATTTCCCACTGTATGGCAAGTTTTTGAACTTTTCTCAGTCTCAAGTTCCTTCCCTGTGAAACTGGGATAATAAGAGTACTTGTATCATAGTTGCAAAGATTGTCTTCATCTGGATTTCCTGAAGGCAGAGCATGAGACAAAGACCTGTATGCAGGTTGATTTTAGAGTGTGATACTAGGGAGCACAACCCAGGGATGGAAAACTGAAACAGGGCAGGATGGAAAGCTATACAAGATTGCATCATGGAGCTGGACACTGCTACGGGCATCTGAGCATCTTATCCTGAAGGACCATCTAAGCCATATGACAGCACGGCAGAACATGCAAACGCTTATCCAACGGCATCAATGCCCCACTGGTTAAGAGTGGCCTGCAGTGGCCCAGGTATGTATGAGTGAATACCCAAGTGAGTTCCTGAGGTGCCCATTGCCTTTATTTCACTTATTTACATTTATGTGGTGCTTAGGATTGAACCCAGGGCCCGAACGTATGAGGCGAGTGCTCTACCTCTGAGCTATGACCCCAGCCCCTTCCTCTCCTTCTCCTTGAGCTTTCCCCTGGCGCTTGCGGGTCTCTTGCTCCTTGGGTCCCTCATCCTCAGTTGGTTTGGTCTGTCCCTTGCCTGGGCTCCTGGCTTTGGTCCTGGCTCTCCTGGCTCTCGTCCTGGCTCTTGCCCCTCTCTGTGACCCCCAGCCGTGCCCTCCCGTCACCCTCCTCCTGGCCCCTTCTGTTTCCAGGCCCCATTTGCTTGGTCCCTGGTTCTGGATTCTCATCTGAGCTAGGGCCCCTTAGGGGAAACAGGGCCCTGCCCCTCGCCTGGGACCCTTGCCCTCCCTGGGCCCTTGGTCCTGCACCCAGAACCCTGATACCTGGCAGTGGCCCTGAGCCTGGGGCCTAGCTTCCCCCTGCCGCATCCCCTGCCTTCCTTCCCCAGCTTTGTCCACTTTTTCTGAGCTCTCTGCCCCAGCCCTGGCCCTTGGCTCTCCATTCCCTGGCCTGGTTCCTCACCTGAGCCTCTGGTGGCCCTACTTGCTCCATGTGAGTCCCTGGGTTTAGACAGCGGGACTCTCGCTGAGGCCTCTTCCCTGTTCCTCTTGGATTCCCTGTACTGCAGTACCCTAGTGCAGCCCCGTCTTCCTGGCCTTGCCCCTCCCTGCTCTCCCCTGGCATGGGCCCTCCTCTAGGTCCCTAACCTGGGCTTCCTGCTGAGGTTCTGGCCCCCACCCCACCCACACCTGTTTTTTCCTGCCCTTCAGGCTGTGCCCTTCTTAGGCCCTCTTATCATACCTGTCTCTGCCAGGGCCTTTTTCCCAATCCCCTTCCCAGGATTCTCACCCGGGCCAGGGGACTGGACCTGGCATCTTGGCCCTGTGGGCTCCCTTGGGGAAAATGTAGCCCTTTCCCTTCCTGGGCCCTTTGGCCTCCCTCAGCCCAAGCTCTACTCCCAAACCCTGACACCCAGCAGTGGACCTGGTTCTTGAGCCTTCCTCCTTTTGCGCCACCCACTCCCCATTCTCCCCTATCTCCCCTCCCAAACCTTATCTGTTTTCATGCACCATAGCCAAAGCCCTCATACTGGCTCTCCATTCCTGGGCTTGGCTCCTTGCTTGGGCCCCTGGATGCACTTCTGGAGGACCCTGTCTCTGTCTCTTGATTTCAGGCCCCTTTCCTGTGCCTCCCCTCTGTTCCCCTTGTGCTGTGGTATCCTGGCACTGCCCGGACCTTCTGCTCCCCCTGCTTCTTCCCAGCCTAGGCTCCTCCACAGGTCCTGGCTCTCCACTGACCCCACACCCCACCTCCGCACGCCAGGTATCCCCTCATAGTGCCCTCTTTTGGCCCTCTTTTGGTCAAGTCCCTCTCTGAGGATCTACTCACCTGGGGGCAGAGGAGTGGAATTGGCTAGCCTCTGCGCCCTGAATGCTCCCTATGGGAAATGCACCCCTGCCCCTAGCCTGGGTCCCCTTAGCCGGAGGAACCTTGACAACTGGCAGTGGAGGTGGGACTTGCGCCAACCTAGCCCTGATTGATCCCCTCCCTTCCCTCCCTTGCCCTCTTGCCTTGCATGTTGCCCCTACCCCAACCCAGCCCTCTCTATCCCTGACCCTTTGCTCTCCCGTCCCCAGGCCTGGCCATTTTCCTGAGACCCTGACCGTGTTCCCTAGGTCGCAAGCAGTAGCTTGGCGATGCTTCCTGTCGGGTCTGACATGGGGCCCCCTTGCTTGGGCCCCCTAGCCTGCTCTCCTCAGTGCCCCTTGCTCCTCCCTCTATCTCCTGGTCTTCACACAGCCCCTGACTCCCCTTCCCCTTGTGCTTTCCCCTTGCACTTGCGGGTTCACTGCTCCTTAGTTCCCTCATCCTTGGTCGGTCGGGTCTGTCTTTTGCATGGGCTCCTGTCTTGGGTCCTGGCTCTTGCCCCTCTCTGCGCCCACTTCGACCCCCAGTCATGTCCTCCCAGTGCCCTCCTCCTGGCCCCCTTCCCTTTCCAGGCCCCATTTGCCTGGTCCCTGGTTCTGGATTCTGATCAGGGCCAGAATGCCTTATGGGAAACAGCCCTACCCTTCACCGGGGCCCTTTGTTCTCCCTGGGCCCTTGATCCTGCACCCAGAAGCCTGACACCTGGCAATGGCCCTTGGCCTAGAGCCTAGCTCCACCCTGCAGCATCCTCCCCAGCCTTGTGCACTTTCCTGAGCCCCCTGCCCCAGCCCTGGTCCTTGGCTCTCCATTCCCTGGCCTGGCTTCTCGCTTGAGCCTCTGGGGGCCCTTCTTGCTCCATGGGCTTTGACAGCAGGCCCCTTGCTGAGGCCTCTTCCCTGCTCCCCTTGGATTCCCTGTACTGCAGTACCCTAGTGCAGCTCTGTCTTCCTGGTCCTGCCCTTCTCTGCTCTCCCCTGGCATGGGCCCTCCTCTAGGTCCCT